AAGATATCTGAAGTTCAAGTGAGAGTTTGTTCTTATTGGTAGAGGCTGTTTAGTTTTACTCAAAGTTTAAGTCAAGTTTGTGTTGGCGGATGCTGTGTATCAAAGCTCTGTAAAAGCTATGTTCCTTCGGTGTTAAACTTCCTAGTGTTAATCCGACATCCCTGCGTGCTGATAGTCAGTGAATAATTATCTCAAAACATTCGAACTCGTGACTTTGACTTTTAGCCAATTCCATGCTCAACGTAATTGACTCCTTACCCATGCCTTACATATCTTTAATCATTACATGAGACTACTATGCTGTTTGTGAAGCCTGATGTGACTAAGAAAAATAGAGAATTGTTTTTTAAGAAGGATTTGTATGGAGTCATCAGAGCATAACTGGGCTAATATCTCGGAGACAATTTGTCCCGAAATGCTAGTTTTTGGCAAGTAGGCCTCTTGGAGGTAGCTCTTTTCAGAATATGCTGACAAATCCCATAATTTCACAAATTAACACCTTACTCTTACCATATTTGATTTCTTACTATTCCTCCGCATCTACAATTAATTAGTTCCACAACCACGACGCCGAAGTGTACGCTCCGTAGCGTCTTGTTGTACAATGTTTCCTTCTTCTCAAACTGAATGTTAATTCACTGCTATCCACTGCAAATAGGCATCAAATAAATATGTATATGTAGATGTTTAGCTGCCTCTATGTTGCTTCAGTACTTTCTAACAGACATAAACTGTCCCATGGATTCTCTGCCTAACCTATACCTGATGTCCTTTAAGCATGAATATCCTCTCTACAAATCCTCAAAACTTGTTTGCAGACAGTCACTGCTGGAGAGGATGGGTAAGACTTAACATCTGCTAAAATGACGGTTTTAGAGAGTACTTTTTTTCAATAATAAAAAATACACATTTTAGCATCCAGATCTGATCATCAGTAGACTGAACAATAAATTTTTTTTTCACTTTCACCAACTTGTACCCTGATTAAGCTTTATTGTTAAAAATAATTACAAGGGACAGTGATTTTTCTTTCTTTCTTTTGGTTTTGTCCACTGCCAGCTGTTGATTCAATACAGTGCACATGTATAATTAAGAATCTTACTCTAACTAGCACATGGAAGGTAGCCACCGACTGCCACACTTATTCAGGTTACCAATAAAAAAAGGGAATAGAGTGTTTTGTTGCACATTTCGTAGTAATGGCTGTAATACAATGGAAAAAGCTAACCTAAGTAAGAGATATTCACTGCCATTATTAATTTTCTTCAATCACTAAGTAATAGTGTTTATAGGGACTTGACTTAAGATTTGCATTAAACCTTAGTATGTCTTGGCCACTAAACACATGGAACAACAGAAATCAAAAGGCGAGGCTCTGTGCAGAAAAACTGACTGCAACCTCTTACTTTCAACCATAAAAGCATTGGATATATGCTGCACCTGCACATAATGTACCTGTAAACGGTTGCCACATGCCACTGGTGAATGAAAACCTTTAACAAAGTGTTGCTTGGGTGACCAGGGTGACTTGGGTAACTAGAGTGACTTATGGTGACTAGGGTGACAACGTTGATTTGGGTGACTTGGGTGACTTGGATGACTAGGGTGACTAGGGTAACTTGCGTGACTTGGGTGACAAGGATGATAAGGGTGACTTTGGCAACTAGGGTGACTTTGGTGACTAGGGTGACTTGGGTGACAAGGGTGACTTGGATGACTTGGGTGACTACGGTGACAAGGATAACAAGGGTGACTAGGGTGACTTAGGTAACTAGGGTGGCTTGGGTAACTTGGGTGACCAGGGTGACTTGGTCGACAAGGATGACTTGGATGACTAGGGTGTGTGACTTGGGTGATTATTCAGAGAACGTTTTGTTGACTAGGGTGACTAGGGTGACTAGGGTAACTTGCGTGACTTGGGTGACAAGGATGACTTGGGTGACTACGGTGACAAGGATAACAAGGGTGACTAGGGTGACTAGGGTGACAAGGGTGACTTGGATGATTAGTCAGAGAACGTTTTGTTGAATTAAATAATTATTTCAGTTAAGAAACAATATGAACCCTTCCACCACTTTCGTAATGACGAATCTGTAATATAATCTGCATAAATTTGCAAATAATTTGCATAATCTTCCCGGGTATTGTTAAAATTTGCATAGTTAATTAGAAATAATTAATGCCAAAAAACTATCTACCTAACTACCTAGCAAAACCCTTCCACGTAGGACTCGCCCTCGAGTCTTGCCGCCGGGTTAAAGGTTTAGGAGGGGCCCCCCTACCTTACCCCCCCTAAACCCTTAACCCGGCGGCAAGCGGCGATACTCGCCCTTACTCTTAGGCTACAGTCCCCCCACCCACCCGCCTGTGGAAGGTTTCCCTGTTCTACTCATCATCATTCACACTCTCTCTCTCTCTTACTGTCTACCTATCTACCTATTTACCTATCTACCACACCCTCTCATCCACCACACTCTCTCATTTACCCCACCCTGCCGACCACACCCTGTTGACCACACCCTGCCGACCACACCCTTGACCCAATCCCTCTTAACCTTATCCCTTTTTTTGGTGACCCCGAGATTTGAACCCCCAACCTTTGGTTTGCCAATTGGTTTGCTAATCTGATGCCCTCCCATCTGGGCCACCGCGGCTCAGATACAAATGGTTGGAAAATTTTATATATTAATTATGACTATTACATATGCAAAGTACCATTTCCTGTTTCCGGTACTGATTATTATGTAAATCAAAACCCCACTGGGCAGGTTCGTCCATTGAAAATTAAGTCAACTGAACAATAAACTACATTGTGATGTCACTAAAATCACTTAAACTTTTTTTCCGTGGCACTAATTTTGTTGAACCGGAAATATGAACTATAATAACAACACTGCAAAGACGAATTCGATCAACGTTCTCCCGACATGTTAGACGGTTAAGCCGAGTTAAGCGGCCTTTCTTCGTTGTCACAATCTTAAAAGTTACATCGGGAATAAAGGTACGTTTTCTTAAAATGATGAATTTGTTTTCTACTCATAAAATTTGACTCTGCGCAAACAAATGGCGACAAATGTTGAAATATTTTCTTCCGAGTTAAAATAGCTTAAACGCCGGAGAGGCTGTCGTAGCGAGTTTCTTTTCGGTTTGTTCTTGATTTTGATTTTGTTGACGGGTTTTAGCCCGAAAGAGTGGAAGTTTTATATATTTTCTAGAGTTTGTAATCGACTTTATATTAAATAGACGATGAAATCGACTAAACTGTTGAAAGACTTCTTAATAGCACTAAGAGCAGAACTCATAAGTTAGAGTAAACCTTTCGAAGAACGAATATACGCATTTAAGCAGAATAACAGAATTTACAGGACACAAAAAGAGGCTTCCCCTAAAGGCCTTAAAGAACGTTAACAGCGGAAAGACTTTTTGAGAAAAGAAATCAAACATAGACACTCTCGCAAACGGTGGCAAGATGACTGATCATTAAAAGTCGGGGTTGGAAAGACTTGGCTGTTTAAAATTATTTCTTCAAGTTTTTCAATGTTTTCTGTTCTTTATTTTCTTGTTTATGTATATTTGGTTGGCGGCAACACATTTTTTTCTCGGGTACAGTGCTGTTAGATTTTTAAAATAGAGAAATCAAATATAAACACTCTCGCAAACGTCGCCAGTTTGACTCATTGTGGAAAGCCGGATTTGGAAAGACTTGGCTGTTTTAAAAAATAATTTTTAATGTTTTTTAACGTTTTCAATTTTTATTTAATTGTTTGTGTATATTTGGTTAGCTACAACATGTTTTTTTTCTTGGGCACAGTCCTGTTCTAATTTTAAAATAAAGAAATCAAATATACACACTCTCGCAAACGACGGCAAAATGACTTATTATTTAAAGCCCGAGCCCGGACGACTTGGCTGTTTAAAATTTTTTTGTCAATGTTTTTACGTTTTTTGTCTTTTTATTTTCTTGTTTATATATATCTAGTTGACTACAGCGTGTTTTTTCTCGGGTACAATCCTATTAGATTTTTAAAATAAAAAAATAAACTGAACCAAGAGTTAAGCCGGTAAGACACATCTCGCAACATCTTGAATTTTAATTTTTACTCATGTTTACCTTTTCTCTCAAGGGAGAGTTTTGGCTCCGGTTCATTAACGCGTTGCTGTTGTTATTTGAGTTTTTTTGTAAAGTCAATTGTTTTATATTTTTCTTTAGTAACATTCATTGGGGACAATAACATTTTCTCACTTTATTATGTTATGTCCAGCTTTTGAATTAAGTCAACTTTAACCTAATTTTGTTTCCTCTCTTAGCGTTATATAATGTTAAAAAATTTTAAGTCCGAAAAAACCTAGATATTTGAATTTTTACTGCTTATTTGTTTTCGATTCTGCGGTTGTTGCCAGTCGTTTATTATGGATTTGCTAATTCTTTTTTTCTTGTAAAATAAATCGAAAGTGACAGCATTTGGTTCCCTGGTGTCTGACTGTTATGTCTGGAGGAGGACTTGGCTCTTGCTCGGTTTTTATCCTAATTATATTTCAGTATGATTTTGCCGCTTATTTGTTCTTTATCTTTAAAATCGTAGGTTAGGTAGGGAGCTCATACAATAAGCATCAAGGTTTCTATTTGAACTTCCTCGCCAAAAATGTACCTTTAATTCTTTTACTTATGGTTTACTTCTCTTTAATCTTTGAATAACATTTTTGTAATATATTAAATGTCTGTATGTCATATGTATTTGTTTTCTGGTAAATAGATAAACTGAAACTGAAACTGAAACTCTTGGATATCTATGTGGGTGTACACTGTTCTTCACTGATATACAATTTCTACCCTGACCTCGTTATTTTTTCCTGCTCATTTCTTTTTGCACCGTCGCTTTTTTCAGGCGAGCTAACGTCTCAATATTTAAAGAGACAGAGCAGGGGTTGAGGTAAGTACCCCTAAAAACCCCGCCCTCCTTTCTCGGTCCCAGACCTCGCAACAAGTATGCACGACAAAAATGGCGTCTACAGCTGTCGTAAACTGTTCTGGCTTGCAGGTTGAAGATAACTGCTTGTTTCTACGACCAGTTTTGTTTGGTTATGTGATATATGACCTTCTATTTAGTGATGTTACTATTTAGTAATTACTAATGCTAACTGAAGATCGTGCTAAAATTTAGTAGTCCGACTCAAATATTAAAGCGTTAACTTGGCACTGCCTTTAAGTGGTAGTCACAAACTGGACTAAATTCGTTTTTATTTCAGGAGAAAAGTAATGCCGAGGAAAAGGTGGCAAAGACAAAGGACACCACAGAGCCACCATCTACCACGAGAGCTGAAGTGGTGGATTTGAGCAAGGAGGAGGTAAATATTGTAACTCTACATTTCAAAAATTTGAAGTTTGATTTTAAGTATTTGCTTGGATCATGGTCTTCCTTGAAAAGCGTTTTTCTGTCATAAGTGCAGTTCGTTAAAGCTGTTTTTAGTCAATGATTGCAGTCCAAGTAAAGAAGCGTTTTCACACTTTGTTAATGAATTGGAATCATCTCTTATTTCAAATTTTCCATTTTTGCATAATAAGTGCATGTACTGGATTATGGTAAGCCGAGCTGCTTTGCTGATTTTACTTAACTTGAAAATTTTATAACCATTAAGTTTTGTTCACTGAAAAACTTTGGATTGCTTTCTTTCAGGAGAAAACTAACTCTAATGCATCAGCAAAGACCAATGATAGCTCCGCAATGCCATTATCTGCACAGGCAATTCTGTACTAACTATTTTTAACAACTTGTAGTTATGAAGGTTTGGCTTATAAAAGAGAATTTCATCCATGTGCATTTATATTGGCTGTGTTGCAGCCGGCTCATAGAAGGTTTATGGTGTCTGTAACGCAGGCTACATTTATACCCTCACTCAAAAGAAGTATAATATTTTGATTCTGTTTTAAAATAACTTCATTTGTCCAGCAAATTTGAACAGCAGTCGTTTGGCAAATATGCAAGCATTTAGTTTTAAACGTCTGAAGTCAGTTGGTCTGAACGTCTAGAAGTAAGTTCCCCAACGCCTACAATTTGTAGATATTTAAAGTAGGTTTTAGTGCAGGCAACTTTTGTTTTGCACTTCTATTAACTACGTGAACGTCTTACATGTACGCTTTAACTGAAATGTTTGCAAAATTTTGTTATGATCATGTTTAAATCGCGGTAACTGAAACTGATACTCCATTTTTTTATTTTGTTCTTTAGAAAGATCACTTTGCAGGAGACCGATACAAAGAATTCTTAAAGGAACAAAGAAAGAGGGAAGAAGACCTGGCAGCTAAACGTAAAAGTGCAACCAAGAAACTGAATTTTCCTGATTCTTCCCACGATGTCATCATGAAAAAAATTGATTCTCCAGACAACGTCAGCCTGATTAAAAAGCAGCTTGAGGCACAAACAAGAGAGCATAATCTTCTAAAGAATCAGATCCCAAATCATGAGCAATTCTTAAAGGTAAGCACAAAGCAATGTAGTTTCTTTATTCTCCGTCAAGAATCAGGTTGCAGTGGCTACCAAATAATAGCAACACACTCCCTCAAAAAGCTCTTTCTTTCAGTCTTCTTTTTTAGTTTTTGTGGACTTGTTTTTTGTTGCCCTTCTCTCATTGTTTCTGCTTGAAGAGCGAAGACTTTGGACAGTTTTTTTTGCAGAATGGGGCGATTTGAATTTCCCTGACATTAATGATACTTTGCTGTCAACTTTGTAAGTTTGAAAATCGAAAGAAAAGAAAGGCACAATTTTAACAACAGTATTAAAATGCAGTTTTTATCACTGCTGGAAGTGTGCTGTGCCTACATTTATTCATGTATTTATTTTGACTTAAGATGATGGACAGATTCGAAGATTCTCTTGTCTCATTGGGGGAGATGTTGGGGCACAGATTGTCACAGATCAAACAATGGCTAGAATATTTAGAGACTGTGGTAAGTTGAATCATAATAATAACCTTTATTTATCCATCTTTTAAAAATATATACAATGGATTTACAATACTATAAAATGCTATCAAGTGATTATTCTAATAAAAAAGTAAGAAAAGTAGGTAAGAAAGTAAGTCCAAGTAAGTAAGTAAAAATAACAGGTCATTAAAGAAGTCTAGCAGCTCTTGCTATAAATGAATTTGCATGTCGTTGCGTCCCTGACTGTGGTATTGCTACTGAACCTGGTTTGGATCTTAAGTTATAGCCGTGGCTGGTATTTAGCTTAGTGAGAAAAATTTGATTTGGGTGGTTAATATAATTCACAATTCTTACTAATTCACGCTTTGTTGCTACATTGCACCTGTCCTCTAGTGTTGGAAGGAATGTTCTTGGTATCCTGATGATATCTACACACCTGTTTTGTAAAGACTGCAACTCTTCTGTAAGGTGCTTTGGCAAGCCGCCCCACAGTGGGGAGGCATATTCGAGAAGTGGGCGTTTTCTGGTACAATAATATATCCTGATGCTGATCTCTGTAGGTAGGTTTGCTTTCATACATTCCCTAAAAAAATACAATCTCTTGCTGGCTTTCTTTACAGTCAGTTCAACACGGTAATTCCAACATAGGTTGTCTTGTTGCCATACCCCCAGTAGCTTAAACTTGCATACCCTCTCTCTTACAACCAGGGGTCTTAGAACCAGGGGTTCTTAAAATCGGGGGTCTTACAAACCGGGGTTCTTACAACCAGAAGCCTTAGAACCAGTGGTTCTTACAATCGGGGGTCTTAACACTAGGGGTTCTTACAACCATGGGTCTTACAACCAGGGGTTCGTACAACCGGGGTCTTAAACCAGGGGTCTTACATCCAGGGGTTCTTACAACCAGTGGTTCGTACAACTGGGGGTCTTACAACCAGAGGTTCTTACAACCACCGGTCTAAGGGTTCCGACAATTAGGGGTCTTACAACCAGGAGTTCTTATAACCAGAGGTCTTACAACCAGGAGTTCTTATAACCAGAGGTCTTACAACCAGGGGTCTTACAACCAGAGCATCTTAGGACCAGGGGTTCTTACAACCAGGGGTCTTAGAAGCAGGGGTTCTTACAACGGGGGGTCTTACAACGAGGGGTTCTTATAACCAGGGGTTCTTACAACTAACAGTCTTATGACCAGGGGTTCTTATAACCGGGGGTCTCACAACTAAGGGTTCCGACAATTCGGGGTCTTACAACCAGGAGTTCTTATAACCAGCAGTCTTACAACCAGGGGTCTTAGAACCAGCGGTTCTTACAACCGTTGGTGTCACCACTAGGGGTTCTTACAACTGGGGGTCTTACAACGAGGGGTTCTTACAACCAGGGGTCTTACAACCAGCGGTTCTTATAACTAACAGTCTTATGACCAGGGGTTCTTATAACCGGGGGTCTCACAACTAAGGGTTCGACAATTAGGGGTCTTACAACCAGGAGTTCTTATAACCAGCAGTCTTACAACCAGGGGTCTTAGAACCAGCGGTTCTTACAACCGTTGGTGTCACCACTAGGAGTTCTTACAACTGGGGGTCTTACAACGAGGGGTTCTTACAACCAGGAGTCTTACAACCAGGGGTTCTTACAACTAACAGTCTTATGACCAGGGGTTCTTATAACCGGGGGTCTCACAACTAAGGGTTCCGACAATTAGGGGTCTTACAACCAGGAGTTCTTATAACCAGAGGTCTTTCAACCAGGAGTTCTTATAACCAGAGGTCTTACAACCAGGGGTTCTTACAACCAGAGCGTCTTAGGACCAGGGGTTCTTACAACCAGGGGTCTTAGAAACAGGGGTTCTTACAACTGGGGGTCTTACAACGAGGGGTTCTTACAACCGGGGGCTCTTACAACTAACAGTCTTATGACCAGGGGTTCTTATAACCGGGGGTCTCACAACTAAGGGTTCCGACAATTAGGGGTCTTACAACCAGGAGTTCTTATAACCAGCAGTCTTACAACCAGGGGTCTTAGAACGAGCGGTTCTTACAACCGTTGGTGTCACCACTAGGGGTTCTTACAACCGTCTGTCTGACAGCGTGGGGTTCTTAAAACCAGGGGTCTTTCAACCAGGGGGTCTTACAACCAGGGCTCTTACAACCAGGTTTTCTTACAACTGGGGGACTTACAACCAGGGGTTCTTACGACTAAAAGTCTTACGACCGATGGTTCTTTCAACCGGGGGTCTCACAACTAGGGGTTCCGACAATTAGAGGTCTTACCACCAGGGGTCCTTATAACCAGCAGTACAACCAGGGGTTCTTACAACCAGGGGTCTTACAACCAACGGATCTTACAACCGCGGGTCTTTTAACCTGAGGTTCTTACAACCTTGGGTCTTACAACAAGGGGTTCTTACAACCATAGGTCTTAGAACCGAGGGTCTTACAACCAAGGGTTCTTACAAGCGGGGGTCTTACAACCAGTGGTTCTTACAACAAGGGGTTCTTACAACCTTGGGTTTTTAAAACCAGGGGTCTTAGAACCAGGGGTTCTTACTACCGGGGGTGTTACAACTAGTTGCTCTTACAACCATCAGTCTTACAACCAGGGGTTCTTACTACCGGGGGTCTTACAACCAGGGGTTCTTACTACCGGGGGTCTTACAACCAGGGGTTCTTACTACCGGGGGTCTTACAACCAGGGGTTCTTACAACCAGGGGTCTTACAAGCAGGGGTTCTTCAAACCAGTGGTCTTACAACCAGCGGTTCTTACAACCAGGGTTTCTTCCAACCAGGTGTTCTTACAACCGGGGGTCTTACAAGCAGGGGTTCTTACAACCAGGGTTTCTTACAAGCAGCGGTCTTACAAGTAGGGGTTCTTACAACCAGTGGTTCTTGCAACCGGAGGTCTTACAACCAGGGGTTCTTACAACAAGGGTTCTTACAACCAGGGGTTCTTGTAACTGGGGGTCTTACAACCAGGGCTTCTTGCAACCAGGGGTCTTACAATCAGGGGTCCTTACAACCGGAGGTCTTACAACCAGGGGTTCTTACAACCAGGGGTTCTTATAACCAGGGGTTTTTACAATCAGGGGTTCTTAGAACAAAAGGGTGTACAACCAGGGTGTTACAAGCACGGGTTTTGTGCGATTAGGGGTTCTTACAACCAGGGGTCTCACGACCAGGGGTTCCGACAATTAGGGGTCTTACAACCAACGGTTCTTACAACCAGTGGTCTTACAACCAGGGGTTCTTACAACCAGTGGTCTTAGAAGTAGGAGTTCTTACATCCAGCTGTCTTACAACTAGGGGTTCTTACAACCACGGGTCTTAAAACCAGGGGTCCTTACAACCAGGGGTTCTTACAACAGAGGGTTTTAGAAGCAGGGGTTCTTACATCCGGGGGTCTTACAACCAGAGTATCTTACATCCAGGGCTCTTAGAAGCAGGGGTTCTTACAGCCAAGGTTTCTCACAACTGTTGAAGCAAGGATTCATTTTAAGATTCTTCTTATCACATAAAAGATCTTAAATGGACAATCTGCTGGATATCTGGAACCTCTGATTAATGATTATCATCCATCAAGAGCTCTATGATCGTCATCCCGTTCGCTATTATGAACCCCAGCCATAAAATCCAAAACACTCCAGCACCTCAGTTATGGAACACTACCCCAGAATATATCAAAAATGCCGACAGTGATACAACATTTAAAACAAAACTTAAAACATTTCCATTCAGGAAATGTTTCAATTGATTCTCATGCTTAACATTTTAGTTTTTTTTAAAGTTTTACAATACTTGATGTATAACTGATGTCACAATAGGCTAGAAATGTAATGATCTTCAATCGGCTGTCATAATGTAAAGCGCATTGAAAATAGAAAAGCGCTTAATAAGAATCTATATTATTATTATTATTTAACTAGAGGTCTTACAACTAGGTGTTCTTTCAAAAAGGTGTTCTTACAACCAGGGGGTCTTACAAGCAAGGGTCTTACATCCAGGGGTTCTTAAAACCGGGGGTCTTACAATCAGGGGTTCCTACAACCAGGGTTTCTTACAGGCAGCGGTTTTACAACTAGGGGTTCTTACAAGCAGGGATTCTTACAACCGCGGGTCTCACAACCAGGGGTTCCGACAATTAGGGGTCTTACAACCAGGGACTCTTAGAACGAGGGGTTTTAGAACAAGGAGTTCTTACAGTCGGGGGTCTTAGAACTAGGGGTCCTTACAACCAGGGGTCTTAAAACCAGCGGCTCTTTCAACCAGTTGTTCTTACAACATGGTGTCTTAGAAGCAGGGCTTTTTATAAACAGGGCTTCTTACAACCGGGGGTCTTACAACCAGGGGTTCTTACAACTGGAGGTCTTACAACCAAGGGTTCTTACAACCTTGGGTCTTACAACAAGTTGTTCTTACAACCGGGGGTCTTACAACTAAAGGTTCTTACAACCAGGTTTTCTTGCTACCAGTGGTTCTTACAACCAGGGGTTCTTACGACCGGGGGTCTTACAAGCAGGGGTTCTTACAATCAGGGGTTTTACAACAAGGGGTTCTTACAACCGGGTTCTTACAACCATTGGCTCTTACAACCAGGGCTTTTAGAACCAAGGGTTCTCTACAACGAGGGGTCTTACAACCAGGGGTTTTTACAACCAGGTGTTTTTACAACTGGGGTTCTTACAAGAAGGGGTTGGTACAACCAGGAGTTGTTACAACTGGGGGTTTTACCACCTGGGGTTCTTACAACAAGGGGTTCTTACAACCAGGGGTTCTTTCAACTGAGGGTCTTAGAACCAGGGGTTCGTACAACCAGAGGTCTTACAACCAGGGGTCTTACAACCAGGGGTTGTTACAACCAGTGGTTCGTACAACTGGGGGTCTTACAACCAGAGGTTCTTACAACCAGCGGTCTAAGGGTTCCAACAATTAGGGGTGTTACAACCAGGAGTTCTTATAACCAGCGGTCTTACAACCAGGGTTCTTACAACCAGAGACTCTTAGGACCAGGGGTTCTTACAACCAGGGGTCCTAGAAACAGGGGTTCTTACAACTGGGAGTCTTACAATGAGGGGTTCTTACAACCAGGGGTCTTACAACTAACGGTTCTTACAACATGTGGTCTTACAACTAGGGGTTCTTACAACCAGGGTTTCCTACAACCGGGGGTCTTACAACCAGGGGTCTTAGAAGCAGAGGTTCTTACAACCAGTGGTCTTACAACTAGGAGTTCTCACAACCAGGGATTCTTACAACCGGGGATCTTACAATGAGGGGTCCTTACAACCAGGGGTCTTACAACTAATGGTTCTTACAACCAGGTTTTCTTACAACTTGGGGACTTACAGCCAGGGGTTCTTACAACTAACAGTCTTATGACCAGGGGTTCTTATAATCGGGGGTCTCACAACTAGGGGTTCCCACAATTAGGGGTCTTACAACCAGGAGGTCTTATAACCAGCAGTCTTACAACCAGGAGTCTTAGAACCAGAGGATCTTAGAACCACCGTTGGTGTTACAACTAGGGGTTCTTACAAACGTCTGTCTGTCAACCTGTGGTTCTTAAAACCAGGGGTCTTTCAACCAGGGGGTCTTACAACCAGGTTTTCTTACAACTGGGGGGCTTACAACCAGGGGTTCTTACAACTAAAAGTCTTACGACCAATAGTTCTTTCAACCGGGGGTCTCACAACTAGGGGTTCCGACAATTAGAAGTCTTACCACCAGGGGTTCTTATAACCAGCAGTCTTAAAAACAGGGGTTCCTACAACTAGGGGTCTTCAAATCAGGGGTTCTTACAACCGGGGGTCTTTTAACCTGGGTTTCTTACAACCTTTGGTCTTACAACAACGGTTTCTTACAACCACAGGTCTTAGAACCGGGGGTCTTACAACAAGGGGTTCTTACAACCTTGGTTCTTCCAACCAGGGGTTCTTACAAGTGGGGGTCTTACAACCAGGGGTTCTTACAACCAGGGGTCTTACAACAAGGGGTTCTTACAACCTTGGGTTCTTAAAACCAGGGGTCTTAGAACCATTGGTTCTTACTACTGCGGGTGTTACAACTAGTGGCTCTTACAACCATCGGTCTTACGACCAGGGGTTCTTACAACCAGGGGTTTTACAACCAGGTTTTCTTACAACTGGGGGACTTACAACCAGGGGTTCTTACAACTAAAAGTCTTACGACCAATGGTTCTTTCAACCGGGGGTCTCACAACTAGGGGTTCTGACAATTAGAAGTCTTACCACCAGGGGTTCTTATAACCAGCAGTCTTACAACCAGGGCTTCTTACAACCTTGTGTCCTTAAAACCAGGGGTCTTAGAACCAGGGGTTCTTACTACTGGGGTTGTTACAAGTAGTGGCTCTTACAACCATCAGTCTTACAACCAGGGGTTCTTACAACTGCGGGTTCTTCCAACCAGGTGTTCTTACAACCGGGGGTCTTACAAGCAGGGGTTCTTACAAGCAGAAGTGTTACAACCAGGGGTTCTTAAAACCGGGGGTCTTACAATCAGGGGTTCTTACAACTAGTGGTTCTTACAACCATCGGTCTTACAACCAGGGGTTCTTACAACCAGGGGTCTTACAACCAGGGGTTTTTACAACCATGGCTCTGACAAGCAGGGGTTCTTACAACTGGGGGTCTTACAACCAGGGCTCTTACAACCATTGGTTCTTGCAACCAGGGGTCTTACAATGAGGGTCCTTACAACCGGAGGTCTTATAACCAGGGGTTTTTACAATCAGGGGTTCTTAGAATGAAAGGGTTTACAACCAGGGTGTTACAAGCAGGGGTCTTGTGCGATTAGGGGTTCTTACAACCAGCGGTCTTACAACCAGGGGTCTTAGAAGCAGGAGTTCTTACATCCAGCTGTCTTACAACTAGGTGTTCTTACAACCAGGGGTGTTACATCTAGAGGTTCTTACAACTAGGGGTCTTAAAACCAGGGGTCTTATAACCCGGGGTTCTTACAACAGAGGGCTTTAGAAGCAGGGGTTTTTATAAACAGGGGTTCTTACAACCGGGGGTCTTACAACCAGGGTATCTTACATCCAGGGCTCTTAGAAGCAGGAGTTGTTACAACCAGGGGTCTTACAACCAGGGGTTCTTACAACCAGGGGTTCTTACAACCAAGGTTTCTCACAACTGTTGAAGCAAGGATTCATTTTAAGATTCTTCTTATCACATATAAGATCTTAAATGGACAATCTGCTGGATATCTTTAACCTCTGATTAAGGATTATCATCCATCAAGAGCTCTACAATCGTCATCCCGTTCGCTATTATGAATCGCAGCCATAAAATCCAAAACACTGCAGCACCTCAGTTATGGAACACTACCCCAGAATATATCAAAAATGCGGACATTGATACAACATTTAAAACAAAACTTAAAACATTTCCATTCAGGAAATGTTTCAATTGATTCTCATACTTAACATTTAAGTTTTTTTAAGAGTTTTACAATACTTGAATATTGATTTTCATGCCTTACATTTTAGGATTTTTAAGTTTTGCAAGTTGGTTTTTTAAAGTTTTTGCAAACATAACATTTCGGATTTTTTTTTTTTTTAAATTTACAATACTTGATGTATAATGTTACAATTGATTTTCATGCTTAACGTCTTAGGATTTTTAAAGTTTTACAATACTGGATGTATAATGTCACAATAGGCTAGAAATGTAATGATCTTCAATCGGCTTTCATAATGTAAAGTGCATTGAGGATAGAAATGCGCTTAATAAGAATCTATATTATTATTATTATTTAACTAGGGGTCTTACAACTAGGGGTTCTTTCAACCAGGTGTTCTTACAACCGGGGGTCTTACAAGCAGGGGTCTTACAACCAGGGGTTCTTAAAACCAGGGGTCTTACAATCAGGGGCTCCTACAACCAGGGTTTCTTACAGGCAGCGGTTTTACAACTAGGGGTCTTAGAACCAGGAGTTCTTACAGGCGGGGGTCTTAGAACTATGGGTTCTTACAACCAGAAGTCTTAAAACCAGCGGCTCTTTCAACCAGTTGTTCTTACAACATGGTGTCTTAGAAGCAGGGGTTTTTATAAACAGGACCTCTTACAACTGGGGGTCTTACAACTAGGGGTTCTTACAACCAGGGGTCTTATAACCAAGGGTTCTTACAACCTTGGGTCTTACAACAAGTTGTTCTTACAACCAGGGGTCTTACAACTAAAGGTTCTTACAATCAGGTTTCCTTGCTAGCAGTGGTTCTTACAACAAGGAGTTTTTACAACCAGGGGTTCTTGCGACCGGCAGTCTTACAAGCAGGGGTTCTTACAATCAGGGGTTTTACAGCAAGGGGTTCTTACAACCGGGTTCTTACAATCATTGGTTCTTACAACCAGGGCGTTTAGAACCAAGGGTTCTCTACAACGAGGGGTGTTACAACTAGGGATTCGTACAAACATGGGTCTTACAACCAGGGGTTTTTACAACTGGGGTTCTTACAAGCAGGGGTTGGTACAACCAGGAGTTGTTACAACTGGGGGTTTTACCACCTGGGGTTCTTACAACAAGGGGTTCTTTCAACTGAGGGTCTTAGAACCAGGGGTTCGTTCAACCGGGGGTCTTACAACCAGGGGTCTTACATCCAGGGATTCTTACAACCAGTGGTTCGTACAACTGGGGGTCTTACATCCAGAGGTTCCTACAACCAGCGGTCTAAGGATTCCGACAATTAGGGGTGTTACAACCAGGAGTTCTTATAACCAGCGGTCTTACAACCAGGGGTCTTACAACCAGAGAATCTTAGGACCAGGGGTTCTTACAACCAGGGGTCCTAGAAACAGGGGTTCTTACAACTGGGGGTCTTACAATGAGGGGTTCTTACAATCAGGGGTCTTAGAACCAGGGGTTCTTACAACCAGAGGTCTTACAACCAGGTTTTCTTACAACTTGGGGACTTACAACCAGGGGTTCTTACAACTAACAGTCTTATGACCAGGGGTTCTTATAACCGGGGGTCTCACAACTAGGGGTTCCGACAATTAGGGGTCTTACAACCAGGAGTTCTTATAATCAGCAGTCTTACAACCAGGGGTCTTAGAACCAGAGGGTCTTAGAACCACCGTTGGTGTTACAACTAGGGGTTCTTACAACCGTCTGTCTGACAACCTGTGGTTCTTAAAACCAGGGGTCTTTCAACCAGGGGGTCTTACAATCAGGTTTTTTTACAACTGGGGGACTTAACAACCAGGGGGTCTTACAACTAAAAGTCTTATGACCAATAGTTCTTTCAACCGGGGGTCTCACAACTAGGGGTTCCGACAATTAGAAGTCTTACCACCAGGGGTTCTTATAACCAGCAGTCTTAAAACCAGGGGTTCCTACAACCAGGGGTCTTCAAACCAGGGGTTCTTACAACCAGGGGTTCTTACAATCGGGGGTCTTTTAACCTGGGGTTCTTACAACCTTGGGTCTTACAACAAGGGTTTCTTACAACCACAGGTCTTAGAACCGAGGGTCTTACAACAAGGGGTTCTTACAAGTGGGGTTCTTCCAACCAGGGGTTCTTACAAAAGGGGGTCTTACAACCAGGGGTTCTTACAACCAGGGGTCTTACAACAAGGGGTTCTTACAACCTTGGGTTCTTAAAACCAGGGGTCTTAGAACCAGGGGTTCTTACTACCGCGGGTGTTTCAACTAGTGGCTCTTACAACCATCGGTCTTACAACCAGGGGTTCTTACAACCAGGGGTTCTTACAACCAGGGGTTTTACAACCAGGTTTTCTTACAACTGGGGACTTACAACCAGGGGTTCTTACAACTAAAAGTCTTACGGCCAATGGTTCTTTCAACCTGGGGTCTCACAACTAGGGGTTCCGACAATTAGAAGTCTTACCACCAGGGGTTCTTATAACCAGCAGTCTTACAACCAGGGGTTCCTACAACCGGGGGTCTTCAAACCAGGGGTTCTTACATCCTTGGGTCCTTAAAACCGGGGGTCTTAGAACCTGGGGTTCTTACTACCGGGGTGTTACAAGTAGTGGCTCTTATAACCATCAGTCTTACAACCAAGGGTCTTAAAATCAGAGGTTCTTACAACCAGAGGTCTTACAATTAGGGGTTCTTACAACCAGGGGTCTTAAAATTAGAGGTTCTTACAACCAGAGGTCTTACCATTAGAGGTTCTTACAATAATCTGCTGTTACTTTAAGGGGTTCTTTAAACCGGGGGTCATAGAACCATGGGTTCTTACACGCAGGGGGTCTTACAACAATCGGTTCTTACAACATGGGTTTTTATGACTAGGGGTTCTTACAACCAGGGGTTCCGACAGTTAGGGGTCTTACAACAAGGGTTTCTTACAACCAGGGGTCTTTCAACCAGGGCTTCTTACAACCAGGGGTCTTAGAAGCAGGGGTTCTTACATCTGGGGGTCTTATAACTAGGGGTTTTTACAACCAGGGGTCTTAAAACCAAAGGCTCTTTATCAACCAGGGGTTTTTACAACCGGAGGTCTTAGAAGCAGAGGTTTTTAAAACCAGCGGTTCTTTACAACTGGGCGTCTTACAACCAGGGGTTGTTACAACTGGGGGTCTTACAACCATGGTTCTTACAACTGGGTGTCTTACAATCAGGGTTCTTACAACCGGGTGTCTTAAAACCAGGGGTTCCTACCACAAGAGCTGAAGTGGTGGATTTGATTAAGGAGGAGGTAAATATTGTAACTCTACATTTCCAAAATTTGAAGTTTGATTTTGAGTATTTGCTTGGATCATGGTCTTCCTTGAATAGGGTTTTTCTGTCATAAGTGCAGTTCCTTAAAGCTGTTTTTAGTCAATGATGGCAGTCCAAGTAAAGAAGTGTTTTCACACTTTGTTAATGAATTAGAATCATCTCGTATTTCAAATTTTCCATTTTTGCATTATAATTTCACGTAGTTGATTATGGTAAGCCAAGCTGCTTTGCTGATTTTACTTAACTTGAAAATTTTATAACCATTAAGCTTTGTTCACTGAAAAACTTTGGATCGCTTTCTTTCAGGAGAAAACTAACTCTAATGCGTCAGCAAAGACCAATGATAGCTCCGCAATGCCATTATCTGCACAGGTAATTCTGTTTAGTAACTATTTTTAACAACTTGTAGTTATGAAGGTTTGGCCTATAAAAGAGAATTTCATCCATGTGCATTTATATTGGCTGCGTTGCAGCCGGCCCACAGAAGGTTTATGGTGTCTGTAATACAGGCTACATTTATACCCTCACTCAAAAGAAGTATAATATTTTGATTCTGTTTTAAAATAACTTCATTTGTCCAGCAAATTTGAACAGCAGTCGTTTGGCGAATATGCAAGTATTTAGTTTTAAACGTCTGCAGTCAGTTGGTCTGAACGTCTAGTAGTCACTTCCCGAGTGCCTACAATTTGTAAATATTTAAAGTAGGTTTTAGTGCAGGCAACTTTTGTTTTTCACTTCTGTTAACTACGTGAACGTCCTACATGTACGCTTTAACTGAAACGTTTGTAAAATTTTGTTATGATCATGTTTAAATCGCGGTAACTGAAACTGATACTCCATTTTTTTATTTTCTTCTTTAGAAAGATCAAGTCACAGGAGATCGATACAAAGAATTCTTAAAGGAACAAAAAAAGAGGAAAGAAGACCTGGCAGCTAAATGTAAAAGCGCAACCAAGAAACTGAATTTTCCTGATTCTTCCCACGATGTCATCATGAAAAAGATTGATTCTCCAGACAACATCAGCCTGATTAAAAAGCAGCTTGAGGCACAAACAAGAGAGCATAATCTTCTAAAGAATCAGATCCCAGATCAGGAGCAATTCTTAAAGGTAAGCACAAAGCAATGTAGTTTCTTTATTCTCGGTCAAGAATCAGGTTGCAGTGGCTACCAAAATAATAATAGCAACAGGCCCCCTCAAAAAGTTCTTTCTTTCAGTCTTCTTTTTTAGTTTTTGTGGACTTGTTTTTTGTTGCGCTTCTCTCATAGTTTGTGGTTGAAGAGCGAAGACTTTGGACAGTTTTTTTTTTTGCAGAATGGGGCGATTTGAATTTCCCTGACATTAATGATACTTTGCTGTCAACTTTGTAAGTTTGAAAATCAAAGGAAAGAAAGGCATAATTTTAACAACAGTATTAAATCCAGTTTGTATCGCTGCTGGAAGTGTGCTGTGCCTACATTTATTCATGTATTTATTTTGACTTAAGATGATGGACAGATTCGAAGATTCTCTTTTCTCATTAGTGGAGACGTTGGGGCACAGATTGTCACAGATCAAACAATGGCTGGAATATTTAGAGACTGTGGTAAGTTGAATAATAATAATAACCTTTATTTATCCATCTTTTAAAATATTTACAATGGATTTACAATACTATAAAATGCTATCAAGTGATTATTCTAATAAAAAAGTAGGTAAGTAAGTCAGTAAGTAAACATAACAGGTCATTAAAGAAGTCTTGCAGCTCTTGCTATAAATGAATTTGCATGTCTTTGCATCCCTGACTGTGGTATTGCTACTGAGTGAACCTGGTTTGGATCTTAAGTTATAGCCGTGGCTGGTATTTGGCTTAGTGAGAAAAATTTGATTTGGGTGGTTAATATAATTTACAACTCTTTCTAATTCATGCTTTGTTGCTATGTTGCACCTGTCCTCTAGTATTGGAAGGGATGTTCTTGGTATCCCGATGATATCTACACACCTGTTTTGTAAAGACTGCAACTCTTCTGCAATGTACTTTTGCAAACTGCCCCACAGTGGGTGGCATATTCGAGAAGTGGGCGTATTTTGGTACAATAATATATCCTGATGCTGATCTCTGTAGGTAGGTTTGCTTTCATACATTCCGTTAAAAAATACAATCTCTTGCTGGCTTTCTTTACAGTTTGACTTCAACATGGTAATTCCAACATAGGTTGACAGTTTAAACAAGAACCCCTTTAACCCACTCCTTGACAAGCGTTTTTAAAGAAGATTTTATAGTATGTTTATATGTTTGACCAATACAAGGGTGAGGATTCTGTGATTTTAAGAGCTGTGCAGCTGCAAGCTGTAACCTAATTAAGAATAGATGAAATGACAATAATAATAGTGATATTAGATTGTTACAAAGAATAATAATATCAAAAGTAGGTTGAGTTTGTCCGGGTGAACGTAGTCTCCATTTTGGTGACGTCCGCCAGTGTGACAACACAATTTGTGCTTTGAACTAAAAATCCAAAAAAAGTTTTCAGTCATTAATTGTAGTCCATCGAGCAAGTTTAGTTAACAAATAACAAAAATCATAAGATATACGGAAATTTAGCACACATGCAACATTTGAGGGGTAGTTTGATCCCATCGTGGCAATGCAGTTTTGAATGTTCAAAACTATGTGCCTAAAATTTAAATTATCGTGACACATCTATTTTCGGTATTTTGTCTGCAAGCTTGCTTTCAGTTTATTGATATTTTTTTACCTTCACCTTCACAATTCTGCAGTTATCTCTTGTGGTAAAATTGTAGAGCTGAGTCTGATGTGTTTTTTTTCTTTTCATTTTGCTAGATTTTTTTGTTGTGTCCAAAGATAGACAATGATAATGAATCTGTTATGAAAAATTAGCAACATTGAGTTGTTGGAATATGTTTTTTTTATTAGAAAGGGGAAATTACAGAGAATTTACTAGAAAGAGTCACCGAAGAAGGCTACATCATTGACTTAAAGCAGCACCAGGTGATGAAAACTATTATTACAGTGCTGCCATTCTTTAAATAGGGTTCAAAGCCGGTCTGGTGAAAATCTTATTTTGCTTATAATATTATTAATATTATGAGTCCCATCATTATGATGTAAGTGATTGCCATATGTGTGTTCAGTTTATTTCTTTCCTGGTTGTCTAAAATGAAAATTGGGAGTTAAATTAAAATGACAAGCTTTACTAAATAAATGCTTGTTATTTAATTTTACAAATTATTTTCCATATTTCCAAATGGTCCAGCAGATACAAATTTAATTATGAAATTCATCACTAAGACTTGAACAGATACACTGTATGTTGTGTGACTCCCATTTCTTTTTTTTCTTTATAAATCAACAGGATAAGGAAAATGACCTTTGCAATTCCAATGTACAAGTAATTTTGATATTAAAGGAGTTATGGATCAGGTGCTTAATGCATGGCTGAATGCTTTGGGGATCCTCATGAAGAATAGATACATAATGTATGTGAATTTGATAATTAGAATAATTAATGCATTGGCTGATGTGCTTCGTTATGAAATTAGAATTAATCACCACAATCACAGCTGATTGGATTAATTACAATAAATATTGATATATGTATTTTGATTCTTACATGTACAGCTCTTTGTTTAATCTAAGAGTTGTTACTTTTTTTCTTAATCTCCTAATCTCCCTATGCAACACTTGCCTATTCTCATCACTCTTTCCTTTTCATAATTTGTCTACACATTCGTTAATTCTTTTCTCTTAAAGGCTGAATTTGTGGCTTACACTATGATGACCGTTTGTTAACTAATTGACTAGTATGTATGTCTGTGGGTGCTGTAAGTTTGATTTGATTTTTTGTTTCAGGTTTAGAGAACAACACTGTGTTATCATAACACTTTCAAGTGTTACACATGTAGCAATAGTTCAGAGTCAGATTAAAAGGTAATTACGCATAATCCGTTTTGCAATCCATGTTACTGAGCCTGAAACTTTCTTTTCTTCATTTGTTATTTATCATTGTAAGAGTGGATTACTTTGTTGAAAATGAGTAATAAATCCAACTCCTTCGAAAGTGATCTACTGAATTTCCAAAAAGGACCCGTTCCGTACAAAAGCTGATTACACCATTTTGTTTACTATAATAACATCTAACCTATTAAGCGTAAAAGTGATTTATCTCTAATCCAATAAAAAAGTGGTTAATATGACAGCTCCTAGTAACGTAATGACAAAATACTAAAAACAAAACAAAAAAAATGTCACACTATAATTATTTCTGAAAATATTGACATACTTGATTTTTTTAATAACTGCAAATTGTGTCTCTGAGGACATTATTATTGTTATTATTATGACTCAAATATATTGTTATTGTGTGTGTAACTTATTTCAATCAGAATTTTTCCTATTAATTTTGTTGAAGATACACCTAGAATGCCTGACACACGCCTCCCCAAGAGAGGGAAATGGCAACAGGGTGGACAAAAGAAGCAAAGCACTATAAGACTGTCTCAAAGCATTGCTGTAAATCTTTGATATAGATGTTGAAACCTGGGACACCTTGGCTCTAGACCAACCTGCCTGGCACAGCAAAGTCAACAAAGGCACTGTCCTTTTTTAGCTAAACAGGATAACAGGGGCTCAGAGGAAGCAGGAGCTGTGCGAATCCAAAGTGATCTCCTTGACACCTGCTTCAGAAAATCGCCAGTGTCTGGTATGCGGCAGAGCCTTCTGCACATGATTGGATTGATAAGCCACGGTGGGAAACACTGCACCTAATACCTCTCTCATGTGATGTTCTTGGGCATTGCTAAGAACAACAGACAAACAACAACAAAAACTGGAGTCACATAACAAGGTAATACATTGGGTATAATGTTGGACAGTAATAGTTATTCATACTAGCTGAAGTACCAAATTGGAATCATTGCATGTGTGTTTGATAAGCATTGAATTAAGAAATGAATTTAATATAATGCATTTTAATTTGTGCTGTCAATTAAGCAAGGTTTGTTAGTCTATATGTTGCAAGTAATGTGGTATTTCAGGTTGATTTGTTTCAACCTAGGTCAAAATATAGTATTATTGAGCACTACACATCTGCTTTAAATCTATTAGAGTAGTTTGAATGATATTAAAAAGTTAACTGGGGGAACATATGAAAGCTGTGAGTTTCCTCAGTTTGCTTCCAGGTGATGTTTCTTGTAAAAAGAACACTCCTACAGCAGAATTCAGTCTTGCAACCAGGGGTCTTACAACCAGTGGTCTTCCAACAAGGGGTTATTTCAACCAGGGCTCTTACAACCAGGGGTTGTTACAACCGGGCATCTTATAACCAGGGGTTCTTACAACCGGGGGCCTTAAAACCTGGGCCCAGTTATTCGAAGGCTGATTAGCCCTTAACCTGGGGTATAATTTAGCCAGGGTTTCTTTTTTTGTGTTCAAAAGCATTTTCTCGCATTATTTTCTGTTATATTTAGAGTTTTCAATCGTCACCTTGTAGACAAAAAGAATTAAAACTGAAATGGTTTTCAAGCTTTCAAATCTAAATTCAAATCTTGCACTAACCGTGGGTTATCTTAACCCAGCTTTGAACAACTCGGCCCAGGGGTCTTACAACCAGGGGTTGTTACAACCAGGGGTCTTACAACCAGGAGTTCTTACAACCGAGGGTCTTACAACCAGGGGTCTTACAACCAGGGGTTCTTACAACCGGGGGTCTTACAACCGGTGCTTCTTACAACGAGGGGTCTTACAACCAGGGGTCTTACAAGCAGGGGTTCTTACAAGCAGGGGTTCTTACAACCATTGGTCTTACAACCAGAGGTCTTACAACCAGGGGTTCTTACAACTGGGGGTCTTAAAATTGAGGGGTTCTAACAACTGGGGGTCTTAAGAGCAGGGGTTCATACTACCAGGGGTCTTACAAACAGGAATTCTTACAACCAGGGGTTCTTACAACTGGGAGTCTTACAACCAGGGGCCTTACAAGCAGGGGTCTTACAACCAGAGGTCTTACAACCAGGGGCTGTTACAACCGGGCGTCTTATAACCAGGGGTTCTTACGACCGGGCGTCTTACAACCATAGGTTCTTACAACTGGGTGTCTTACAACTAGGGGTTCTTACAAGTGTGGGTCTTCCAATCATGGGTTCTTACAACCAGTGTCTTGCAACTAGGGGTCTTACAACCAGGGGTTTTTACAACCAGGGGGTCTTACAATTGTGGGTCTTAAAACCAGGGGTTGTTACAACCGTCTGTCTTACAACCAGGGGTTCTTACAATGGTGGGTCTTACAACCGGGGGTTTTACAACCAGGGGCTTTTACAACCAGGGGTTCTTACAACCGGGGGTCTTACGATCGGAGGTTCTTACAACCGGGGGTCTTACAACCAAAGGTTCTTACAACCGGGAGTGTTAGAACTAGGGGTTTTTACAACCAGGGGTTCTTACAACCGGGGGTCTTAACACCAGAGGTTCTTACAACCTGCGGTTCTTACATGGTGGGTCTTTCAACCAGGGGTTCTTACAACCGGGGTCTTACAACCGTGGGTCTTACAACCAGGGGTTTTTACAACCAGGGAGTCTTACAACCAGGGGTCTTACAACTGGGGGTCTTATAACCAGGGGTTCTTACAATCGCGGGTCTTAAAACCAAGGGTTGTTACAACTGTTGGTCTTACAACGAGGGGTTTTTACATCTGGGGTTCTTACAACCAGGGGTTTTACAATGAGAGGTTCTTACAACTGGGGGTCTTACAAACGGGGGTCTTGCAAGCAGGGCTTTTACAACCAGGGGTCTTACAATTTGGGTCCAGTTGTTCGAAGGCCGATTAGCGTTTAACCTGGGGATAGATTTAACCCGGGTTTCTTTTTTTTTGTGTTTAAAAGCATTTTCTCCGATAATTTTTTCTGTTATATTTAGAGTTTTCAATCATCAACTTGTAGACAAAAAGAACTAAAACTGAAATACTTTTTAAGCTTTCGAATCTAAATTCAAATCTCGCACTAACCGTGGGTTATCTTAACCCAGCTTTGAATAACTCGGCCCAGGGGTCTTACAACCAGGGCTTGTTACAACCATTGGTCTTACAACCAGGGGTTCTTACAACCGGGGGTCTTACAACCAGGGGTCTTACAACCAGGGGTTTTTACAACCGGGGGTTCTTACAACCGGGGGTCTTACAACCAGGGGTCTTACAACCTGGGGTTGTTACAACCAGGGTTCTTACAACCGGGGCTCCTACAACCAGGAGTTCTTACAACCGGGGTTATTACAACCAGGGGTTCTTATAACCTGGGGTTCTTTTAACCGTGGGTCTTCCAACCCACGGTTCTTACAACCGGGAGTCTTACAACCAGGGGTCTTGCAACGAGGGGTCTTACAACCGGAGGTCGTACAACCGTGGGTCTTCCAACCATGAGTTCTTACAACCGGGAGTCTTACAACCAGGAATTCTTACAACCTGGGGTTCTTTCAACCGTGGGTCTTCCAACCCACGGTTCTTACTACCGGGAGTCTTACAACCAGGAATTCTTACAACCAGGGGTCTTACAACGAGGTGTCTTACAACCGGAGGTCGTACAACCGGGGGTCTTACAACCATGAGTTCTTACATCCGGGAGTCTTACAACCAGGAATTCTTACAACCTGGGGTCTTACAACCACAGGTCTTACAAGCAGGGGTTCGTACAACTGGGGGTCTTACAACCAGGGGTTCTTACAACCAGGTGTTCTTACAGCCAGGGGTCTTACAACCAGTGGTTTTTACAACCAGGGGTCTTACAACCAGCTGTTTTTACAAGCAGGGGTCTTACAACCAGGGGTTCTTACATCCGGGGTTCTTAAAACCAGAGGTTGTTACAACCAGGGTCTTACAACCAGGGGTTCTTAGAACGAGGGGTCTTACAACCAGGCGTTCTTACAACCAGGGGTCTTACAACCAGCGGTTTTTACAACCAGGGGCCTTACAGCCAGCGGTTTTTACAAGCAGGGGTCTTACAACCAGGTGTTCTTACATCCGGTCTTCTTACAACCAGGGGTTCTTACAACCAGGGGTTCTTACAACCAGGGGTCTTACAACCAGGGGTTCTTACGTCAGGGTGGCTTACAGCCAGGTGTTCTTACAACCAGGGGCTCTTACGGCCAGGGGTCTTACAACCAGGGGTTCTTACAACCAGGGTTCTTAAAAACAGGGTCTTACAGCAAGCGGTTTTACAACCAGGGATCTTATAACCAGTGGTTTTTCCAAGCAGGGGTTCTTACAACCACGGGTCTTACAACAAGCGGTTTTACAACCAGGGTCTTACAACCTGTGGTTTTTACAACCGGGGTCTCACAACCAGCGGTTTTACAACCAGCGGTCTTACAACCAGGGTCTTACAACCAGGGGTCTTGCAACAAGGGGTTCTTACATCTAGGGGTCTTACAAGCAGAGGTTCTTACAACCAGGGCTCTTACAACCAGGGGTTCTTAAAACCACTGGTCTTACAACCAGGGTCTGACAACCAGTGCTTCTTACAACCAGGGGTCTTAGAAGCAGGGGTTCTTACATCTGGGGGTCTTGGAACTAGGGGTTTTTACAACCAGGGGTCTTAAAACCAAAGGCTCTTTATCAACCAGGGGTTCTTACAACCGGAGGTCTTAGAGGTTTTAAAACCAGCGGTTCTTTACAACTGGGCGTCTTACAACCAGGGGTTGTTACAACAGTATTGGGGCCTTACAACCAGGGGTTCTTACAACCGGGTGTCTTACAACGAGGGTTCTTACAACCGGGTGTCTTAAAACCAGGGTTCTTACCACGAGAGCTGAAGTGGTGTATTTGATTAAGGAGGAGGTAAATATTGTAACTCTACATTTCCAAAATTTGAAGTTTGATTTTGAGTATTTGCTTGGATCATGGTCTTCCTTGAATAGGGTTTTTCTGTCATAAGTGCAGTTCCTTAAAGCTGTTTTTAGTCAATGATTGCAGTCCAAGTAAAGAAGTGTTTTCACACTTTGTTAATGAATTAGAATCATCTCTTATTTCAAATTTTCCATTTTTGCATTATAATTTCACGTAGTTGATTGTGGTAAGCCAAGCTGCTTTGCTGATTTTACTTAACTTGAAAATTTTATAACCATTAAGCTTTGTTCACTGAAAAACTTTGGATCGCTTTCTTTCAGGAGAAAACTAACTCTAATGCATCAGCAAAGACCAATGATAGCTCCGCAACGCCATTATCTGCACTGGTAATTCTGTTTAGTAACTATTTTTAACAACTTGTAGTTATGAAGGTTTGGCCTATAAAAGAGAATTTCATCCATGTGCATTTATATTGGCTGCATTGCAGCCGGCCCACAGAAGGTTTATGATGTCTGTAATACAGGCTACATTTATACCCTCACTCAAAAGAAGTATAATATTTTGATTCTGTTTTAAAATAACTTCATTTGTCCAGTAAATTTGAACAGCAGTCGTTTGGCAAATATGCAAGTATTTAGTTTTAAACATCTGCAGTCAGTTGGTCTGAACGTCTAGTAGTAAATTGCCAAGCGCCTACAATTTGTAGATATTTAAAGTAGGTTTTAGTGCAGGCAACTTTTGTTTTTCACTTCTATTAACTACGTGAACGTCTTACATGTACGCTTTAACTGAAACGTTTGTAAAATTTTGTTATGATCATGTTTAAATCGCGGTAACTGAAACTGATACTCCATTTTTTTATTTTCTTCTTTAGAAAGATCATGTCACAGGAGACCGATACAAAGAATTCTTAAAGGAACAAAAAAAGAGGAAAGAAGACCTGGCAGCTAAATGTAAAAGCGCAACCAAGAAACTGAATTTTCCTGATTCTTCTCACGATGTCATCATGAAAAAGATTGATTCTCCAGACAACATTAGCCTGATTAAAAAGCAGCTTGAGGCACAAACAAGAGAGCATAATCTTCTAAAGAATCAGATCCCAGATCACGAGCAATTCTTAAAGGTAAGCACAAAGCAATGTAGTTTCTTTATTCTCTGTCAAGAATCAGGTTGCAGTGGCTACCAAATAATAGCAACACACTCCCTCAAAAAGCTCTTTCTTTCAGTCTTCTTTGTTAGTTTTTGTGGACTTGTTTTTTGTTGCGCTTCTCTCATAGTTTGTGGTTGAAGAGCGAAGACTTTGGACAGTTTTTTTTTTGCAGAATGGGGCGATTTGAATTTCGCTGACATTAATGATACTTTGCTGTCAACTTTGTAAGTTTGAAAATCAAAGGAAAGAAAGGCATAATTTTAACAACAGTATTAAATCCAGTTTGTATCGCTGCTGGAAGTGTGCTGTGCCTACATTTATTCATGTATTTATTTTGACTTAAGATGATGGACAGATTCGAAGATTCTCTTTTCTCATTGGGGGAGACGTTGGGGCACAGATTGTCACAGATCAAACAATGGCTGGAATATTTAGAGACTGTGGTAAGTTGAATAATAATAATAACCTTTATTTATCCATCTTTTAAAAATATTCACAATGGATTTACAATACTATAAAATGCTATCAAGTGATTATTCTAATAAAAAAGTAGGTAAGTAAGTCAGTAAGTAAACATAACAGGTCATTAAAGAAGTCTTGCAGCTCTTGGTATAAATGAATTTGCATGTCTTTGCATCCCTGACTGTGGTATTGCTACTGAGTGAACCTGGTTTGGATCTTAAGTTATAGCCGTGGCTGGTATTTGGCTTAGTGAGAAAAATTTGATTTGGGTGGTTAATATAATTTACAACTCTTTCTAATTCACGCTTTGTTGCTATGTTGCACCTGTCCTCTAGTATTGGAAGGGATGTTCTTGGTATCCTGATGATATCTACACACCTGTTTTGTAAAGACTGCAACTCTTCTGCAATGTACTTTTGCAAACCGCCCCACAGTGGGTGGCATATTCGAGAAGTGGGCGTATTTTGGTACAATAATATATCCTGATGCTGATCTCTGTAGGTAGGTTTGCTTCCATACATTCCCTTAAAAAATACAATCTCTTGCTGGCTTTCTTTACAGTTTGAGTTCAACATGGTAATTCCAACATAGGTTGACAGTTTAAACAAGAACCCCTTTAACCCACTCCTTGACAAGCGTTTTTAAAGAAGATTTTATAGTATGTTTATATGTTTGACCAATACAAGGGTGAGGATTCTGTGATTTTAAGAGCTGTGCAGCTGCAAGCTGTAACCTAATTAAGAATAAATGAAATGACAATAATAATAGTGATATTAGATTGTTACAAAGAATAATAATATCAAAAGTAGGTTGAGTTTGTCAGGGTGAACGTAGTCTCCATTTTGGTGACGTCCGCCAGTGTGACAACACAATTTGTGCTTTGAACTAAAAATCCAAAAAAAGTTTTCAGTCATTAATTGTAGTCCATCGAGCAAGTTTAGTTAACAAATAACAAAAATCATAAGATATACGGAAATTTAGCACACATGCAAGATTTGAGGGGTAGTTTGGTCCCATCGTGGCAATGCGGTTTTGAATGTTCAAAACTATGTGCCTAAAATTTAAATTATCGTGACACATCTATTTTAGGTGTTTTGTCTGCAAGCTTTCTTTCAGTTTATTGATATTTTTTGACCTTCACCTTCACAATTCTGCAGTTATCTCTTGTGGTAAAATTGTAGAGCTGAGTCTGATGTGTTTTTTTTCTTTTCATTTTGCTAGATTTTTTTGTTGTGTCCAAAGATAGACATTGATTGAAATTATGCATTATGAAAAATTAGCAACATTGAGTTGTTGGAATATGTTTTTTTTATTAGAAAGGGGAAATTACAGAGAATTTACTAGAAAGAGTGACCGAAGAAGGCTACATCATTGACTTAAAGCAGACCAGGTGATGAAAACTATTATTACAGTGCTGCCATTCTTTAAATAGGGTTCAAAGCCGGTCTGGTGAAAATCTCATTTTGCTTATAATGTTATTAATATTATGAGTCCCATCATTATGATGTAAGTGATTGCCATATGTGTGTTCAGTTTATTTCTTTCCTGATTGTCTAAAATGAAAATTGGGAGTTAAATTAAAATGACAAGCTTTACTAAATAAATGCTTGTTATTTAATTTTACAAATTATTTTACAAATTATTTTCCATATTTCCAAATGGTCCAGCAGATACAAATTTAATTATGAAATTCATCACTAAGACTTCAGATACACTGTATGTTGTGTGACTCCCATTTCTTTTTTTTCTTTATAAATCAACAGGATAAGGAAAATGACCTTTGCAATTCCAACTAAACCCCACTGAACAGACTTGCAACACGGTTGGGTTCAGGCAGTTTATTGTAGCATATAATACTTATTTACATAAAATGGTAATACTAACTAAATATAACCTGGTTGAAAACCTAGGCCCATAAATCAACTTTCAAGACACAAATCAAGGAAATCATAACTGCCTGTGGAGTGGGTGGGTGGGAAAGCAAATTGTAATACAGCCGAAAAAGACTCGTTGTCTCACTATTGGCTTGTAAAGCTAAATGCTAATCATACATTCCTGGGCGTGGCTAAATAACTCTCTTATCTTAGCGGCTGTCATGCGGTCATACGCGCCCTTCCGGCCGCAGGGATGCTCATGATTTGCCTTTCTCCCACGCTGGTTGTCCATTCACGGGTCTAGATTTATATTAATAGGGATTAATATCCACTGTACAAGTAATTTTGATATTAAAGGAGTTATGGATCAGGTGCTTAATGCATGGCTGAATGCTTTGGGGATCCTCATGAAGAATAAATACATAATGTATGTGAATTTGATAATTAGAATAATTAATGCATTGGCTGATGTGCTTCGTTATGAAATTAGAATTAATCACCACAATCACAGCTGATTGGATTAATTACAATAAATATTGATATATGTATTTTGATTCTTACATGTACAGCTCTTTGTTTAATCTAAGAGTTGTTACTTTTTTTCTTAATCTCCTTCTCCCTATGCAACACTTGCCTATTCTCATCATTCTTTCCTTTTCATAATTTGTCTACACATTCCTTAATTCTTTTCTCTTAAAGGCTGAATTTGTGGCTTACACTATGATGACCGTTTGTTAACTAATTGACTAGTATGTATGTCTGTGGGTGCTGTAAGTTTGATTTGATTTTTTGTTTCAGGTTTAGAGAACAAGACTGTGTTATCATAACACTTTCAAGTGTTACACATGTAGCAATAGTTCAGAGTCAGATTAAAAGGTAATTACGCATAATCCGTTTTCCAATCCATGTTACTGAGCCTGAAACTTTCTTTTCTTCATTTGTTATTTATCATTGTAAGAGTGGATTACTTTGTTGAAAATGAGTAATAAATCCAACTCCTTCGAAAGTGATCTACTGAATTTCCAAAAAGGACCCGTTCCGTACAAAAGCTGATTCATCATTTTGTTTACTATAATAACATCTAACCTATTAAGCGTAAAAGTGATTTATCTCTAATCCAATAAAAAAGTGGTTAATATGACAGCTCCTAGTAACGTAATGACAAAATACTAAAAACAAAACAAAAAAAATGTCACACTATAATTTTCAGAAAATATTGACATACTTGATTTTTTTAATAACTGCAAATTGTGTCTCTGAGGACATTATTATTGTTATTATTATGACTCAAATATATTGTTATTGTGTGTGTAACTTATTTCAATCAGAATTTTTCCTAATTGTGTTGAAGATACGCCTAGAATGCCTGACACACGCCTCCCCAAAAGAGGGAAATGGCAACAGGGTGGACAAAAGAGGCAAAGCACTATAAGACTGTCTCAAAGCATTGCTGTAAATCTTTGATATAGATGTTGAAACCTGGGACACCTTGGCTCTAGACCAACCTGCCTGGCATAGCAAAGTCAACAAAGGCACTGTCCTTTTTTAGCTAAACAGGATAACAGGGGCTCAGAGGAAGCGGGAGCTGTGCGAATCCAAAGTGATCTAGTTGACACCTGCTTAAGAAAATCGCCAGTGTCTGGTATGCGGCAGAGCCTTCTGCACATGATTGGATTGATAAGCCACGGTGGGAAACACTGCACCTAATACCTCTCTCATGTGATGTTCTTGGGCATTGCTAAGAACAACGGACAAACAACAACAAAAACTGGAGTCACATAACAAGGTAATACATTGGGTATAATGATTGGACAGTAATAGTTATTCATACTAGCTGAAGTACCAAATTGGAATCATTGCATGTGTGTTTGATAAGCATTGAATTAAGAAATGAATTTAATATAATGCATTTTAATTTGTGCTGTCAATTAAGCAAGGTTTGTTAGTCTATATGTTGCAAGTAATGTGGTATTTCAGGTTGATTTGTTTCAACCTAGGTCAAAATATAGTATTATTGAGCACTACACATCTGCTTTAAATCTATTAGAGTAGTTTGAATGATATTAAAAAGTTAACTGGGGGAACATATGAAAGCTGTGAGTTTTCTCAGTTTGCTTCCAGGTGATGTTTCTTGTAAAAAGAACACTCCTACAGCAGAATTCAGTCTTGCAACCAGGGGTCTTACAACCAGTGGTCTTCCAACAAGGGGTTATTTCAACCAGGGCTCTTACAACCAGGGGTTGTTACAACCGGGCATCTTATAACCAGGGGTTCTTACAACCGGGGGCCTTAAAACCTGGGCCCAGTTATTCGAAGGCTGATTAGCCCTTAACCTGGGGTATAATTTAGCCAGGGTTTCTTTTTTTGTGTTCAAAAGCATTTTCTCGCATTATTTTCTGTTATATTTAGAGTTTTCAATCGTCTCCTTGTAGACAAAAAGAATTAAAACTGAAATGGTTTTCAAGCTTTCAAATCTAAATTCAAATCTTGCACTAACCGTGGGTCATCTTAACCCAGCTTTGAACAACTCGGCCCGGGGGTCTTACAACCAGGGGTTGTTACAACCAGGGGTTGTTACAACCAGGGGTCTTACAACCAGGAGTTCTTACAACCGAGGGTCTTACAACCAGGGGTCTTACAACCAGGGATTCTTACAACCGGGGGTCTTACAACCGGTGCTTCTTACAACGAGGGGTCTTACAACCAGGGATCTTACAAGCAGGGGTTCTTACAAGCAGGGGTTCTTACAAGCAGGGGTTCTTACAACCATTGGTCTTACAACCAGAGGTCTTACAACCAGGGGTTCTTACAACTGGGGGTCTTAAAAACGAGGGGTTTTATCAACCGGGGGTCTTAAGAGCAGGGGTTCATACTACCAGGGGTCTTACAAACAGGAATTCTTACAACCAGGGGTTCTTACAACTGGGAGTCTTACAACCAGGGGCCTTACAAGCAGGGGTCTTACAACCAGAGGTCTTACAACCAGGGGCTGTTACAACCTGGCGTCTTATAACCAGGGGTTCTTACGACCGGGCGTCTTACAACCATAGGTTCTTACAACTGGGTGTCTTACAACTAGGGGTTCTTACAAGTGTGGGTCTTCCAACCAGGGGTTCTTACAACCAGTGTCTTGCGACTGGGGGTCTTACAACCAGGGGTTTTTACAACCAGGGAGTCTTACAACCAGGGGTCTTATAACCAGGGGGTCTTACAATTGTGGGTCTTAAAACCAGGGGTTGTTACAACCGTCGGTCTTACAACCAGGGGTTCTTACATTGGGGGGTCTTACAACCGGGGGTTTTACAACCAAGGGTTTTTACAACCAGGGGTTCTTACAACCAGGCATCTTACGATCAGAGGTTCTTACAACCGGGGGTCTTACAACCAAAGGTTCTTACAACCGGGAGTGTTACAACTACGGGTTTTTACAACCAGGGGCTCTTACAACCGGGGGTCTTAACACCAGAGGTTCTTACAACCTGCGGTTCTTACAAGCGTGGGTCTTTCAACCAGGGGTTCTTACAACCAGGGTCTTACAACCGTGGGTCTTACAACCAGGGGTTTTTACAACCAGGGAGTCTTACAACCAGGGTCTTACAACTGGGGGTCTTATAACCAGGGTTCTTACAATCGCGGGTCTTAAAACCAAGGGTTGTTACAACTGTTGGTCTTACAACGAGGGGTTTTTTTACATCTGGGGTTGTTACAACCAGGGGTCTTACAACCAGGCGTTCTTACAACCGAGGGTCTTACAACCAGGGGTCTTACAACCAGGGGTTTTTACAACCGGGGGTCTTACAATTTGGGTCCAGTTGTTCGAAGGCCGATTAGCGTTTAACCTGGGGATAGATTTAACCCGGGTTTCTTTTTTTTGTGTTTAAAAGCATTTTCTCCTATAATTTTTTCTGTTATATTTAGAGTTTTCAATCATCAACTTGTAGACAAAAAGAACTAAAACTAAAATACTTTTTAAGCTTTCCAATCTAAATTCAAATCTCGCACTAACCATGGGTTATCTTAACCCAGCTTTGAATAACTCGGCCCAGGGGTCTTACAACCAGGGCTTGTTACAACCATTGGTCTTACAACCAGGGGTTCTTACAACCGAGGGTCTTACAACCAGGGGTCTTACAACCAGGGGTTTTTACAACCGGGGGTTCTTACAACCGGGGGTCTTACAACCAGGGGTCTTACAACCTGGGGTTGTTACAACCAGGGTTCTTACAACGGGGCTCCTACAACCAGGAGTTCTTACAACCGGGGTTATTACAACCAGGGTTCTTATAACCTGGGGTTCTTTTAACCGTGGGTCTTCCAACCCACGGTTCTTACAACCGGGAGTCTTACAACCAGGGTCTTGCAACGAGGGGTCTTACAACCGGAGGTCGTACAACCGTGGGTCTTCCAACCATGAGTTCTTACAACCGGGAGTCTTACAACCAGGAATTCTTACAACCTGGGGTTCTTTCAACCGTGGGTCTTCCAACCCACGGTTCTTACTACCGGGAGTCTTACAACCAGGAATTCTTACAACCAGGGGTCTTACAACGAGGTGTCTTACAACCGGAGGTCGTACAACCGGGGGTCTTACAACCATGAGTCCTTACATCCGGGAGTCTTACAACCAGGAATTCTTACAACCTGGGGTCTTACAACCACAGGTCTTACAAGCAGGGGTTCGTACAACTGGGGGTCTTACAACCAGGGGTTCTTACAACCAGGTGTTCTTACAGCCAGGGGTCTTACAACCAGTGGTTTTTACAACCAGGGGTCTTACAACCAGCTGTTTTTACAAGCAGGGGTCTTACAACCAGGGGTTCTTACATCCGGGGTTCTTAAAACCAGAGGTTGTTACAACCAGGGGTCTTACAACCAGGGGTTCTTACAACCAGGGGTCTTACAACCAGGCGTTCTTACAACCAGGGGTCTTACAACCAGCGGTTTTTACAACCAGGGGCCTTACAGCCAGCGGTTTTTACAAGCAGGGGTCTTACAACCAGGGGTTCTTACATCGGTCTTCTTACAACCAGGGGTTCTTACAACCAGGGGTTCTTACATTACCAGGGGTCTTACAACTAGGGGTTCTTACGTCAGGGTGGCTTACAGCCAGGTGTTCTTACAACCAGGGGCTCTTACGGCCAGGGGTCTTACAACCAGGGGTTCTTACAACCAGGGGTTCTTAAAAACAGGGGTCTTACAACAAGCGGTTTTTACAACCAGGGATCTTATAACCAGTGGTTTTTCCAAGCAGGGGTTTTTACAACCACGGGTCTTACAACAAGCGGTTTTTACAACCAGGGGTCTTACAACCTGTGGTTTTTACAACCGGGGGTCTCACAACCAGCGGTTTTTACAACCAGCGGTCTTACAACCAGGGGTCTTACAACCAGGGGTCTTACAACCAGGGGTTCTTACATCTAGGGGTCTTACAAGCAGAGGTTCTTACAACCAGGGCTCTTACAACCAGGGGTTCTTAAAACCACTGGTCTTACAACCAGGGTCTGACAACCAGTGCTTCTTACAACCAGGGGTCTTAGAAGCAGGGGTTCTTACATCTGGGGGTCTTAGAACTAGGGGTTTTTACAACCAGGGGTCTTAAAACCAAAGGCTCTTTATCAACCAGGGGTTCTTACAACCGGAGGTCTTAGAGGTTTTTAAAACCAGCGGTTCTTTACAACTGGGCGTCTTACAACCAGGGGTTGTTACAACAGTATTGGGGGCCTTACAACCAGGGGTTCTTACAACCGGGTGTCTTACAACCAGGGTTCTTACAACCGGGTGTCTTAAAACCAGGGGTTCTTACCACGAGAGCTGAAGTGGTGTATTTGATTAAGGAGGAGGTAAATATTGTAACTCTACATTTCCAAAATTTGAAGTTTGATTTTGAGTATTTGCTTGGATCATGGTCTTCCTTGAATAGGGTTTTTCTGTCATAAGTGCAGTTCCTTAAAGCTGTTTTTAGTCAATGATTGCAGTCCAAGTAAAGAAGTGTTTTCACACTTTGTTAATGAATTAGAATCATCTGTTATTTCAAATTTTCCATTTTTGCATTATAATTTCACGTAGTTGATTATGGTAAGCCAAGCTGCTTTGCTGATTTTACTTAACTTGAAAATTTTATAACCATTAAGCTTTGTTCACTGAAAAACTTTGGATCACTTTCTTTCAGGAGAAAACTAACTCTAATGCATCAGCAAAGACCAATGATAGCTCCGCAACGCCATTATCTGCACTGGTAATTCTGTTTAGTAACTATTTTTAACAACTTGTAGTTATGAAGGTTTGGCCTATAAAAGAGAATTTCATCCATGTGCATTTATATTGGCTGCATTGCAGCCGGCCCACAGAAGGTTTATGGTGTCTGTAATACAGGCTACATTTATACCCTCACTCAAAAGAAGTATAATATTTTGATTCTGTTTTAAAATAACTTCATTTGTCCAGTAAATTTGAACAGCAGTCGTTTGGCGAATATGCAAGTATTTAGTTTTAAACGTCTGCAGTCAGTTGGTCTGAACGTCTAGCAGTAACTTCCCGAGCACCTACAATTTGTAGACATTTAAAGTAGGTTTTAGTCCAGGCAACTTTGGTTTTTCACTTCTATTAACTACGCGAACGTCTTACATGTACGCTTTAACTGAAACGTTTGTAAAATTTTGTTATGATCATGTTTAAATCGCGGTAACTGAAACTGATACTCCATTTTTTTATTTTGTTCTTTAGAAAGATCACGTCGCAGGAGACCGATACAAAGAATTCTTAAAGGAACAAAGAAAGAGGGAAGAAGACCTGGCAGCTAAACGTAAAAGCGCAACCAAGAAACTGAATTTTCCTGATTCTTCCCACGATGTCATCATGAAAAAGATTGATTCTCCAGACAACATCAGCCTGATTAAAAAGCAGCTTGAGGCACAAGCAAGAGAGCATAATCTTCTAAAGAATCAGATCCCAGATCACGAGCAATTCTTAAAGGTAAGCACAAAGCAATGTAGTTTCTTTATTCTCTGTCAAGAATCAGGTTGCAGTGGCTACCGAATAATAGCAACAGGCCCCCTCAAAAATTTTTTTCTTTCAGTCTTCCTTTTTAGTTTTTTGTGGACTTGTTTTTTGTTGCGCTTCTCTCATAGTTTTTGGTTGAAGAGCGAAGACTTTGGACAGTTTTTTTTTGGCAGAATGGGGCGATTTGAATTTCCCTGACATTAATGATACTTTGCTGTCAACTTTGTAAGTTTGAAAATGAAAGGAAAGAAAGGCATAATTTTAACAACAGTATTAAATCCAGTTTGTATCGCTGCTGGAAGTGTGCTGTGCCTACATTTATTCATGTATTTATTTTGACTTAAGATGATGGACAGATTCGAAGATTCTCTTTTCTCATTGGGGGAGACGTTGGGGCACAGATTGTCACAGATCAAACAATGGCTGGAATATTTAGAGACTGTGGTAAGTTGAATAATAATAATAACCTTTATTTATCCATCTTTTAAAAATATTCACAATGGATTTACAATACTATAAAATGCTATCAAGTGATTATTCTAATAAAAAAGTAGGTAAGTAAGTCAGTAAGTAAACATAACAGGTCATTAAAGAAGTCTTGCAGCTCTTGGTATAAATGAATTTGCATGTCTTTGCATCCCTGACTGTGGTATTGCTACTGAGTGAACCTGGTTTGGATCTTAAGTTATAGCCGTGGCTGGTATTTGGCTTAGTGAGAAAAATTTGATTTGGGTGGTTAATATAATTTACAACTCTTTCTAATTCACGCTTTGTTGCTATGTTGCACCTGTCCTCTAGTATTGGAAGGGATGTTCTTGGTATCCTGATGATATCTACACACCTGTTTTGTAAAGACTGCAACTCTTCTGCAATGTACTTTTGCAAACCGCCCCACAGTGGGTGGCATATTCGAGAAGTGGGCGTATTTTGGTACAATAATATATCCTGATGCTGATCTCTGTAGGTAGGTTTGCTTTCATACATTCCGTTAAAAAATACAATCTCTTGCTGGCTTTCTTTACAGTTTGACTTCAACATGGTAATTCCAACATAGGTTGACAGTTTAAACAAGAACCCCTTTAACCCACTCCTTGACAAGCGTTTTTAAAGAAGATTTTATAGTATGTTTATATGTTTGACCAATACAAGGGTGAGGATTCTGTGATTTTAAGAGCTGTGCAGCTGCAAGCTGTAACCTAATTAAGAATAGATGAAATGACAATAATAATAGTGATATTAGATTGTTACAAAGAATAATAATATCAAAAGTAGGTTGAGTTTGTCCGGGTGAACGTAGTCTCCATTTTGGTGACGTCCGCCAGTGTGACAACACAATTTGTGCTTTGAACTAAAAATCCAAAAAAAGTTTTCAGTCATTAATTGTAGTCCATCGAGCAAGTTTAGTTAACAAATAACAAAAATCATAAGATATACAGAAATTTAGCACACATGCAACATTTGAGGGGTAGTTTGGTCCCATCGCGGCAATGCGGTTTTGAATGTTCAAAACTATGTGCCTAAAATTTAAATTATCGTGACACATCTATTTTAGCTATTTTGTTTGCGATCTTGCTTTCGGTTTATTGATATTTTTTGACCTTCACCTTCACAATTCTGCAGTTATCTCTTGTGGTAAAATTGTAGAGGTGAGTCTGATGTGTTTTTTTTCTTTTCATTTTGCTAGATTTTTTAGTTGTGTCCAAAGATAGACAATGATAATGAATGTGTTATGAAAAATTAGCAACATTGAGTTGTTGGAATATGTTTTTTTTATTAGAAAGGGGAAATTACAGAGAATTTACTAGAAAGAGTCACCGAAGAAGGCTACATCATTGACTTAAAGCAGCACCAGGTGATGAAAGCTATTATTAGAGTGCTGCCATTCTTTAAATAGGGTTCAAAGCCGGTCTGGTGAAAATCTCATTTTGCTTATAATATTATTAATATTGTGAGTCCCATCATTATAATGTAACTGATTGCCATATGTGTGTTCAGTTTATTTCTTTCCTGATTGTCTAAAATGAAAATTGGGAGTTAAATTAAAATGACAAGCTTTACTAAATAAATGCTTGTTGTTTAATTTTCCAAATTATTTTCCAAATTATTTTCCAAATTATTTTCCATATTTCCAAATGGTCCAGCAGATACAAGTTTAATTATGAAATTAATCACTAAGACTTCAGATACATTGCATGTTGTGTGACTGACACATTTCTTTTTTTCTTTATAAATAAACAGGATAAGGAAAATGACCTTTGCAATTCCAATGTACAAGTAATTTTGATATTAAAGGAGTTATGGATCAGGTGCTTAATGCATGGCTGAATGCTTTGGGGATCCTCATGAAGAATAAATACATAATGTATGTGAATTTGATAATTAGAATAATTAATGCATTGGCTGATGTGCTTCGTTATGAAATTAGAATTAATCATCACAATCACAACTGATTGGATTTAATTACAATAAATATTGACATATGTATTTTGATTCTTACATGTACAGCTCTGTTTAATCTAAGAGTTGTTACTTTTTTTCTTAATTTCCTTCTCCCTATGCAACACTTGCCTATTCTCATCACTCTTTCCTTTTCATAATTTGTCTACAAATTCCTTAAGTCTTTTCTCTTAAACGTTTAATCTTTGGCTTACACCATGATGACTGTTTGTTAACTAATTGACTAGTATGTATGTCTGTGGATGCTGTAAGTTTGATTTGATTTTTTGTTTCAGGTTTAGAAAACAAAACTGTGTTATCATAACACTTTCAAGTGTTACACATGTAGCAATAGTTCAGAGTCAGATTAAAAGGTAATTACGGATAATCTGTTTTCCAATCCATGTTACTGAGCCTGAAACTTTCTTTTCTTCATTGTTATTTATCATTGTAAGAGTGGATTACTTTGTTGAGAATGAGTAATAAATCCAACTCCTTCGAAAAATTAATGATCTACTGAATTTCCAAAAAGGACCCGTTCCGTACAAAAGCTGATTCATCATTTTGTTTACTATAATAAAATCTAACCTATTAAGCGTAAAAGTGATTTATCTCTAATCCAATCGAAAGGTGGTTAATATTACAGCTCCTAGTAACGTAATGGCAAAGTAATGAAAACAAAACAAAAAAATGTCACACTATAATTTTCAGAAAATATTGACATACTTGATTTTTTTAATGACTGCAAATTGTGTCTCTGAGGACATTATTATTATTATTATTATGACTCAAATATATTGTTATTGTGTGTGTAAGTAATTTCAATCAGAATTTTTCCTAATTGTGTTGAAGATACGCCTAGAATGCCTGACACACGCCTCCCCAAGAGAGGGAAATGGCAACAGGGTGGACAAAAGAGGCAAAGCACTATAAGACTGTCTCAAAGCATCACTGTAAATCTTTGATATAGATGTTGAAACCTGGGAGACCTTGGCTCTAGACCAACCTGCCTGGCATAGCAAAGTCAACAAAGGCACTGTCCTTTTTTAGCTAAACAGGATAACAGGGGCTCAGAGGAAGCGTGAGCTGCGCAAATCCAAATTGATCTCCTTGACACCTGCTTAAGAAAATCGCCAGTGTCTGGTATGCGGCAGAGCCTTCTGCACATGATTGGATTGATCAGCCACAGTTGGAAACACTGCACCTAATACCTCTCTCACGTGATGTTCTTGGGCATTGCTAACAACAACAGACAAACAACAACAAAGACTGGAGTCAGATAACAAGGTAATACATTGGGTATAATGATTGGACAGTAATAGTTATTCATACTAGCTAAAGTACCAAATTGGAATCATTGCATGTGTGTTTGATAAGCATTGAATTAAGAAATGAATTTAATATAATGCATTTTAATTTTTGCTGTCAATTAAGCAAGGTTTGTTAGTCTATATGTTGCAAGTAATGTGGTATTTCAGGTTGATTTGTTTCAACCTAGGTCAAAATATAGTATTAGTGAGCACTACACATCTGCTTTAAATCTATTAGAGTAGTTTGAATGATATTAAAAAGTTAACTGGGGGAACATATGAAAGCTGTGAGTTTCCTCAGTTTGCTTCCAGGTGATGTTTCTTGTAAAAAGAACACTCCTACAGCAGAATTCAGTCTTGCAACCAGGGGTCTTACAACCAGTGGTCTTCCAACAAGGGGTTATTTCAACCAGGGCTGTTACAACCAGGGGTTGTTACAACCGGGCATCTTATAACCAGGGGTTCTTACAACCGGGGGCCTTAAAACCTGGGCCCAGTTATTCGAAGGCTGATTAGCGCTTAACCTGGGGTTAAATTTAGCCAGGGTTTCTTTTTTTGTGTTCAAAAGCATTTTCTCGCATTATTTTCTGTTATATTTAGAGTTTTCAATCATTACCTTGTAGACAAAAAGAATTAAAACTGAAATGGTTTTCAAGCTTTCAAATCTAAATTCAAATCTTGCGCTAACCGTGGGTCATCTTAACCCAGCTTTGAACAACTCGGCCCAGGGGTCTTACAACCAGGGGTCTTAAAACCAGGAGTTCTTACAACCGAGGGTCTTACAACCAGGGGTTTTTACAACCAGGGGTTCTTACAACCGGGGGTCTTACAACCGGTGCTTCTTACAACGAGGGGTCTTACAACCAGGGGTCTTACAAGCAGGGGTTCTTACAACCATTGGTCTTACAACCAGGGGTTCTTACAACTGGGGGTCTTAAAAACGAGGGGTTCTAACAACCGGGGGTCTTAAGAGCAGGGGTTCATACTACCAGGGGTCTTACAAACAGGAATTCTTACAACCAGGGGTTCTTACAACTGGGAGTCTTACAACCAGGGGCCTTACAAGCAGGGGTCTTACAACCAGAGGTCTTACAACCAGGGGCTGTTACAACCGGGCGTCTTATAACCAGGGGTTCTTACGACCGGGCGTCTTACAACCATAGGTTCTTACAACTGGGTGTCTTACAACTAGGGGTTCTTACAAGTGTGGGTCTTCCAACCAGGGGTTCTTACAACCAGTGTCTTGCAACTGGGGGTCTTACAACCAGGGGTTTTTACAACCAGGGAGTCTTACAACCTGGGGTCTTACAACGGGGGGCCTTACAACCGAGGGTTTTACAACCAGGGGTTTTTACAATGAGGGATTTTACAAAAAGGGGTCTTACATCCAGGTGTCTTACAACCAGGTGTTCTTACAACCAGGGGTTCTTACAGCCAGTGGTCTTACAACCAGGGGTTCTAACAACCAGGGGTCTTACAACCAGGGGTTCTTACAATCAGGGGTCTTACAACTAGCGGTTTTTACAACCAGGGGTCTTACAACCAGCTGTTTTTACAACCGGGGGTCTTACAACCAGCGGTTTTTACAACCAGGGGTCCTACAACTAGGGGTTCTTAGAACCAGGGGTCTTACAACCAGCGGTTTTTACAACCAGGGGTCTTACAACCAGCGGTTTTTACAAGCAGGGGTCTTACAACCAGGGGTTCTTACATCCGGGGGTCTTAAAACCAGGGGTTCTTACAACCAGGGGTCTTACAACCAGGGGTTCTTACAACCAGGGGTCTTACAACCAGTGGTTTTTACAACCAGGGGTCTTACAACCAGCTGTTTTTACAAGCAGGGGTCTTACAACCAGGGGTTCTTACATCCGGGGGTCTTAAAACCAGGGGTTCTTACAACCAGGGGTTCTTACAACCAGGGGTCTTACAACCAGGGGTTCTTAGAACCAGGGGTCTTACAACCAGGCGTTCTTACAACCAGGGGTCTTACAACCAGCGGTTTTTACAACCAGGGGTCTTACAGCCAGCGGTTTTTACAAGCAGGGGTATTACAACCAGGGGTTCTTACATCCGGGGTTCTTACAACCAGGGGTTCTTACAAGCAGGGGTCTTACAACCAGGGGTTCTTACGTCAGGGTGGCTTACAGCCAGGTGTTCTTACAACCAGGGGCTCTTACGGCGAGGGGTCTTACAACCAGGGGTTCTTACGTCAGGGTGGCTTACAGCCAGGTGTTCTTACAACCAGGGGCTCTTACGGCCAGGGGTCTTACAACCAGGGGTTCTTACGTCAGGGTGGCTTACAACCAGGTGTTCTTACAACCAGGGGCTCTTACGGCCAGGGGTCTTACAACCAGGGGTTCTTACAACCAGGGGTTCTTAAAACCAGCGGTCTTACAACAAGCGGTTTTTACAACCAGGGGTCTTACAACCAGTGGTTTTTCCAACCAGGGGTTCTTACAACCAGGGGTCTTACAACAAGCGGTTTTTACAACCAGGGGTCTTACAACCAGTGGTTTTTACAACCGGGGGTCTTACAACCAGCGGTTTTTACAACCAGCGGTCTTACAACCAGGGGTCTTACAACCAGGGGTCTTACAACCAGGGGTTCTTACATCTAGGGGTCTTACAAGCAGAGGTTCTTACAACCAGGGGTTCTTAAAACCACTGGTCTTACAACCAGGCGTCTTACAACCAGTGCTTCTTACAACCAGGGGTCTTAGAAGCAGGGGTTCTTACATCTGGGGCGTCTTAGAACTAGGGGTTTTTACAACCAGGGGTCTTAAAACCAAAGGCTCTTTATCAACCAGGGGTTCTTACAACCGGAGGTCTTAGAAGCAGAGGTTTTTAAAACCAGCGGTTCTTTACAACTGGGCGTCTTACAACCAGGGGTTGTTACAACAGTATTTGGGGCCTTACAACCAGGGGTTCTTACAACCGGGTGTCTTACAACCAGGGTTCTTACAACCGGGTGTCTTAAAACCAGGGGTTCTTACCACGAGAGCTGAAGTGGTGGATTTGATTAAGGAGGAGGTAAATATTGAATAGGGTTTTTCTGTTATAAGTGCAGTTCCTTAAAGCTGTTTTTAGTCAATGATTGCAGTCCAAGTAAAGAAGTGTTTTCACACTTTGTTAATGAATTAGAATCATCCCTTATTTCAAATTTTCCACTTTTGCATTATAATTTCACGTAGTTGATTATGGTAAGCCAAGCTGCTTTGCTGATTTTACTTAACTTGAAAATTTTATAACCATTAAGCTTTGTTCACTGAAAAACTTTGGATCGCTTTCTTTCAGGAGAAAACTAACTCTAATGCATCAGCAAAGACCAATGATAGCTCCGCAACGCCATTATCTGCACTGGTAATTCTGTGTAGTAACTATTTTTAACAACTTGTAGTTATGAAGGTTTGGCCTATAAAAGAGAATTTCATCCATGTGCATTTATATTGGCTGCATTGCAGCCGGCCCACAGAAGGTTTATGGTGTCTGTAATGCAGGCTACATTTATACCCTCACTCAAAAGAAGTATAATATTTTGATTCTGTTTTAAAATAACTTCATTTGTCCAGCAAATTTGAACAGCAGTTGTTTGGCAAATATGCAAGTATTTAGTTTTAAACATCTGCAGTCAGTTGGTCTGAACGTCTAGTAGTAACTTGCCGAGCGCCTACAATTTGTAGATATTTAAAGTAGGTTTTAGTGCAGGCAACTTTTGTTTTTCACTTCTATTAACTACGTGAACGTCTTACATGTACGCTTTAACTGAAACGTTTGTAAAATTTTATTATGATCATGTTTAAATCGCGGTAACTGAAACTGATACTCCATTTTTTTATTTTGTTCTTTAGAAAGATCACGTCACAGGAGACCGATACAAAGAATTCTTAAAGGAACAAAAAAAGAGGAAAGAAGACCTGGCAGTTAAACGTAAAAGCGCAACCAAGAAACTGAATTTTCCTGATTCTTCTTACGATGTCATCATGAAAAAGATTGATTCTCCAGACAACATTAGCCTGGTTAAAAAGCAGCTTGAGGCACAAACAAGAGAGCATAATCTTCTAAAGAATCAGATCCCAGATCATGAGCAATTCCTAAAGGTAAGCACAAAGCAATGTAGTTTCTTTATTCTCTGTCAAGAATCAGGTTGCAGTGGCTACCAAAATAATAATAGCAACAGGCCCCCTCAAAAAGTTCTTTCTTTCAGTTTTCTTGTTTAGTTTTTGTGGACTTGTTTTTTGTTGCGCTTCTCTCATAGTTTGTGGTTGAAGAGTGAAGACTTTGGACAGTTTTTTTTTTGCAGAATGGGGCGATTTGAATTTCCCTGACATTAATGATACTTTGCTGTCAACTTTGTAAGTTTGAAAATCAAAGGAAAGAAAGGCATAATTTTAAAGAAGTCTTGCAGCTCTTGCTATAAATGAATTTGCATGTCTTTGCGTCCCTGACTGTGGTATTGCTACTGAGTGAACCTGGTTTGGATCTTAAGTTATAGCCGTGGCTGGTATTTGGCTTAGTGAGAAAAATTTGATTTGGGTGGTTAATATAATTTACAACTCTTTCTAATTCACGCTTTGTTGCTATGTTGCACCTGTCCTCTAGTATTGGAAGGGATGTTCTTGGTATCCCGATGATATCTACACACCTGTTTTGTAAAGAATGCAACTCTTCTGCAATGTACTTTTGCAAACCGCCTCACAGTGGGTGGCATATTCGAGAAGTGGGCGTATTTTGGTACAATAATATATCCTGATGCTGATCTCTTTAGGTAGGTTTGCTTTCATACATTCCCTTAAAAAATACAATCTCTTGCTGGCTTTCTTTACAGTTTGACTTCAACATGGTAATTCCAACATAGGTTGACAGTTTAAACAAGAACCCCTTTAACCCACTCCTTGACAAGCGTTTTTAAAGAAGATTTTATAGTATGTTTATATGTTTGACCAATACAAGGGTGAGGATTCTGTGATTTTAAGAGCTGTGCAGCTGCAAGCTGTAACCTAATTAAGAATAGATGAAATGACAATAATAATAGTGATATTAGATTGTTACAAAGAATAATAATATCAAAAGTAGGTTGAGTTTGTCCGGGTGAACGTAGTCTCCATTTTGGTGACGTCCGCCAGTGTGACAACACAATTTGTGCTTTGAACTAAAAATGCAAAAAAAGTTTTCAGTCATTAATTGTAGTCCATCGAGCAAGTTTACTTAACAAATAACAAAAATCATAAGATATACGGAAATTTAGCACACATGCAACATTTGAGGGGTAGTTTGGTCCCATCGTGGCAATGGGGTTTTGAATGTTCAAAACTATGTGCCTAAAATTTAAATTATCGTGACACATCTATTTTAGCTATTTTGTCTGCGATCTTGCTTTCAGTTTATTGATATTTTTTGACCTTCACCTTCACAATTCTGCAGTTATTTCTTGTGGTAAAATTGTAGAGCTGAGTCTGATGTGTTTTTTTTCTTTTCATTTTGCTAGATTTTTTTGTTGTGTCCAAAGATAGACAATGATAATGAATGTGTTATGAAAAATTAGCAACATTGAGTTGTTGGAATATGTTTTTTTTATTAGAAAGGGGAAATAACAGAGAATTTACTAGAAAGAGTCACCGAAGAAGGCTACATCATTGACTTAAAGCAGCACCAGGTGATGCAAACTATTATTACAGTGCTGCCATTCTTTAAATAGGGTTCAAAGCCGGTCTGGTGAAAATCTTATTTTGCTTATAATATTATTAATATTGTGAGTCCCATCATTATAATGTAAGTGATTGCCATATGTGTGTTCAGTTTATTTCTTTCCTGATTGTCTAAAATGAAAATTGGGAGTTAAGTTAAAATGACCAGCTTTACTAAATAAATGCTTGTTGTTTAATTTTACAAATTATTTTCCATATTTCCAAATGGTCCAGCAGGTACAAATTTAATTATGAAATTAATCACTAAGAGTTCAGATACATTGCATGTTGTGTGACTGACACATTTCTTTTTTTCTTTATAAATCAACAGGATAAGGAAAATGACCTTTGCAATTCCAATGTACAAGTAATTTTGATATTAAAGGAGTTATGGATCAGGTGCTTAATGCATGGCTGAATGCTTTGGGGATCCTCATGAAGAATAAATACATAATGTATGTGAATTTGATAATTATAATAATTAATGCATTGGCTGATGTGCTTCGTTATGAAATTAGAATTAATCATCACAATCACAGCTGATTGGATTTAATTACAATAAATATTGACATATGTATTTTGATTCTTACATGTACAGCTCTGTTTAATCTAAGAGTTGTTACTTTTGTTCTTAATTTCCTTCTCCCTATGCAACACCTGCCTATTCTCATCACTCTTTCCTTTTCATAATTTGTCTACAAATTCCTTAATTCTTTTCTCTTAAAGGTTGAATCTGTGGCTTACACCATGATGACTGTTTGTTAACTAATTGACTAGTATGTATGTCTGTGGATGCTGTAAGTTTGATTTGATTTTTTGTTTCAGGTTTAGAAAACAAAACTGTGTTATCATAACACTTTCAAGTGTTACACATGTAGCAATAGTTCAGAGTCAGATTAAAAGGTAATTACGCATAATCCGTTTTCCAATCCATGTTACTGAGCCTGAAACTTTCTTTTCTTCATTGTTATTTATCATTGTAAGAGTGGATTACTTTGTTGAGAATGAGTAATAAATCCAACTCCTTCGAAAATGATCTACTGAATTTCCAAAAAGGACCCGTTCCGTACAAAAGGTGATTCATCATTTTGTTTACTATAATAAAATCTAACCTATTAAGCGTAAAAGTGATTTATCTCTAATCCAATCGAAAGGTGGTTAATATTACAGCTCCTAGTAATGTAATGGCAAAGTAATAAAAACAAAAGAAAAAAAATGTCACACTATAATTTTCAGAAAATATTGACATACTTGATTTTTTTAATGACTGCAAATTGTGTCTCTGAGGACATTATTATTATTATTATTATTGTTATGACTCAAATATATTGTTATTGTGTGTGTAAGTAATTTCAATCAGAATTTTTCCTAATTGTGTTGAAGATACGCCTAGAATGCCTGACACACGCCTCCCCAAGAGAGGGAAATGGCAACAGGGTGGACAAAAGAGGCAAAGCACTATAAGACTGTCTCAAAGCATTGCTGTAAATGTTTGATATAGATGTTGAAACCTGGGAGACCTTGGCTCTAGACCAACCTGCCTGGCATAGCAAAGTCAACAAAGGCACTGTCCTTTTTTAGCTAAACAGGATAACAGGGGCTGAGAGGAAGTGTGAGCTGCGCAAATCCAAAGTGATCTCCTTGACACCTGCTTAAGAAAATCGCCAGTGTCTGGTATGCGGCAGAGCCTTCTGCCCATGATTGGATTGATCAGCCACAGTGGGAAACACTGCACCTAATACCTCTCTCACGTGATGTTCTTGGGCATTGCTAACAACAACAGACAAACAACAACAAAGACTGGAGTCAGATAACAAGGTAATACATTGGGTATAATGGTTGGACAGTAATAGTTATTCATACTAGCTAAAGTACCAAATTGGAATCATTGCATGTGTGTTTGATAAGCATTGAATTAAGAAATGAATTTAATATATTGCATTTTAATTTGTGCTGTCAATTAAGCAAGGTTTGTTAGTCTATATGTTGCAAGTAATGTGGTATTTCAGGTTGATTTGTTTCAACCTAGGTCAAAATATAGTATTATTGAGCACTACACATCTGCTTTAAGTCTATTAGCGTTGTTTGAATGATATTAAAAAGTTAACTGGGGGAAGATATGAAAGCTGTGAGTTTCCTCAGTTTGCTTCCAGGTGATGTTTCTTGTAACAAGAACACTCCTACAGCAGAATTCAGTCTTGCAGCCAGGGGTCTTACAACCAGGGGTCTTATAACCAGGGGTTCTTACAACCAGGGGTCTTACAACCAGTGGTCTTCCAACAAGGGGTCATTTCAACTAGGGGTCTTACAACCTGGGGCCTTACAATAAGGAGTTCTTACAACAATGGGTCTTACAGCCAGGGCTTCTTACAACCAGGGGTTCTTGCAAGCAGGGTTCTTACAACAAAGAGTTTTACAACCAGGGGACTCACAACAGGGGTTCTTACAACAAAAGGTTAATACAACTGGTGGTATTACAACAATGGGTTCTTACAACTACGGGTCTTACAATGAGAGGTTCTTAGAACCAAAGCTCATACAACCACGGTTTCTTAGAACCAGGGGTTCTTACAACCAGGGGTCTCACAACCAGTTGTTCTTACAACTAGGGGTCTTACCTCTAGGGGTTCGTACAACCAGGGGTCTTACAATAACGGGTTCTTTTAACCAGGAGTCTTATGACCAGGGGTTCTTACAACCAGGGGTCTTACAACCGTGGGTCTCACAACCAGGGGTCTTACATCTATGGGTCCTTACAACCAGGGGTTCTTACCACAAGGGGTTTTATAATCAGGGTTTCTTACAACCAGGTGTCTTAGAACCAGTGTTCTTACAACCAGCGGTTCTTTTAACCAGGGGTCTTACAACCTGGGGTCTTACAACCTGGGGCCTTACAATAAGGTGTTCTTACAACCAGGGGTCTTACAACTGGGGTTCTTAGAACCAGGAAGTCTTACAACCAGTGGTTCTTACAACCAGGGCTCTTTTAATCAGGGGTTCTCACATACAGGGATCTTACCTCTAGGGGTTCTTACAACCAGGATTCTTACAACAAGGGGTTCTTAAAACCAAGGGTCTTACAAACAGGGGTTCTTACAACCGCGGGTCTTGCAACCAGGGGTTCTTACAACTTGGGGTCTTACAACCTGGGTTCTTACAACCAGGAGTTCTCACAACCAGGAGTTTGAAAACCAGGGGTTTTTACAACCATGGATTCTTACAACCAGAGGTTTTATAACCAGGGGTCTTACATCCACGGGTTCTTCCAACTAGGGATTCTTACAACCCGGGGTTCTACAACCAGGGGTTCTTACAACCGGGGGTCTAACAACCAGGGGTACTTACAACAAAGGGTCTTACAACCAGGGGTACTTACAACAAAGGGTCTTACAACCAGGGGTTCTTACGAGTAGGAGTTTTACAACCATGGTTTCTTAGAACCAAGGCTCTTACAACTAGGGGTTTTACATCCAGGGATTCTTACAACCAGGGGTCTTACAACCAGGGGTCCTACAACCCGGGGTTCTTACAACTGGGCTTCTTACAGCCAGGGTTTCTTACAACCAAGCTCTTACAACTAGGGGTTTTACAACAAGGGGTTCCTACAATGAAGGCTCTTACAACTTGGGGTCTTACATCCACGGGTTCTTACAACCAGGAGTCTTAAAACCAGGGGTTCCTGAAACTAGGGGTCTTACAACCAGGGGTTGTTACAACCAAAGGTCTTACCACCAGACATCTTACAACCAGGAGTTTTTACCAATGGGGAAGTTACAACCAGGGGTTCTTACAACAGGGGGTCTTACAACCTGGGGTTCTTACAACCAGAAGTTCTCACAACCAGGGGTCTTACATCTACGGGTTCTTACAACCAGGGGTTCTTACCACAAGGGGTTTTATAATCAGGGTTTCTTACAACCAGGGGTCTTACAAGCAGGGGTTGTTACAACCAGGGGGTCTTACAAGCAGGGGTTCTTAAAACCAGAGGTGTTAAAACCAGGGGTTGTTACAACCGGGGGTCTTATAACCAGAGGTTCTTACATCCGGGGGTCTAACAACCAGGGCTTCTTTCAACCGGGGCTCTTACAACCAAAGGTTCTTACAACTGGGGGTCTTAAAACCAGGGTTCTTACAACCGGGGGTCTTACAGCCAAGGCTTGTTACAACCGGAGGTCTTCCAACCAGGGTTTTTTACCACTGGGGGTCTTACAACCAGGGCTTCTTACAACAAGAGGGTCTTACATCCAGGGGTCTTACAAGCAGGGGTTCTTACAAGCAGGGGTTATTACAACCATTGGTCTTACAACCAGGGGTTCTTATTACCAGGGGTCTTACAAACAGGAATTCTTACAACAAGGGGTTCTTACAACTGGGGGTCTTACAACCACAGGTTCTTACAACCAGGGGTCTTACAACCAGGGGTTCTTACAACTGGGGGTCTTACAACCAGGGGTTCTTACCACTGTGGGTCTTACAACCAGGGGTTCTTACAACCGGGAGTCTTACAACCACAGGTTGTTACCACCGGGGGTCTTACAACCAGGGGTTCTTACAACCTGGGGGTCATACAACCAGGGATCTTACAAGGAGGGGTTCTTACAACCAGAGGTCTTACAACCAGGGGTTGTTACAACCAAGCGTCTTATAACCAGGGGTTCTTACAAGCGGGGGTTTAAGAACCAGGGGTTTTTACAACCAGGGGTTCTTACAACCAGGGGTCTTAAAACTAGGGGTTCATGCAACTAGGGGTCTAACAACCAGGGGTTTTTACAACCAGGGGTCTTTTAATAAGGGGTTCTTACTACCGGGGATCTTAAAAGCAGGGTTCCTACGATAAGGGGTTTTTACAATTAGGAGTTTTAGAACCATGGGTTCTTACAGCCAGTTGTGTTATAATAATGGTTTCTTACAACCAGGGGTCTTATAACCAGGGGGTGTTACAACCAGGGGTTCTTAAAACCTGGGATCTTACAATAAAGGGTTCTTAAAGCCAGGTTTCTTACATGCGGGGATCGGACAAGCGGGGTTCTTACAACCAGGGGTTTTTAGAACCAGGGTTCTTACATTAGGGCTTCTTATAACTAGGGGTCTTACAATCAGGGAATGTGACAAGCAGGGGTCTTACAACCAGGGGTTCTTAGAAGAAGGGGTCTTACAACCAGGGTTTGTACGACTAAGTCTCTTAGAAGCAGGAATCTTACAACCAGGGGTTCTTACAACCATTGGTCTTACAACCAGACGTCCTACAACCAGGGGTTCTTACAACCGGGGTTCTTAGAACCAGGAGGTCTTACAACCACCGGTTCTTAAAACCAGGGCTCTTTTAATCAGGGGTTCACACATCACGGGATCTTACCTCTAGGGGTTCTTACAACCGGGGTTCTTAGAACCAGGGTTCTTACAACAAGGGGTTCTTACAACCAGTGGTCTTACAAACAGGGGTTCTTACAACCACGGGTCTTACAACCAGGGGTTCTTACAACTGGGCTTCTTACAGCCAGGGTTTCTTACAACCAGGAGTTCTCACAACCAGGGGTCTTACATCTATGGGTTCTTACAACCAGGGGTTCTTACCACAAGGGGTTTTATAATCAGGGTTTCTTACAACCAGGGGTCTTACATCCAGGGGTTCTTACAACCTGGGGTCTTACAACCAGGGGTTGTTACAACCAGGGGTTCTGACAACCAGGGGGTCTTACAACCAGAGGTGTTAAAACAAGGGGTTGTTACAACCGGGAGTCTTATAACCAGAGGTTCTTACAACCGGGGTCTAACCACCAGGGCTTCTTTCAACCGGAGCTCTTACAACCAAACATTCTTAACCGCGGCTCTTACAGCCAGGGCTTGTTACAACCGGAGGTCTTCCAACCAGGGTTTTTTACCACTGGGGGTCTTACAACCAGGGCTTCTTACAACAAGAGGGTCTTACATCCAGGGGTTCTTACAAGCAGGGTTTATTACAATCATTGGTCTTACAACCAGGAGTTCTTACTACCAGGGGTCTTACAAACAGGAATTCTTACAACAAGGGGTTCTTACAACTGGGGATCTTACAACCACAGGTTCTTACAACCAGGGGTCTTACAGGGGTTCTTACAACTAAGGGGTCTTACAACCAGGGGTTCTTACAACTAAGGGGTCTTACAACCAGGGGTTCTTACAACCTGGGGGTCGTACAACCAGGGATCTTACAAGCAGGGGTTCTTACAACCAGAGGTGTTACAACCAGGGGTTGTTACAACTGAGCGTCTTATAACCAGGGGTTCTTACCACCGTTGGTTTAAGAACCAGGGGTTTTTACAACCAGGGGTCTTAAAACTAGGGGTTCATGCAACTTGGGGTCTAACAACCAGGGGTTTTTACAACCAGGTGTTTTTAAAACCAGGGTTCTTACAACCAGGTGTTCTTTCAAGCAGGGGTCTTACAACCAGGGGTTCTTACAAGCAGGGGTCTTTTAATAAGGGGTTCTTACTACCGGGGATCTTAAAAGCAGGGTTCCTACAATAAGGGGTTTTTACAATTAGGAGGTTTAGAACCATGGGTTCTTAAAGCCAGTTGTGTTATAATAATGGTGTTATAAAGCATGGGTCTTATAACCAGGGGGTGTTACAACCAGGGGTTCTTACAAACAGGGGTTCTTAAAACCTGGGACCTTACAATAAAGGGTTCTTAAAGCCAGGTTTCTTACATGCGGGGATCGGACAAGCAGGGGTTCTTACAACCAGGGGTTTTTAAAACCAGGGTTCTTACATTAGGGCTTCTTATAACTAGGGGTCTTACAACCAGGCAATGTAACAAGCAGGGGTCTTACAACCAGGAGTTCTTAGAAGAAGTGGTCTTACAACCAGGGTTCGTACAACTAGGTCTCTTAGAAGTAGGAATCTTACAAGCAGGGTTCTTACAAGCAGGGGTTCTTACAACCATTGGTCTTACAACCAGACGTCCTACAACCAGGGGTTCTTACAACTGGGGGTCTTTAAAACGACAGGTTCTTACAACCAGGGTTCTTACAACCATTGGTTCTTACTACCTGGGGTCTTACAAAGAGGAATTCTTACAACCCGTGGTTCTTTCAACCGGGGGTCTTACAACCAGAGGTTCTTACAACCGGGGGTCTTACAACCAGGGGTTCTTACTACCAGGGGTCTTACAAACAGGAATTCTGACAACCAGAGGTTCTTGCAACCAGGGGTTCTTACAAGCGGGGGTCTTACAACCAGGGGTTCTTACCACCGGGGGTCTTACAACCCAGGGTTCTTACAACCTGGTGGTCTTACAACCAGGGGTCTTACAAGCAGGGTTCTTACAACCCGAGGTCTTACAACCAGGGATTGTTACAACTGGGCATCTTATAACCAAAGTTCTTACAACCAGGGGTCTTCCAACTAGGGATTTTTACAACCGTTGGTTCTTACAACCGGGGGTCTTACAACCAGGTGTTCTTACAACTGAGGGTCTTACAACCAGGGGTTTTTACAACCGGGGGTCTTACAACACGGGGTTTTTTACAACTGGGGGTCTTACAGCCAGGGGTTCTTACAACCGGGGGTCTTACAACTAGGGCTTCTTACAACCGGGAGTCTTACAACCAGGGGTTCTTAAAACCTGGGGGTCTTACAACCAGGGGTTCTTACAACAAGAGTTCTTACTACCAGGGGTTGTTACAACCGGGCATCTTATAACAAGGGGTTCTTACAACCGGGGGTTTTTAGAACTAGGGGTTCTTACAACCGTGGGTCTTACAACCTGGGGTTGTTAAAACCGGTTGTCTTTAAACCGGGGGTCTTAGAACCAGGGGTTTTTACAACCAGGGGTTTTTACAACCGGGGGTCTTAGAACCTGGGGTTTTTACAACCAGGGGTTCTTACAACCAGGGGTCTTAAAACCAGGGGTTTTACAACCAGTGGTTGTTACAACCAGGGGTCTTACAACCCGGGTTTCTTACAACCGGGGGTTTTACAACCAGGGGTCTTACAACCAGGAGTTTTTACAACCAGGGGTTCTTACAAGCGGGGGATCTTACAACCTGGGGTCTTACAACCAGGAGTTTTTACAACCAGGGGTTCTTACAAGCGGGGGGTCTTACAACCTGGGGCTGTTACAACCAGGGGTCTTACAACCAGGGGCTCTTACAACCGCGGGTATTACAAACAGGAATTCTTATATCTAGAGGTCTTACAACCAGGAGTTCTTACCACCAGGGTTCTTACAACCAGGGGTCTTACACCAGAGGTTGTTAGAATCAGGGGTCTTACAACCGGGGGTCTTACAAACAGGGGGTCTTACGTCCAGGGGTTCTTACAACCAGGGGCATGCAACTAAGGGTCTAACAACCAGGGGTTTTTACAACCAGGTGTTTTTAAAACCAGGGTTCTTACAACCAGGTGTTCTTTCGAGCAGGGGTCTTACAATAAGGGGTTCTTACTACCGGGGATCTTAAAACCAGGGTTCCTACAATAAGAGGTTTTTACAATTAGGAGTTTTAGAACCAGGTGCTCTTACAGCCAGTTGTCTTATAATAATGGTTTCTTACAACCAGAGGTCTTATAACCGGGGGTGTTACAACCAGGGGTTCTTACAAACAGGGGTTCTTAAAACCGGGGGTTCTTAGAACCAGGGTTTTTACATTAGGGGTTCTTAAAACTAGGGGTCTTACAACTAGGGAGTCTTACAAGCAGGGGTCTTACAACCAGGGGTTCTTAGAACCAGGGGTTTTACAGCCGGGGGTTCTTAGAACCAGGGTTCTTACTTTAGGGGTGTCTATAACTAGGGGTCTTACAACCAGGGAATCTTACAAGCAGGGGTCTTACAACCAGCCGTCTTACAACCAGGGGTTCGTACAACCAGGTGTCTTACAAGCAGAGATCTTACAAGCAGGGGTTCTTACAACCAGGGGTTTTACAGCCGGGGGTTCCTAGAAGCAGGGTTTTTACTTTAGGGGTTTTTATAACTAGGGGTCTTACAACGAGGGAATCTTACAAGCAGTGGTCTTACAAGCAGGGGTCTTACAACCAGGGGTTCTTACAACCAGGGTTTCTGACCATCAGGGATCTTTTAACCAGGGGTCTTACCGCTAGGAGTTCTTACAACCAGGGGTGTTACAATAAGGAGTTGTTACAACCAGTTGTCTTAGAACCAGGGGCTCTTACCGCCAGGGGTGTTACAATAATGGGCTCTTACAGCCAGGGGGTCGTAGAACCAGGTGTCTTACATCCAGGGGTTCTTACAACCAGGGGTCTTTCAATCAGGGGTTCTTTCAAGCAGAGGTTCTTACAAGCAGAGGTCTTTCAGCGCCTTAAGCATGTTTGAAATCTTGGCACATGGTTTGATAACCATATGTCTATGAATACTCTTATAGGAAAGGTATGTAGTAAGGCAGTTAGAGGGCTTTATAATATTAGGCAAATTAGAAAATATCTGTCTGCAGAGTCAACCAAGTGTTTAATTCATGCGTTTGTTACATCACATTTAGATTATTGTAACGCTTTTTTGTATAAGCTTCCGCAATATCAATATGACCGACTTCAAAAAGTTCTTAATGCGGTGACTCGGGTTACATGCTTAATTCCTAAGTTTGCCCATAGTACTCCGGTACTTAGGGAACTTCATTGGTTGCCAGTGAAATTTAGAGTAGAATTTAAGATTACACTATTAGTTTTTAAAGCGTTGAATGGCCTGGCACCACAATATTTATCTGAACTACTTGTTGTAAGGCCTAGAACTAGATACAGCCTGCGGTCTGATTGTAATCCCTAAGGTGACACGAAAGACTTTTGGCGATCTATCCTTCTTCCATGCTGGACCAACAGTATGGAATGCTTTGCCATCTAGCCTTAGAAACTGTAGGAACATTGACTCTTTTAAAGTACAGTTGAAGACTTATATTTTTAAGAAAGCTTTTAATTTGTAATTTTATATTCTTATTACTATTATTATATCTGTCCATTTATTGTATATATAGAGGATATTACACGGTGGCGCGAAGATATGAATTTTATTTTCGAGTGACACGAGAAAATCAAATTCATATCTTCAAGCCGCTGTGTAATGTTCCTTTTATTATATAAACAAAAAGACATCGATAAAATAATAGAGGGAAATGACCGAAATTACGTCATCGATAAACTCACGTGTGAGATTATGGTAAATAAACCACGCGGGTCCTGGATGTAGTTTTTATAAATTTTATGAGTGGTGTATTTTCCAGTAAAACACTCGTGTCTACATAATAGATATATTTATTTTCTTGTAAAGCGCTTTAGAATATTTTAATAGTTAAAGTGCTATATTAAATGTAATAAATTATTATAATTATTATTATTACAACCAGAGGTCTTACAACCAGGGGTTCTTAAAACTGGGAGTCTTACAACCAGGAGTTCTCAGAACCTGGGTCTTACATCTAGGGGCTCTTACAAGCAGGGGTTTTATAATGAGGGGTTCTTAGAACCAGGGTTGTTATAACTAGGGGTTGTTCCAACCAGGGGTCTTACAATCAGAGGTTCTTACAACCAGAAGTCTTACATCCAGGGGTTCTTACAGCCAAGGCTCTTACAAGCAGGGGTCTTACATCCAGGCATTCTTACAGCCAGGGGTTCTTGCAACTAGGGGTCTTACAAGCAGGGCTTCTTACATCCAGGGGTCGTACAACCAGGGGCTCCTACAACCAAAGCTCTTACAACCAGGGGTCTTAGATTCAGGGGTCTTAAAACCAGGGGTTCTTGCAGGTAGTGGTCTTACAACCAGGAGTCTTACAACCAGGGATTCTTACAACCAGAGGTCTTACAACCAGGGGTTTTTACAACGGTCGGTCTTACAACCAGGGATTCTTACAACTTGAGGTCTTACCACCAGGAGTTCTTACAACCAGATGTTCTTACAACCAGGGGTATTACATCCAGGGGTTTTATAATCAGGGGTATTTAGAACGAGTGGTTCTTAGAACCAGGGGTTTTACCAGCAGGGGTTCTTACGACCGGGGGTCTTAAAACCAGGGGTTCTTATAACCAGGGGTTCTTCCAACCAGGGGTCTTACAATCTCGGGTTTTTACAACCAGGGGTCTTACAACCAGGGGTTCTTACAACCGGGGTCTTACAACTAGGGGTTCTTACAACCAGGGGTCTTACAATCAGACGTTGTTACAACCAGGGGTTTTACAATTAGGGGTTCTGACAATAATCTGCTCTTACAACAAGGGTTTCTTAGAACTAGGAGTCTTAGTACCAGGGGTTCTTACAACCAGGGGGTCTTACAACAATCGGTTCTTACAACAGGGGTTCTTAGGACATGTGGACTGACAACCAAGGGTTCTTACAACCGGGGGTCTTACATCCAGGGGTTCCTACAACTAGGGGTTCTCACAACGAAGGGTCTTACATCCAGGGTTTCTTACAACCAGGGGTCTTACAATCAGGGGTCCCACAATCAGAGGTTCTTACAATTAGGGTCTTACAATTAGGGGTTCTTACAATAAGCTACTCTTACAATTGTTTCTTAGAACCAGGGGTCTTACAACCAGGGGGTCTTACGACAATCAGTTCTTACAAGAGTTGTTCTTAGGACAAGGGGTCTTACAACCAAGGGTTCTTACAGCCGCAGGTCTTACATCCAGGGGTTCTTACAAGCAGGGGTCTTACAAGCAGGGGTCCTTGCAACAACTGGTTTTCATAACAGGGTTCTTACGACACGGATTCTTCCAAGGAGTCTTCTTACAACCGGGGGTCTTACATCCAGTGGTTCTTACAACCAGGGGTTACAACCAGGGGTCTTATAATCAGGGGTTCCTAGATCCACTGGTCTTAGAAGGAGAGGTTCTTACAACTAGAGGTCTTACATCCAGGGTTTCTTACAACTGGTGGTTCTTCCAAGCAGAGGTCTTACAATCAAAGTTTCTTTCAACCAGGGATCTTAAAAGAAGGGGTTGTTACGACTTGGGGTTTGACAACAAGGGCTTCTTACAAGCAGGAGTTCTTACAACTGGGGTCTTAAAACAAGTGGTTCTTACAACCAAGAGTTCTTGCAAGCATGGTTCTTACCACCCAGGGTCTTACAGCAGGGGTCTCGCAAGGAGGGATTTTTACAATCAGGGGTTCTTACAACCAGGGATCTTAAAAGAAGGGGTCCTTACACCCAGGGTTTCTTACAATCAGGGGTTCTTACAGCAAGGGGTCTTTTCGCCAGGGTTCTTACAACCAGGGGTTTTTACAAGCAGTAGTCTTACAACAAGGGGGTCTGACAATCAGCGGTTTTTAAAGGATTTCAGGGGGTTACCAGGGATCGGTGGGGGATACAAGGGATTACAGGGGCTTATGGGGGGTTACAGCATCTTACAAGAGGTAACAGGGGGTGACAAGGAGTTTCACGGGCTTACAAGGGGTTACAAGTGGTTACAAGGGGTTGCAAGAGGTTACAAGGGATGACAAGGGGTTAGAGTGGGTTACAAGAAGAAATTAGGTAACTATTCTAGCCACACAAAGCAGAAGCTGATTTTTTAAAAAAAAGTAAGCAGGAATTTGTTGTTTACTATCTATCGAAATAAAAAATGTTACAAACTGTTTGTGGGCAAGATATTAACTGGGTAAATATTTACACGATACAGGTATTTATAATTTTATTATGTTTGTTGTTTTGAATTTTTGGCAAATAACTAAGTGTACTGTAAGTTTTACACTATTAATTATACATACAAATTTAAAGATTAGAGCGCTCTAGCAAAAGGCAAAGAGTGTGTTTGCTTTGAAATTCAAGAAGGGATAGTGTTGTTTTCGAAAGAAAAATTGTTGTAAGGCATTGCACCACTACACTTAAAACTGTGTTTGAGTAAACTAGTTTTTGGCCTTGGAAGTCCTAGATGAGTTTTAAGATTGCTAAGATGATAGTTGGTTTTACTATCGTTAAGTTTTGTAAAAGAGGCTGTCAGATGGGAGATGGGGAGGGGAGGAAGACTGATCTTTGAGGATTGTGTACACAAGGGTAGCCTTAATATGTATGGGCCTGGTATGGAGGTTTTCCATTTTAATTTTGAAAAACATGTATTAATTTAATGTCATTATGACATTGTGTCATGAGGCATCAAATATCAGAGAATTCTCCTTTTACTACACAAAAATCTGCAGGTAATGTACTATCGAATTGAAAAATGTCACAAACTGTTCTGTTTGAGGGTAATATATTAACTGGGTAAATATGAACACAATACAGGTAATTTTACCATGTTTGTTGTGAGTTTTTGGAGAATAATTAAGTGTACTATAAGGTTTATACTATTAAGTAGACATACAAATTTAAAGGTCAGAGCATTCTAGCAAAAAGGAAAAAGCATGTTTGCTTTTAAATTCGGGAAGTGATTGTGTTTTTTTCACATGGTAAGAAAGATTTTTGTAGACCATTGCAACACTACACATAAAACTGCATTTGAGGAAATTAGTTTTTGGCCTTAGAAGTAGTAGGTCAGTTTTAAGATGGCTAAGATTATAGTTGGTGTTACTATCGTGGAATTTTGTAAAGTAGGCACTCAGATTGAGGGGGGGGGGGAACATTGATCCTATAGGATTGTGTATACAAGGGTAGCTTTTCATGTAGGCGCCTGGTTTCAAGGTTTTCCATTTCAATCTTTCAAGAACACCTACCTATTCAATATCATCATGACTGGGTGTTTATTAGGCATTAACAATCGGATAATTCTCTGTTTAGTACTGAGAAATCTCCAGCTAATGTTCGATAGCCTATGATTATTTTTTCATTGAGACGTACTGGAGCCTTTTTCAAATTATTACCTTGTAATGTTAAACCTGTTATTTGAATTCTTAATGAAAACCCTGTATAACGAACTCGTAATGACTTTACCCATAGGGTTTTGAATTTTTTCAATTTATCTTTCAGTTGCTTTGCACTAGTATTACACAAGCAAGATGGAATTAACAGTAATCAAGGTAAGTAACAGACTGTAACATTAACATGAGGTTACAGGGGGTTTTAAAGGATTTCAGGGGGTTACCGGGGATTTCTGGGGGATACATGAGGTTAAAGGGGGTTACAGGGGGTTAAAAGAGGTACCAGAGGGTTACAGGGGGTTACAAGGGGTTACAGAGGCTTACGGGGGGTTACAGGGGGTTACAAGAGGTAACAGGGGGTTGCAACGGGTTACACGGGCTTACAGGAGGTTACAGAGGTTACAAGGGATGACAAGGGGTTAGAGTAGGTTACAAGAAGAAATTAGGTAACTATGCTAGCCACACAGAAGAAAAGCTGATTTCTTTTTAAAAAGTAGGGAGGAATTTGTTGTTTACTATCGAAATGAAAAATATTACAAACTCTTTGAGGGTAATGTATTAACTGGGTAAATATTGAGACAATACAGGTCATCTTACTATGTTGTTGTGAGTTTTTGAGAATAATTAAGTGTACTATAAGTTTTAAACTGTTAATAAGCCATTCAAATTTAAAGATCAGGGCATTGTAGCAAAAAGGAAAGACTAATTTGGCTTTTAAATTCAGGGAGTGACTGTGCTTTTTTTTCCTGGTAAGAAAGATTGTTTCAGAGCATTGCAACACTACATTTAAAACTGCGTTTGAGGAAATTAGTTTTTGGCCTTGGAAGTAGTAGATAAGTGTCAAGACTACTAAGATTGTAGTTGGGTTTACTATCGTTGAGTTTTGTAAAGGAGGCTCTATGATGGGGTGCTTATATTTTGTCAATGTAGAGCCCTATTCAGCTCAGTGTTATTTCTCCAGATTATTGTAAACAATGTCCTATATTGCTGTACTGTAAATTTTAGCCGTGACAATTACTCTTTGGCGAATAAAAATCTATTATTTTATCGATGATTTTTTGTCTATATAATAAAAAGAACATTACACGGCAGCTTGAAGATATGAATTTTATTTTCTCGTGGCTGCGCTCGTTCGTAAAATATTGTTTTGCCACTGGAAAGTAAATTTCATATCTTCGTGCCACCGTGTAATATCCCCTATTTATTTAGTTAGGCGTCTTGCGTGATGTTGCAGGACGAGCATACGTGCCTCGTGTTCACGTTAAATTTTGAATTGGGCGCCATTTTGAACTGTTTGTTCTTCGCTGTCGGTTCGCCTTCTATTTTGGTCGTGCAGGGACGTCTTTTTGTGAAGATGAGAAAGGAGAGTGTGATAGATTGCGGAGATAGACTGCAGGGAGGAATAATAGTGCGTAGACCTAGTTAAACGAAACGCCAAATCCCATGGAAGCGGTGACGAAGGAATTCAACATCAGTGTACGTTGGGGACTGGAAATATGCACAACTGACTGTTTCAACAACCATCACCTGCAACCATTGAGAGGAGAGAACGCCTAACTGTGGATCCTTGTTGTTTCGTAAGTACATTTTTAATGTGGATACTGAATCTTGTTTAAATACGTAGAAACATATTAATTATTTAAGTCTATGTAATGGCTTTGGGAGCATTTCATGGATGTCGATCGTAAAAATCGTTTCACGTGAGCTTTCACAAGCGACCATAAGCTCATATGCTTCATTCGACAGCGAGTTTCTTCCTACAGTTCTGACCCTTGTATGTTACCTGTAGTTTCCGTGATAACATATAGAGCACGTTTTTGTCTGATTTCTTTTGCAATAAAGACATAGTTGCTACTTCACTGAAAAAGAATTTTGCTGTAAATAAATGGCGAACATGATAGCTCTAAAATTTGGAATCTTGAATCAGGAAACGGAGTCACGGAACGGAACACGGAATCAAATATCAATGATAGAAAAATATTATATAAAAATTCCTTGACGCTTAAATGTACAAAACGAGGATAACAGCTTTATTTAATGGCAAAGCAACCTTCACTGACACAAGTAAGATAAGCATCTTTGGGTGGGAAGTCGCAATTCTATTTATCCATCTTTGAGTGGACAAGGTAGTGCTTGTGTCAATGATGCTACAAATGATGCAACTGTCACCAGGAGATACATGTAAACAAGATTATTCAGAAATTGATTTTCCTTACACTTCAATTAATTTTGTCATTAATCTTCGAACACAAGGATAACAGCTTTATTCCATGACAAAGCAACCTTCATTGACACAGCTTTGAGTGGGAAGTCGCAATTCTGTTTATCCATCTTTGAGTAGACAAAGTAGTGCTTGTGTCAGTGTTGTACGAAAATGTTGCAACAGTCACCAGGAGATAAATGTAAACAAGAAGATGATTCAGAAATATAATTTCCTTACACTTTAATTTGTCGTTTAGCTTTGAACACGAGGATAACAGGTTTATTCAATGGCAATTAAGCAACCTTCACTGACACAGCTAAGACGCCCATCTTTGAGTCGGAAGTTCCAATTCTATTTATCCATCTTTGAGTGGAAAAAGTAGTGCTTATGTCAATAATACTTCAAATGTTGCAACAATCACCAGGAGATACATGTAAACAAGAAGATTATTCACAAATATAATTTCCTTACAGTTTAATTTGTCGTTTAGCTTCGAACACAAGGATAACAGCTTTATTCAATGACAATTAAGCAACCTTCACTGACACAGCTAAGACACCCGTCTTTGAGTGGGAAGTCGCAATTCTATTTATTCATCTTTGAGTGGACAAAGTAGTGCTTGTGTCAATGATACTTCCCATGTGCAACAGTCACCAGGAGATAAACAAGATTATTCAGGAATATAATTTCCATACACTTTAATTTTTGGTATTGTGCTTCAAACACTTGGATAAGAGCTTTATTCAACGACAAAAGCAATCTTCCTTAAAATGAAATATTTGTCGTTGTCATGCACTACCTGAAAACGGCCTTATTTTAAGCTCTCTAGTTTTTTTCAGAACCAGGCTGTTACAATATACATGTAATATTATTTGATATAAATATTTAAAAATATTTGTCATGTTTGTTTGTCTTTATTTGTTTGAAGTATGAAGATGAGGAGAACAAAAACTTTGAGGATATTTTGGTTAGTGAAGTCAGGGGGAAGTTTGGGAAAAAGAAATGGCCCAAAGCAGAGACAAAAGGTAAGTTGTGCAGTTTTGTAAGTTCTTTGAATCTGGTAGTTTCTAGGTGTTGCAGACAGGTGCAATCATCTAACATAATAGAAAACATAGTATAAGTTATCCACTTAGTGACGTATTTAGCCTGTCCTGGAACAGGACTGCGCTTTGGCAGTGCCAGGTGGCCCCTAGCACATTACTGTTGCTCTTGGGTGACAAGGAAGTCTTAGTTTGCTCAAACACATTCATCCAGGGTACCCTGGATTTTTCAGGTTAAAGGGACAGTTTCACGGTTCACCACATGCCCATTAATCAAAATGCTATTTTCTGCCAGGAAATGCTGTATCACGAATGAAAGCAATATGATCATTTGGCAATGTTGTTAAAGAACCAATCTGCACACTCCCCTGGCAGTCACTTGATCAACTTAGGTGCAAATAGCTGTAAATTAATCATCCATGGAATAAAACCCTTGGGTAAACTATAAATTCAACGTTGGTAGTGTTGGCATAATCCACTAATTTTTCTGCGTTTTTAATACTCCTTCATCCTACTTCAGGTTACTCTGAAATACACTTCTACTTTGAAATACTCTGAGATCGCTGAGATACATGTGAGTGGGATTATTAACCTACAGAATTAATAATAAATTGGAAAAACATAATTTAATTAATAAGCACATGCTGAACCGTGAACCTGTCCCTTTTAAGGACACTAGGCTCTTTCATTTTTTAAGAACGCAACACATGGTTTGCATGTGTGTGTTATGCATACATAATTTACGATTATTATAGAATGCATGAGTGCCATACCCTCTACCCCCTGTTACATTGTTAATGTTAACAGTGTCCTTCCCTTTATATGCGAGGTTTGATTGTAGTGTAAATTGCTCAGAGTAGAGAGCAAGAACCAAATCTAAAGATTCAAAATAGTCAGGATGACTTTTTTGCCAGACAAAACTGTTGTTGAAGAAAAAAGTAAAAGTTAATGTTTTTCAAAGTAGTCGTCCCATTGTGACTAAGTAAGTTTTTTTTTTGGTTTTCAGAAATTGACGTATCGCATAGACATGTTGGACAAGGCACAACTTTCTCCTGATGACAAAGCCAAAGTAAAGACTTAATGAAACCTACATGCATGTCAAAGAGGCAAAAAAGAACAACTGCGAAAATAACCAGAGAGGCTGATAAATACTTATCAGACAGACCGGTAGCAAAAAACTGCCCCTCATGCGCAGGACCCCAATAATACCAAAGTAACAAATTCCTACAGTGATCGGCACTATGGCAGCTGGAAGTAAAAAGCCCAAAAATGATGCAGTGCACTTGCTTAAAAATGAGCTGCAGCCCAATCACTAAACATGTGATGGCATAGTGGCTTCTACATGAATAAAATTCTACTTTTTCCCTACATTGTATTTTTCACTGGTTTAAAACCTGTCATATTGTTTTTCACTTTATCAAGAAAGTATTTGACTTTGTTCTCCAGTTCAGCCTTCCCTGTGTTTTACTAACAATGAAACCATATGAGCGAGAAACCCTGTAGTCACTTTTTGTGTCACTTGCATAAAGTTGAAATTCGATAGGCCACAGTGACATATTCTCTTCAGGACTCTGCATCCACGACCACCATAGTGGAGGTCACTGTAACAATTTGCTTTAAGTCCTTAATGTATTAATATGCCTTCTTTAGTCAGGATAACCTTGTGGTGGTCAACTCTAACTAAATTGCATAATCTGATTGGAAAGGTCATAAGAGTTTTATTCTTAAAGACAATCATTACTTGACTGTGTTTATTAAAATTACTGAAACTACAAGACAGTCAATGGGTTATCCTAAAACTATAAAACAGGGAGTATAAGTTAAATGCAATGTGATAACAGGGTTTGAGCTAGGATTTGATCACTGGTGGACCATTATTTTGTCCCCTTGGCTAAAATTTTGGGGGACATTTTTATTCTAAGTGGAACAGACAAATTAATTTTTATTCAACATTTTACATTCATACAGGCAAGCGAACAAAAACATTATGTGATCCTTGTAATACAAGAAAAGTTAAGTTATTGGTGTCAAGACTTTTTCTCTTCATATTATATAAACAGAAGAACCAATGACTGTGCTTTATACTACAAAACACTTCATACCAGAATCTCGTCCCTGCATCCCCTTGTAAACTTCAATACCTTTCTTAATTACTGGTAGACGTACATGTACTAATTCTTCTGTTAGTTCTAGTCCAAACATCAAGGGCTGCCAATGCAAAGGGGTTTGTCTTCTTAGATTTCCGACAAAAATAGCAGAACATCGCCTCCTTTTCATAGTGCAACCGTGTGTGATCCTGCAACCAAGTTTTCTGGAAAGTTTGTGATTTTTTTGGTTTCCTTTGATCCTCATCCGTTTCTTCCTGATTAATACAATGTTCTTCTTCTGTATCATTTTTCTCTGATTCACTCTGGCTTTGATTTGAAGCGAAAAAGCTTGCTCATGTTCAAACGCGGTTTCAATGTGACATGTTAAGGATTGCCAGGTACGTTCACCAGGCTTTGTTGAGCATGAGACGTACGTCTTCAGTAGAGCGTGACTGAAACATGACTTTAGAATGAACTCAAAACGTGTGATAAAATATACTTTCCACGTTCTGTTTTAGCTTGCAATTTCTGTATTGAACCAAATCTCTTTGTGTCTGCTTCCTGTCGAGTTTTTTCCCTAAATCTTGAAGGGGACAAATTGGCCCCTTCGCCGATTTTTTAAGGGACAATTTCAATTGCAGTGCGGGATTGGCCCAATGGCGCGTCCTGGCTTAAACCCTGGTGATAATGAGTTGCTTGTTAAAAGTGCACAGTCTGTCATTATTATTCAAACTCAAATGTAAGCAAATTCTCATAGGCTACTTTGTATGTTACGGCCAGGTCTAAGTTGTAGCCATGCAGTTAAGGCACAGTGACTACAAAAAGTGAAATACATGTGTACAGATGACTTGCTGGCTCGTATGTTAAGCCTATATGGTTAGTTTTGTTTTCTTCACTATCATCTTTGTAGCATCAGTCTGATACTCCCTAATGAAGGCTTCTCAGCAGTTTGTACAGGCTTTGACAAAAATTTTTGGCAGATGATCCACCAAGTACTGGTACTTGCTATGAGATGATAGGCTATAAGTATTAAGACAGCAGTTTGATACAAATAACCACTAGCTACATTTCCCAATGAGATTTTATGCAGTCTTAACTAAGTAAGACCTTCATTAGTAATATTGTTCTTATTAATTTACCGGTATTTAAGGATTTTGCCGTGAACTACTATGTAGAGTTGTTTTGGAATGGAAATGCACGTTACTAATAATTTTAAAATATATGCTATAATGATGTTATTTAATTAATCATTATTATGTAATTATTATGTTGATCATTTCAAGGAAAAAAGGTTAAATTTTGTCAATTCTAAAAGGATCACTTAATTGAAATGGAAAATTTACAGTTTTAGAAATAGAAAATGGAACACAAGAATTCTTTTTTTTATTGTGAAAATATTAATATACATATGTACATATTATATGAAAATGGAGAGAGAATTATTTTAATAAAAGCTTACCAAAAAGGCACTTACTGTGAAACTCACAAAACTGTGAACACCAAAAATATTTATGGAATGTTATTATGTTGCAAGAAATAAGCCAATAAGGTGCGAGATAACTAAACTGCAAACAGCAATGGTAATTAGTTTGTGGTTTTGAGCTTTGCTCGCGTATCCTTAACTTTATTGTGATTGGCCAGTACACAATCAACATTCCTGAAATTTTTCAGGTGTTCACGGTTTTCTGAGTTTGACAATAAATCTGAATCTGCTTGATTTTTTGTGTATCTGCTAAAATGGAATCATGAAATGGTCTAGAGTTGTCTCACAAACGTCCACTTTTTATATACTGGATAGAATGAACAGTATATGATTCAAAACTGGATAGTTACATAAAGTTTCCACATCTAGGAAATCCAGTGAATAATCCACCAAAAGTGATTGAGTTTCCACATTCATTGCCGTCACTGAGTTTCCGCATTCATTGTTCCACTCAACGGATAATTGAGTATCCTCTGAAATTACGAGCTGCAAAAACATGACATTAGGTAGTGTTTCTGCAAGAGTAGAACTGACGGAAACGTGAGGATAAGGGATGTGTTTCTGCAACTCCGCAGAAACTGAAACATGACGTATACACGTGTTGCCCGCAACGGTTAGTTACAATTCCGTCTGCAGATATTCAGGTTTCCGTGGGGTAACTGTTACAAAAACGAAAACACCTTTTTTCAACTTGTGTAGATAGTGGATGTGTATAAGAGCCAGTTAAGAGAACCTCCCTTGTGCCTTGAATACTACTTAGTACTTGGTGGCCACAGAAGACAGCAGATATTTTAAGCTATTGTCAAAGAAAAAAGGAACAATGCATACCCTTTTAGTGGCTCCTGTAATTGGCCATTAAGCAGCCACTTGGACAACGATAATTTCCTTGATAACCCTTGACGCCCAATATACATGTACAAATTCTCCAAACTGATCTCCACATATTTCCTTAAAGAATGAGTTGATAGAATTTGATAAAAGATCAAAGCATTTTCTCTTAGGTGATCATTTTATTAATTCTCATAACCTAATCTCTTGTCATTGTATGGATATTGTTTGGAGAAAATTGATGTTGGTCACTATTGGTACTTAAAGCCATAATGCCTGATAAATGCGTAAGGACAACATTAAGCCACTCAGAACAGTTGTACTGCTCTTGCCACAAAAACAAAATAATGTTCTTCCCTATCAGGGAAACATTATAATAACCGCAGGGAGAACATCATCAGGCTCCAGTCCTAAGACTTGCATTATTCTTATTCACATGAAATGTGTTGGAGTTGACTAATGCATACTTTTGACTGAGTGGCAGTGCAATTTTTTTTATACCACATGCATAGGGTAGCTTAAATAGGAATTTCAATATGCTGCAAGCAATGTGAAGGGGCTGGGCCCAGGTCAGTCAAAACTGTACCAGGGAACCTCTTACTTACTGTGAAAATAATAATTCCTATCCCGCTCTCAGGAAACTATGGAAACAAATCCTAAAGGTTATTTAAGCCACTTTTGGAAAAATGAAAGGAACAACTGACACCTTCAGCTAGCCTAATGGAACAGAGATGAACCACAGGCAGCCACTGAACAGTAAAACACCACATGACCTAGCCCCCAGTAAAAGAAACGCGGAAGAAAAACATTTGGTTGATCTGCACTATAAATCTGCGAAAAAGACTTTACTCCTTAAGGACAAAATTTATAGAAGTAAGCGATGTATTAGCAAGGGGTATGCCCTGTACCCCTGTGGGGGGTGGTACTGCCATATATATGTGCTCTATAGGTATGTGCCGCTGTGAAGGGTATTGTTTTCAGGCAGTTTACTCTAGGATAGGGTATATAAATCAGAGAGTTTGGGTCTAGAACAGGGTACAATTTTTCAGGAAACTGATCAGGTTGTTGAAGATTTTATCTGTACTAGGGAAACAGCTACTCTAGGATAGCGGGGATTTGGGAAGTTTACCCTAGTATAGGGGAGCAAGATTCAGCTGAACTAGCTCTGGTATAGGTTAAGGGTTCCAGGGTCCCAGCGACATCCCAACCCCGAAATTCCTAAAGTACCCCCCTGGGCCTTGTAGGCATACCAAATCCCCTTTATACACTTGTAGACACTAAAAGGGCGAAAACACGTTTTGTGATTCAAAATTCCTACACAATAAGTAGAAATTGAAAAATATTTGTAATTCGCTTTCTTTTAAATAACTCTTTGGTCAACAGAAAAGTGGACCTGTGCGGGGTTGTGAGTACACCTGTTGCACCCCCCTCCCTACAGGGCTGCTAGGGGGTTAGAGGGGGACAAGGGGTTACAGTGGGTTAGAACAAGAAATTAGGTAGCTACGCTAGCCACACTGAACAAAAGCTGATCTCTTAAAAAAATAAGAGGGGACTTGTTCACCATCAAAATGCAAAATGTTAATTTGGTAAAAAATTAAACAATATGGGTATTTTTACTATGTTTGTGGCTGTGATTTTTTGGAGGAGAATTAAGTGTTAAACTATTTTAAAGTTTTAAACTATTTTTATTTTAAACACATAGTTTAAAATTTTAAAAAATCTATGTGAAATTAAAATTGAAATTAAAAAAGGCAAAGTGGAAGTTTGCTTTTTAATTCAGGAGGCGATTATGTTGTTTTTGTCAGGTAAAAAAGATTGTTACATATCATTGCACCACTTCACTTAAAACTGCATCTCGGGAAAATATTAGATTTTTGGCTTTGAAAGATCTACGCCAGTTTCAAGATTGCTAAGATTATAGTTGTTGTTACTATCATTGAGTTTTGTAAAGGAGGCTCTCAGTTGAGGGGGCGGGGGGCGGAGATTGATTCTTGAGGATTGTGTACATAAGGGTAGCCTTATCTTGTGAGCGAATAGTTTCGAAGTTTCCATTTCAATTTTTAAGAACATCTAGTTATTTAATGTCTTTATGACAGGCTGTTTATTAGGTATCAAAGACCAGAGAATTCTCTGTTTACTGGAGAGAAGTCTCCAGCTATTTTTGTTAGCCTATTACTATTGTTTTATTTTGACATACTGGAGCGTTTTTCAAATTATTACCCTGTAACGGTAACCCTTACTTCTGCTACTAGAATTCTAAATAAAAACCATGTATAATGAACTCATGATGACTTTACTGTAGGGTTTTGAATTTTTTTGCAATTTATCTTTCAGTTTCTTTGCACAAGTATTGATCAACAAGTACGATGGAGTTAACAGTAATCTAAGTAAGTAACAGGCTGTAACACTAACCTGCAGAGATTACAGGGAGTTTTAAAGGGTTTCAGGGGATTACCAGGGATTGCTGGGGGATACAAGGGGTTAAAAGGAGTTAACGGGGTTACCAGAGGTAACAGGGGGCTACGAGGGGTTACATGGGCTTACAGGGGGTTACAAGGGGTTAGAGTGGGTTACAACAAGCAATTAGGTAATTATGCTAGCCACACAGAAGAAAAGCTGATTTCTTTTAAAAAAGTAAGCAGGAATTTGCTGTTTACTATTAAAATGAAAAATGTTACAAACCATTTGAGGGTAATATATTAACTGAGTAAATATTTACACATTACAGGTGATTTTGCTATGTTTGTTGTTGTGAGTTTTTGGAGAATAACAAAGTGTATTACACTATTAATTACACATGCAAAATTAAAAGATCAGAGCGTTGTAGAAAAAGGCAAAGAGGATGTTTGATTTTAAATTCAGGAAGTGATCGTGTTGTTTTTGCATGCTAAGAAAGATTGTTGTAGAGCATTGCACCACTACACTTAAAACTGTGTTTGAGTAAATTAGTTTTTACCTTGGAAGTGCTAGATCAGTTTCAAGATTGCTAAGATTATAGTTGGTGTTACTATCATTGAGTTTTGTTAAGGAGACCCTCAGATGCAGGGGGATGGGGGAACGAAGAGTTATCATTTGAGGATTGTGTACATAAGGGTAGCCTTAATGTGTGTGAACCTGGTTTTGAGGTTTTTCATTTCAATTTTAAAAAGCATCTGCTTTATCACGTAAACGCCTGGTTTCAAGGTTTTCAATTTCAATTTTTCAAAAACATGTACCTATTCAATATCATTATGACCAGGTGTTTATCAGACATCAAGGATCTGAGAGTTCTCCAGTTACTACACAGAAATGTCAAGCTAATGTTCAGTAGCCCATCACTATTGTTTTATTTAGACGTACTGGAGTCTTTTTCAAATTATTATTTTGTAATGTTTTCTTTACTCCTGCTACTAGAATTCTTATTGAAAACCCTGTACAATGAACTGATAATGACTTTACCCATATGGTTTTAAAATTTTTTGCGATTTATATTTCAGTTGCTTTCCACAAGTATTCCACAAGCGCGATGGAATTAACAGTAATCAAAGTAAGTAACAGGGTGTAACCCGATTATGAGGTTACAGATGGTTACAAGGGATAACAGTGGGTTACAGGGGATTACAGGAGGTACCAGGGGGTTACAAGGAATAACAGTGGGTTACAAGGAATTACTGGGGTTACAAGAGGTTACAGAGTGTGACAAGGGGTTAAAGGGGGAAACGTGGGGTTACTGGGGCGCACAAGGAGTTACAGGGGGTTACAACAAAAAATTAGGTAACTACTCTAGCCTTACACAACAAAAGCTGATTTCTTTTAATAGAATAAGCAGGAAGTTGGTGTTTGCTATCAAAATGAAAAATGTTTCAAACCCTTAGAGGGTAATGTATATATTGGGTAAAAATTTACACAATGCAGGTAATTTGACTATGTTTGATGGTGTGAGTTTCTGAGAATAACTAAGTGTACTATAGGTTTTAAACTATTAATTACCCATACAAATTTAAAGATGAGAGCGTTGTAGCAAAAGGCAAAGACTTATGTTGCTTTTAAATTCAGGGAGTGATTGTGCTTTTCTTCCTAGTAAGAAAGATTGTTCCAGAGCATATTGCAACACTACTCTTAAAACTGTGTTTGAGGAAATTAGTTTTTGGCCATGGAAGTAGTAGATCAGTTTTAAGATGGCTAAGATTATAGTTGGTGTTACTATTGTTGAATTTTGTAAAGGAGGCGCAGGGATTCGGGGGCAGGGGATTAATCCTTTAGGATTATGTAGACAAAGGTAGCTTTATCAGGTGAGCGCCTGGTTTCGAAGTTTTCAATTTCAATTTTTCAAGAACATGTACCTATTCAATATCATTATTACCGGGTGTTTATTAGATATCAACAATCTGAGCATTCTCCAGTAGCTAGACAGAAATCTCCAGCTAAAGTTTGGTAGCCCATCACTATTGTTTTATTTAGATGTACTGGAGTCTTTTTTAAATTATTATTATTTTTGTAACGATTTTTTTACTCCTGGTGTACTATCAAAATTAAAAATGTAACAAACCCTTTGAGGGTAATATATAATTATATTGGAAAAAAAATTTACACAATGGGGGTAATTTTGCTAAGTTTGTTGGTGTGTGTTTCGGAGAATAATTAAGTGTACTATAAGTTTTAAACTATTTATTAGCAACTAAAATTTAAAGATCAGAGAATTGTAGCAAAAAGTAAAGACTAATTTTGCTTTTAAATTCAGGGAGGGACTGTGCTTTTTTTTCCTAGTAAGAAAGATTGTTCCAGAGCATTGCAACACTACACTTTAAATTGTATTTGAGGAAATTAGTTTTTTGCCTTGGAAGTAGTAGATGAGTTTTAAGATGGCTAAGATTATAGTTGTTGTTACTATCATTGAATTTTGTAAAGGAGGCGCTCACATTTGGAGGGGGGAGGGGAGATTGATCCTTCTGGATTATGTACACATGGGTAGCTTTATCATGTGAGCGCTTGGTTTCCAGGTTTTCGATTTCAATTTTTCAAGAGCACGTACCTATTCAATGTCATTATGAACGGATGTTTATTAGCCATCGACGATCTGAGAATTCTCCAGTTACTAGACAGAAATCTTCAGCTAAATGTTTGGTTGCCTATCACTATTGTTTTATTTAGACGTGTTGAAGAGTTTTTCAAATTATTATTTTGTAACGATTTCTTTACTCCTGCTACTATAATTGGTGATGAAAACTCTGCATAATGAACTGATAATGACTTTACCCATATGGTTTTGAAACTGTTGCGATTTATCTTTCAGTTGCTTTCCAGGAGTATTCCACAAACGCCATGGAATTAACAGTAATTGAAGTAACAGGCTGTAGCGCTAACATGAGGTTACAATGGGTTACAAGGGACAACAGTAGGTTACAGGGGATTACAGGGGGTTACAAAGGGGTTACAAGAGGTTACAAGAAGTTACAGGGGCTTACAAGGCCTTACTAAAGGTTACAGGGTGTTATGAGGGGTTACAGGGGGTTATAAGGAGTAACAGGGGGTTACAAGGGGTTACAGGAGTTAACAAGATGTTACAGGGGGTTACAGAGTGTTACGAGGGGTTACAGGGGGTTACAACGGGTAACAGAGGGTTACAACAGAAACTTAGGTAACTACTCTAGCCTTACTCAACAAAAGCTGATTTCTGTTAATAGAATAAGCAGGAAGTTGGTGTTTACCATCAAAATAAAAAATGTGACAAACCGTTAGAGAGTGATATATATATTGGGTATAAATTTACACAGTGCAGGTAATTGTACTGTGTTTGGTGGTGTGAGTTTTGAGAATAATTAAGTGTACTATAACTTTTAAACTATTAATTAGCCATACAAATTTAAAGATCAGAGCGTTGTATGGCCTCAACGGATAACACCCTCCTCGATCTCCATAATTCTTCATAAGATACTCAGCCTCATTCATTAATTGTTAAATAACAGTAGGATAAATATCTTTCAACATGAGAAGAGAAATTTCGTATCTCCAAGCGACCATGTAGTGTTTTATTTATTATGTAAACACCAATGAAATTCCAAACCACTTCACTTCAATAGCCTTTTGTTGGGAAAGGCGCAATTTATTGTGTAGCCATAGTAATGGTGATCTTTTCACATGTGAAGAGGCATGTGAGGATGGTATTTCTTTGGTGTTTACATAATAATTAACAATTATTTCTCGAGCCTGAATGGGCTTTGAGTCAATACCCCATTGGGCCTTCGGCCTCATGGGCTATTGACTTAGAGGCCATGAGGGCCATTAGTAAAATCCAACTAGTTGGTCAAAAATATTGAGACAACATAACCCTTCTTACCCATGTTACCTGTTGTTACCCTTTTTACCCTTTTTACCCTGGTTACCCCTTGTTACCCCTTGTTCCTCCTTTTAACTTTTGTTACCCTTGTTACCTGTTGTTACCCAATGTTACCCTTTTTACCCCTTGTTACCCTGAGTTACCCCTTGTTACCCCTTTGTTACCCTTTTGTTACCCTTGTTGCTTTTTGCTACCCTTGTTACCGTTGTTAAGTTTTGTTAACCCTTGTTACCCTTGTTAGCCTTGTTACTCCTTGTTACCCCTTGTTACCCTTGTCACCTCTTGTTACCCCTTGTTACCCTTTGTTACCCTTGTTACCCCTTTTTACCCCTTGTTACCCCTTGTTACCTCTCGTTACCCTTGTTACCTTTGTTACCCCTTGTTACCCCTTCTCGCCCTTGTTACCCTGGTTACCCGTTGTTACCTCTTGTTACCTTTGTTATCCATTCTTACCCCTTGTTACCATTTTTTTACCCTTGTTACCCTTGTTACCCCTTGTTACCGTTGATACCCCTTGTTACCTCTTGTTATCCTTGTTACCCATTGTTACTCTCGTTACCCCTTGTTTCTTTTTTGCCTCCTTGTTACCCTTGTTACCGTTGTTACCCCTTGTCACCCTTGTTACTATCTGTTACCTTTTGTTACCATTGTTATCCCTTGTTACCCTTGTTACCACTTGTTGCTGTTGTTACCCCTTGTTAGCCTTGTTACCCCTTGTTACCCCCTTTTACCCTTTGTTACCCCTTGTTACAATTTGTTACCCCTTGTTACCCTTGTTACCCGTTGTTACTTTTCTTATCCCTTGTTACCCTTGTTACCCCTTGTTACCCTGGTTACCCCTTTTTACCGGTTGTTCTCCTTTTTACCCTTTGTTACCTTTGTTCCCCTTGTTACCCCTTGTTTTCCCTATTTTACCCTTGTTAGCCCCTTTTTACTCTTTGTTACTTTTGTTACCCTTGTTACCCCTTCTTACCCCTTTTACCCCTGGTTACTCCTTGTTACCCATTGTTACCCTTGTTACCCCTTTTTACCCTTGTTATACTTTGTTACCCCTCGTTACCCTTTTTTACCCCTTGTTACCATCTGTTACCTCTTGTTTCGCTTTTTATCCCTTGTTACCCTTGTTACCATTTTTACCCTTTGTTACCCTTGTTACCCTTGTTACCCCCTTTTTACCCTTTGTTTCTGTTGTTATCTTTGTTACCCCTTGTTACCGTTGATACCCCTTGTTACCTCTTGTTATCCTTGTTACCCATTGTTACTCTGGTTACCGTTGTTACCTCTTGTTACCCTTGTTACTATCTGTTACCTTTTGTTACCCTTGTTATCCCTTGTTACTGTTGTTACCCCTTGTTGCCCCTTGTTACCCTTGTTACCCCTTTTTACCCCTGGTGACCCCTTGTTACCCTTTTTACCCTTTGTTACGGGAATACAGGGGTTACAGGAGGTTATAAGGGGTTGCAAAGGGTGGCAGGGGGTTACAAGGGGTTACAGGGGGTTACAAAGGGTTACAAGGGGTTACAGGTGGTTACAAGGGGTGACAAGGGGTTATAGAGGGTTACAAAGGATTTTAGTATATACACACTCAGTGATCTTGGTGATTTAAGCAATCTGATTGGTTCGCTATCTCGGACTATTCAACAATATTCACCTCCTAGCGAGTGGATAATGTGTGAGCTCAGTGTTTTTCCCATTTTTTAGAGAACGATCTTTTAAAAGTCGACAGAATCCTAGGGCTGACTTTTATTAAGGCAAGAAAAGACTTGGAAGGATTCAATACGGCGTTTTTCAATTTACTGTAGCACTCAGTAGTAGCAGGAGTTTTGTGCTCGATGGATTGTTTACAACTCCCGTGTATTCGCGTAGAAGAAGCCGTTTCCGTTTTCTAAGAAGACAATTTTGGCTCAAAAATCGAAGTTTATTTATGACAAACAAATTTAAAAGGAAATGTTTGCAGAAATTCTACGTTTAAAGTAAACAGGAAAAAGAATGATACAGAAAGACGACGTCTTACCTCGAGCAAATGAGCCGCCATTTTTGTCAGCACTTCATGCGAAGAACGACACAACAAACCCTTTTGGCTATAAACGTGGCGAGTCAACAGAAAACAACACAGCTCTACTTTTCTTCCCAGGTAAGGAAACAGTTCAAACTTTTAGCGGTTCCATTTAAGCCATTACGCTGTTGTTTGCGAAATGATAAACTTGTGAATTGCCATGTTTGAAATTTCTGCAAAGATCTATTTTTAAACTTACGCGTGATTTGATCTGTCAATCAAATCGTACTTTTGAATGGTTTCCTCTCTGATTTTGTTGAGATCACTTCATGTGTATATACTAAAACAATTATTCTTTTCAATCTCGGTGAATAGTGGGTTTGGGAATATTTACCTCGCCGCTTTCGCGTCTCGGTAAATATTTTGCCACTATTCACCTCGATTTCAAAGAATAATTGTTAAATAGAACCTTTTTTCTAACTAGAACGTTCCCAGATACTTTTTCTTGGTCTATTTTGCAGAACAATCAAAGTTGAAGAAATCTCACATTTTTGACGAAAACGACGGACTAACCCCTTTGGAAAAATGCCAATTTTGCGTTTTTGTTGTACAGAAAGGCTTGTTTGCTATATAAAACGTCGAAAATCGTTTTTTCTCGATTTATTTTCAGGTTCTATGACATGTGAATACGGGGGTTACAGGGGGTTACAAGGGGTTACAGGGGGTTACAATGGGTTACAGGTGGTTACAAGGGGTGACAAAGGGTTACCAAGGGTTACAAAGGATTATAGAAACTTTTTTCTAACTAGAACGTTCCCAGATACTTTTTCTTGGTCTATTTTGCATAAAAATCAAAGTTGAAGAAATCTCAAATTTTTGACGAAAACGACGGACTAACCCCTTTGGAAAAATGCTAATTTTGCGTGTTTCGTAAACAGTTGTTTTTATAGTCTTTAAAGGCTTCTTTTTTATCTAGAACGTCAGCAAACACTTTTTCTCGATCTATTTTTGATAAGCAGAAAAGATGAAAAAACTTCATCTTTTTGACAAAAATCGTGGACTATCCCGTTTGCAAAAATGCCAATTTTGCTTTCTTTTTAAATACATGTTTATTTTGTCTAGAAAGGCTTGTTTCTAACGAGAACGTGACCAAATACCTTTTCTGGGTGTATTTTGCATAAAACGAAAGGTTAAGAAAAATACAAATTTTTCACCAAAACCTTTCGAAAAATGCCAATTTTGTGGGTTTTTAAACCGACGTTTTCGTTGTTCAGAAAGGCTTGTTTCCTGTATAAAACGTCGAAAATCGTTTTTTCTCGCTTTATTTTCAGGTTCTATGACATGGGAATACAGGGTTACAGGGGATTACAAGGCGTTACAAAGGGTGACAGGGGGTGACAAGGGGTTACAGGGGGTTACAAGGGGTTACAGGGGGCTACAAAGGGTAACAAGGGGTTACAGGGGGTTACAAGGGGTGACAAGGGGTTACAGAGGGTTACAAAGAATTATAGAAACTTTTTTCTAACTAGAAGGTTCCCAGATACTTTTTCTTGGTCTATTTTGCAGAAAAATCCAAGTTGAACAAATCTCAAATTTTTGACGAAAAACGACGGACTAACCCCTTTGGAAAAATGCTAATTTTGCGTGTTTCGTAAACAGTTGTTTTTATGGTCTTTAAAGGCTTCTTTTTTTATCTAGAACGTCAGCAAACACTTTTTCTCGATCTATTTTTGATAAGAAGAAAAGATGAAAAAACTTCAACTTTTTGACCAACATCATGGACTATCCCCTTTGCAAAAATGCCAATTTTGCCTTCTTTTTAAATACATGTTTATATTGTCTAAAAACGCTTGTTTTCTAACGAGAACGTGACCAAATACTTTTTCTGGGTGTATTTTGCATAAAACGAAACGTAAACAAAATTAACATTTTTGACCACAACATGGACTAACCCCTTTCGAAAAATGCCAATTTTGTGGGTCTTTAAACCGACGTTTTCGTTGTTCAGAAAGGCTTGTTTGCTATATAAAACGTCGAAAATCGTTTTTCCTCGATTTATTTTCAGGTTCTATGACATGGGAATACAGGGATTACAGGGGGTTACAAAGGGTGACAGGGGGTGACAAGGGATTACAGGGGGTTACAAAGGGTTACAAGGGGTTACAAGGGGTGACAAGGGGTTACAGAGGGTTACAAAGAATTATAGAAACTTTTTTCGAACTAAAACGTTCCCAGATACTTTTTCTTGATCTATTTTGCAGAAAAATCAAAGTTGAACAAATCTCAAATTTTTGACGAAAACGACGGACTAACCTCTTTGGAAAAATGCTAATTTTGCGTTTTTCGTAAACAGCTGTTTTTATAGTCTTTAAAGTCTTCTTTTTTATCTAGAACGTCAGCAAACTCTTTTTCTCGATCTATTTTTGATAAGCAGAAAAGATTAAAAAACTTCAACTTTTTGACCAACATCATACATGTTTATATTGTCTAAAAACGCTTGTTTTCTAAGAAGAACGTGACCAAATACGTTTTCTAGGTGTATTTTGCATAAAACAAAACGTAAACAAAATTAACATTTTTGACCAACATCATGGACTAACCCCCTTCGAAAAACGCCAATTTTGTGGGTTTTTAAACCGACGTTTTCGTTGTTCAGAAAGGCTTGTTTGCTATATAAAACGTCGAAAATCGTTTTTTCTCGATTCATTTTCAAGTTCTATGACATGGGAATACCGGGGTTACAAGGGGTTACAAAGGGTGACAGGGAGTGAAGAGGGGTTACAGGGGATTACAAGGGGTTACAGGGGGTTAAAAGGGGTGACAAGGGGTAACAGTGGGTTACAAAGGATTATAGAAACTTTTTTCTAACTAGAACGTTCCCAGATACTTTTTCTTGGTCTGTTTTGCAGAAAAATCAAAGTTGAACAAATCTCAACTTTTTGACGAAAACGACGGACTAACCTCTTTGCAAAAATGCTAATTTTGCGTGTTTCGTAAACAGTTGTTTTTATAGTCTTTAAAGGCTTCTTTTTTATCTAGAACGTCAGCAAACACTTTTTCTCGATCTATTTTTGATAAGAAGAAAAGATGAAAAAACTTCAACTTTTTGACCAACATCATGGACTATCCCCTTTGCAAAAATGCCAATTTTGCCTTCTTTTTAAATACATGTTTATATTGTCTAAAAACGCTTGTTTTCTAAGGAGAACGTGACCAAATACTTTTTCTGGGTGTATTTTGCATAAAACGAAACGTAAACAAAATTTACATTTTTGACCAACACCATGGACTAACCCCTTTGGAAAAATGCCAATTTTGTGGGTTTTTAAACCGACGTTTTCGTTGTTCAGAAAGGCTTGTTTGCTGTATAAAACGTCGAAAATCGTTTTTTCTCGCTTTATTTTCAGGTTCTATGACATGGGAATACAGGGGTTACAGGGGATTAAAAGGGGTTACAAAGGGTGACAGGGGGTGACAAGGGGTTACAGAGGATTACAAAGAATTATAGAAATTTTTTTCTAACTACAACGTTCCCAGATACTTTTTCTCTATCTATTTTGCCAAAAAATCAAAGTTGAACAAATCTCAAATTTTTGACGAAAACGACGGACTAACCCCTTTCGAAAAATGCTAATTTTGGGTTTTTCTTAAACAGTTGTTTTTATAGTCTTTAAAGTCTTCTTTTTTATCTAGAACGTCAGCAAACACTTTTTCTCGATCTATTTTTGATAAGAGAAAAGATGAAAAAACTTTAACTTTTTGACCAACATCATGGACTATCCCCTTTGCAACAATGCCAATCTTGCCTTCTTTTTAAATACATGTTTATATTGTCTAAAAAGGCTTGTTTTCTAAGGAGAACGTGACCAAATACTTTTTCTGGGTGTATTTTGCATAAAACGAAACGTAAACAAAATTAACATTTTTGACCAACACCATGGACTAACCCCTTTGGAAAAATGCCAATTTTGTGGGTTTTTAAACCGACGTTTTCGTTGTTCAGAAAGGCTTGTTTGCTATATAAAAGGTCGAAAATCGTTTTTTCTCCATTTATTTTCAGGTTCTATGACATGGGAATACAGGGGTTACAGGGGGTTACAAGGGGTTACAAAGGGTGACAGGGGGTGACAAGGGGTTACAAGGGATTACAAGGTGTTACAGGGGGTTACAAAGGGTTACAAGGGGTTACAAGGGGTGACAAGGGGTTACAGAGGGTTACAAAGGATTATAGAAACCTTTTTCTAACTAGAACGTTCCCAGATACTTTTTCTTGGTCTATTTTGCAGAAAAATCAAAGTTGAAAAAATCTCAAATTTTTGACGAAAACGACGGACTAACCCCTTTGGAAAAATGCTTATTTTGCGTGTTTCGTAAACAGTTGTTTTTATAGTCTTTAAAAGCTTCTTTTTTATCTAGAACGTCAGCAAACACTTTTTCTCGATCTATTTTTGATAAGAAGAAAAGATGAAAAAACTTCAACTTTTTGACCAACATCATGGACTATCCCCTTTGCAACAATGCCAATTTTGCCTTCTTTTTAAATACATGTTTATATTGTCTAAAAACGCTTGTTTTGTAAGGAGAACGTGACCAAATACTTTTTCTGGGTGTATTTTGCATAAAACGAAACGTAAAGAAAATTAACATTTTTGACCAACACCATGGACTAACCCCTTTGGAAAAATGCCAATTTTGTGGGTTTTTAAACCGACGTTTTCGTTGTTCAGAAAGGCTTGTTTGCTATATAAAACGTCGAAAATCGTTTTTTCTCGATTTATTTTCAAGTTCTATGACATGGGAATACAGGGGTTACAGGGGGTTACAAGGGGTTACAAAGGGTGACAGGGAGTGACAAGGGGTTACAGGGGATTAAGGGGGGTTACAGGGGGTTACAAACGGTTACAAGCGGTTACAAGGGGTGACAAGGGGTTACAGAGGGTTACAAAGGATTATAGAAACTTTTTTCTAACTAGAACGTTCCCAGATACTTTTTCTTGGTCTATTTTGCAGAAAAATCAAAGTTGAACAAATCTCAAATTTTTGACGAAAACGACAGACTAACCCCTTTGGAAAAATGCTAATTTTGCGTGTTTCGTAAACAGTTGTTTTTATAGTCTTTAAAGGCTTCTTTTTTATCTAGAACGTCAGCAAACACTTTTTCTCGATCTATTTTTGATAAGAAGAAAAGATGAAAAAACTTCAACTTTTTGACCAACATCATGGACTATCCCCTTTGCAACAATGCCAATTTTGCCTTCTTTTTAAATACATGTTTATATTGTCTAAAAACGCTTGTTTTCTAAGGAGAACGTGACCAAATACTTTTTCTGGGTGTATTTTGCATAAAACGAAACGTAAACAAAATTAACATTTTTGACCAACACCATGGACTAACCCCTTTGGAAAAATGCCAATTTTGTGGGTTTTTAAACCGACGTTTTCGTTGTTCAGAAAGGCTTGTTTGCTATATAAAAGGTCGAAAATCGTTTTTTCTCGATTTATGTTCAGGTTCTATGACATGGGAATACAGGGGTTACAGGGGGTTACAAGGGGTTACAAAGGGTGACAGGGGGTGACAAGGGGTTACAAGGGATTACAAGGTGTTACAGGGGGTTACAAAGGGTTACAAAGGGTTACAAGGGGTGAGAAGGGGTTACAGAGGGTTACAAAGGATTATAGAAACTTTTTTCTAACTAGAACGTTCCCAGATACTTTTTCTTGGTCTATTTTGCAGAAAAATCAAAGTTGAACAAATCTCAAATTTTTGACGAAAACGACGGACTAACCCCTTTGGAAAAATGCTAATTTTGCGTTTTTCGTAAACAGTTGTTTTTATAGTCTTTAAAGTCTTCTTTTTTATCTAGAACGTCAGCAAACTCTTTTTCTCGATCTATTTTTGATAAGCAGAAAAGATGAAAAAACTTCAACTTTTTGACCAACATCATGGACTATCCCCTTTGCAAAAATGCCAATTTTGCCTTCTTTTTAAATACATGTTTATATTGTCTAAAAACGCTTGTTTTCTAACGAGAACGTGACCAAATACTTTTTCTGGGTGTATTTTGCATAAAACGAAACGTAAACAAAATTAACATTTTTGACCAACACCATGGACTAACCCCTTTGGAAAAATGCCAATTTTGTGGGTTTTTAAACCGACGTTTTCGTTGTTCAGAAAGGCTTGTTTGCTATATAAAACGTCGAAAATCGTTTTTTCTCGATTTATTTTCAGGTTCTATGACATGGGAATACAGGGGTTACAGGGGTTACAAGGGGTTACAAAGGGTGACAGGGGGGTGACAGGGGTTACAGGGGTTACAAGGGGTTACAAAAGGGGTTACAGGGGGTTACAAGGGGTTACAGGGGTTACAAGGGGTGACAAGGGGTTACAGAGGGTTACAAAGGATTATAGAAACTTTTTTCTAACTAGAACGTTCCCAGATACTTTTTCTTGGTCTGTTTTGCAGAAAAATCAAAGTTGAACAAATCTCAAATTTTTGACGAAAACGACGGACTAACCCCTTTGGAAAAATGCTAATTTTGCGTTTTTCGTAAACAGTTGTTTTTATAGTCTTTAAAGGCTTCTTTTTTATCTAGAACGTCAGCAAACACTTTTTCTCGATCTATTTTTGATAAGCAGAAAAGATGAAAAAACTTCAACTTTTTGACCAACATCATGGACTATCCCCTTTGCAAAAATGCCAATTTTGCCTTCTTTTTAAATACATGTTTATATTGTCTAAAAACGCTTGTTTTCTAAGGAGAACGTGACCAAATACTTTTTCTGGGTGTATTTTGCATAAAACGAAACGTAAACAAAATTAACATTTTCGACCAACACAATGGACTAACCCCTTTGGAAAAATGCCAATTTTGTGGGTTTTTAAACCGACGTTTTCCTTGTTCAGAAAGGCTTGTTTCCTATATAACACGTCCAAAATCGTTTTTTTCTCGATCTATTATTAGGTTCTATGACCTGGGAGTACAGGGGTTAGAGGGGGTTACAAGGGGTGAAAGGGGTTGACAAGGGGTTACAGGGGGTGACAAAGGGCTACAAGGGGTTACAAGGGGTTACAGGGGGTTAAAAAGGGTTACTGGGGGTTACAAGGGGTGACAAGGGGTTACAGAGGGTTACAAAGGATTATAGAAACTTTTTTCTAACTAGAACGTTCCCAGATACTTTTTCTTGATCTATTTTGCAGAAAAATCAAAGTTGAACAAATCTCAAATTTTTGACGAAAACGACGGACTAACACCTTTGGAAAAATGCTAATTTTGCGTTTTTCGTAAACAGTTGTTTTTATAGTCTTTAAAGTCTTCTTTTTTATCTAGAACGTCAGCAAACTCTTTTTCTCGATCTATTTTTGATAAGCAGAAAAGATGAAAAAACTTCAACTTTTTGACCAACATCATGGACTATCCCCTTTGCAAAAATGCCAATTTTGCCTTCTTTTTAAATACATGTTTATATTGTCTAAAAACGCTTGTTTTCTAACGAGAACGTGACCAAATACTTTTTCTGGGTGTATTTTGCATAAAACGAAACGTAAACAAAATTAACATTTTTGACCAACACCATGGACTGACCCCTTTGGAAAAATGCCAATTTTGTGGGTTTTTAAACCGACGTTTTCCTTGTTCAGAAAGGCTTGTTTCCTATATAACACGTCCAAAATCGTTTTTTTCTCGATCTATTATTAGGTTCTATGACCTGGGAGTACAGGGGTTAGAGGGGGTTACAAGGGGTGAAAGGGGTTGACAAGGGGTTACAGGGGGTGACAAAGGGCTACAAGGGGTTACAAGGGGTTACAGGGGGTTAAAAAGGGTTAGTGGGGGTTACAAGGGGTGACAAGGGGTTACAGAGGGTTACAATGGATTATAGAAACTCTTTTCTAACTAGAACGTTCCCAGATACTTTTTCTTGATCTATTTTGCAGAAAAATCAAAGTTGAACAAATCTCAAATTTTTGACGAAAACGACGGACTAACTCCTTTGGAAAAATGCTAATTTTGGGTTTTTCGTAAACAGTTGTTTTTATAGTCTTTAAAGTCTTCTTTTTTATCTAGAACGTCAGCAAACTCTTTTTCTCGATCTATTTTTGATAAGCAGAAAAGATGAAAAAACTTCAACTTTTTGACCAACATCATGGACTATCCCCTTTGCAAAAATGCCAATTTTGCCTTCTTTTTAAATACATGTTTATATTGTCTAAAAACGCTTGTTTTCTAACGAGAACGTGACCAAATACTTTTTCTGGGTGTATTTTGCATAAAACGAAACGTAAACAAAATTAACATTTTTGACCAACACCATGGACTAACCCCTTTGGAAAAATGCCAATTTTGTGGGTTTTTAAACCGACGTTTTCGTTGTTCAGAAAGGCTTGTTTGCTATATAAAAGGTCGAAAATCGTTTTTTCTCGATTTATTTTCAGGTTCTATGACATGGGAATACAGGGGTTACAGGGGGTTACAAGGGGTTACAAAGGGTAACAGGGGTTGACAAGGGGTTATAGGGGGTTACAAGGGGTTACAGGGGGTTACAAAGGGTTACAAAGGGTTACAAGGGGTTACAGGGGGTTACAAGGGGTGACAAGGGGTTACAGAGGGTTACAAAGAATTATAGAAACTTTTTTCTAACTAGAACGTTCCCAGATACTTTTTCTTGGTCTATTTTGCAGAAAAATCAAAGTTGAACAAATCTCAAATTTTTGACGAAAACGACAGACTAACCCCTTTAGAAAAATGCTAATTTTGCGTTTTTCGTAAACAGTTGTTTTCATAGTCTTTAAAGTCTTCTTTTTTATCTAGAACGTCAGCAAACTCTTTTTCTCGATCTATTTTTGATAAGCAGAAAAGATGAAAAAACTTCAACTTTTTGACCAACATCATGGACTATCCCCTTTGCAAAAATGCCAATTTTGCCTTCTTTTTAAATACATGTTTATATTGTCTAAAAACGCTTGTTTTCTAACGAGAACGTGACCAAATACTTTTTCTGGGTGTATTTTGCATAAAACGAACCGTAAACAAAATTAACATTTTTGACCAACACCATGGACTGACCCCTTTGGAAAAATGCCAATTTTGTGGGTTTTTAAACCGACGTTTTCGTTGTTCAGAAAGGCTTGTTTGCTATATAAAAGGTCGAAAATCGTTTTTTCTCGATTTATTTTCAGGTTCTATGACATGGGAATACGGGGGTTACAGGGGGTTACAGGGGGTTACAAGGGGTTACAAAGGGTGACAGGGGGTGACAAGGGGTTACAAGGGGTTACAAAGGGTGACAGGGGGTTACAAGGGGTTACAGGGGGTTACAAGGGGTGACAAGGGGTTACAGAGGGTTACAAAGGATTATAGAAACTTTTTTCTAGCAAGAACGTTCCCAGATACTTTTTCTTGGTCTATGTTGCAGAAAAATCAAAGTTAAACAAATCTCAAATTTTTGGCGAAAACGACGGACTAACCCCTTTGGAAAAATGCTAATTTTGCGTGTTTCGTAAACAGTTGTTTTTATAGTCTTTAAAGTCTTCTTTGTTATCTAGAACGTCAGCAAACACTTTTTCTCGATCTATTTTTGATAAGCAGAAAAGATGAAAACACTTCAACTTTTTGACCAACATCTTGGACTATCCCCTTTGCAAAAATGCCAATTTTGCCTTCTTTTTAAATACATGTTTATATTGTCTAAAAACGCTTGTTTTCTAACGAGAACGTGACCAAATACTTTTTCTGGGTGTATTTTGCATAAAACGAACCGTAAACAAAATTAACATTTTTGACCAACACCATGGACTGACCCCTTTGGAAAAATGCCAATTTTGTGGGTTTTTAAACCGACGTTTTCGTTGTTCAGAAAGGCTTGTTTGCTATATAAAACGTCGAAAATCGTTTTTTCTCGATTTATTTTCAGGTTCTATGACATGGGAATACAGGGGTTACAGGGGGTTACAAGGGGTTACAAAGGGTGACAGGGGGTGACAAGGGGTTACAGGGGGTTACAAGGGGTTACAGGGGGTTACAAAGGGTTACAAAGGGTTACAAGGGGTTACAGGGGGTTACAAGGGGTGACAAGGGGTTACAGAGGGTTACAAAGGATTATAGAAACTTTTTTCTAACAAGAACGTTCCCAGATACTTTTTCTTGGTCTATTTTGGAGAAAAATCAAAGTTGAACAAATCTCAAATTTTTGACGAAAATGACGGACTAACCACTTTGGAAAAATGCTAATTTTGCGTGTTTCGTAAACAGTTGTTTTTATAGTCTTTAAAGTCTTCTTTTTTATCTAGAACGTCAGCAAACACTTTTTCTCGATCTATTTTTGATAAGCAGAAAAGATGAAAACACTTCAACTTTTTGACCAACATCATGGACTATCCCCTTTGCAAAAATGCCAATTTTGCCTTCTTTTTAAATACATGTTTATATTGTCTAAAAACGCTTGTTTTCTAACGAGAACGTGACCAAATACTTTTTCTGGGTGTATTTTGCATAAAACGAAACGTAAAAAAAATTAACATTTTTGACCAACACCATGGACTAACCCCTTTGGAAAAATGCCAATTTTGTGGGTTTTTAAACCGACGTTTTCGTTGTTGAGAAAGGCTTGTTTGCTATATAAAACGTCGAAAATCGTTTTTTCTCGATCTATTTTCAGGTTTTATGACATGGGAATACAGGGGTTACAGGGGGTTACAAGGGGTTACAAAGGGTGACAGGGGGTGACAAGGGGTTACAGGGGGTTACAAGGGGTTACAAGGGGTTACAAGGGGTTACAAGGGGTTACAAGGGGTTACAAGGGGTTACAAGGGGTGACAAGGGGTTACAGAGGGTTACAAAGGATTATAGAAACTTTTTTCTAACTAGAACGTTCCAAGATACTTTTTCTTGGTCTATTTTGCAGAAAAATCAAAGTTGAACAAATCTCAAATTTTTGACGAAAACGACGGACTAACCCCTTTGGAAAAATGCTAATTTTGCGTTTTTCGTAAACAGTTGTTTTTATAGTCTTTAAAGTCTTCTTTTTTATCTAGAACGTCAGCAAACACTTTTTCTCGATCTATTTTTGATAAGCAGAAAAGATGAAAAAACTTCAACTTTTTGACCAACATCATGGACTATCCCCTTTGCAAAAATGCCAATTTTGCCTTCTTTTTAAATACATGTTTATATTGTCTAAAAACGCTTGTTTTCTAACGAGAACGTGACCAAATACTTTTTCTGGGTGTATTTTGCATAAAACGAAACGTAAACAAAATTAACATTTTTGACCAACACCATGGACTAACCCCTTTGGAAAAATGCCAATTTTGTGGGTTTTTAAACCGACGTTTTCGTTGTTCAGAAAGGCTTGTTTGCTATATAAAACGTCGAAAATCGTTTTTTCTCGATTTATTTTCAGGTTCTATGACATGGGAATACAGGTTTTACAGGGGGTTACAAGGGGTTACAAAGGGTGACAGGGGGTGACAAGGGGTTACAGGGGGTTACAAGGGGTTACAGGGGGTTACAAAGGGTCACAAGGGGTTACAGGGGGTTACAAGGGGTGACAAGGGGTTACAGAGGGTTACAAAGAATTATAGAAACTTTTTTCTAACTAGAACGTTCCCAGATACTTTTTCTTGATCTATTTTGCAGAAAAATCAAAGTTGAACAAATCTCAAATTTTTGACGAAAACGACGGACTAACCCCTTTGGAGAAATTCTAATTTTGGGTTTTTCGTAAACAGTTGTTTTTATAGTCTTTAAAGGCTTCTTTTTTATCTAGAACGTCAGCAAACACTTTTTCTCGATCTATTTTTGATAAGAGAAAAGATGAAAAAACTTCAACTTTTTGACCAACATCATGGACTATCCCTTTTGCAATAATACCAATTTTGCCTTCTTTTTAAATACATGTTTATATTGTCTAAAAACGCTTGTTTTCTAACGAGAACGTGACCAAATACTTTTTCTGGGTGTATTTTGCATAAAACGAAACGTAAACAAAATTAACATTTTTGACCAACACCATGGACTAACCCCTTTGGAAAAATGCCAATTTTGTGGGTTTTTAAACCGACGTTTTCGTTGTTCAGAAAGGCTTGTTTGCTATATAAAACGTCGAAAATCGTTGTTTCTCGATTTATTTTCAGGTTCTATGACATGGGAATACAGGGGTTACTGGGGGTTACAAGGGGTTAAAAAGGGTGACAGGGGGTGACAAGGGGTTACAGGTGGTTACAAGGGGTTATAGGGGGTTACAAAGGGTCACAAGGGGTTACAGGGGGTTACAAGGGGTGACAAGGGGTTACAGAGTGTTACAAAGAATTATAGAAACTTTTTTCTAACTAGAACGTTCCCAGATACTTTTTCTTGATCTATTTTGCAGAAAAATCAAAGTTGAACAAATCTCAAATTTTTGACGAAAACGACGGACTAACCCCTTTGGAGAAATTCTAATTTTGGGTTTTTCGTAAACAGTTGTTTTTATAGTCTTTAAAGTCTTCTTTTTTATCTAGAACGTCAGCAAACACTTTTTCTTGATCTATTTTTGATAAGAGAAAAGATGAAAAAACTTCAACTTTTTTACCAACATCATGGACTATCCCTTTTGCAATAATGCCAATTTTGCCTTCTTTTTAAATACATGTTTATATTGTCTAAAAACGCTTGTTTTCTAACGAGAACGTGACCAAATACTTTTTCTGGGTGTATTTTGCATAAAACGAAACGTAAACAAAATTAACATTTTTGACCAACACCATGGACTAACCCCTTTGGAAAAACGCCAATTTTGTGGGTTTTTAAACCGACGTTTTCGTTGTTCAGAAAGGCTTGTTTGCTATATAAAAGGTCGAAAATCGTTTTTTCTCGATTTATTTTCAGGTTCTATGACATGGGAATACAGGTTTTACAGGGGGTTACAAGGGGTTACAAAGGGTGACAGGGGGTGACAAGGGGTTACAGGGGGTTACAAGGGGTTACAGTGGGTTACAAAGCGTCACAAGGGGTTACAGGGGGTTACAAGGGGTGACAAGGGGTTACAGAGGGTTACAAAGAATTATAGAAACTTTTTTCTAACTAGAACGTTCCCAGATACTTTTTCTTGATCTATTTTGCAGAAAAATCAAAGTTGAACAAATCTCAAATTTTTGACGAAAACGACGGACTAACCCCTTTGGAGAAATTCTAATTTTGGGTTTTTCGTAAACAGTTGTTTTTATAGTCTTTAAAGTCTTCTTTTTTATCTAGAACGTCAGCAAACACTTTTTCTCGATCTATTTTTGATAAGAGAAAAGATGAAAAAACTTCAACTTTTTTACCAACATCATGGACTATCCCTTTTGCAATAATGCCAATTTTGCCTTCTTTTTAAATACATGTTTATATTGTCTAAAAACGCTTGTTTTCTAACGAGAACGTGACCAAATACTTTTTCTGGGTGTATTTTGCATAAAACGAAACGTAAACAAAATTAAAATTTTTGACCAACACCATCTGCTAACCCCTTTGGAAAAATGCCAATTTTGTGGGTTTTTAAACCGACGTTTTCGTTGTCCAGAAAGGCTTGTTTGCTATATAAAACGTCGAAAATCGTTTTTTCTCGATCTATTTTCAGGTTTTATGACATGGGAATACAGGGGTTACAGGGGGTTACAAGGAGTTACAAGGGGTGACAGGGGGTGACAAGGGGTTACAGGGGGTGACAAGGGATAACAGGGGGTTACAAGGGGTTATAGGGGGTTACAAAACCACCAGTGAGCAAATTCTCTCATCTAACAGGGTATGTGAATATCATGGAATCCTACATGAAAAATTACTCTTCCCATTGTTTACAATCAGATCCAGAAATCAATGAACACTTAAAATAGGTCGCTTGTTTATGGTAGCCAGGCAAGTATTTCATGAAACATCAAACCTTTGTGGCTTATCTGACAGTTTCACTTCTGTTTTACCTTACAGCTCTTAAAAATTACAATAATAATGTATTCACTTTTGTGGTTTCATACAGCTAAGGGAAGCAACAATGCAAGCCAAGAAAAGCATTTAAGAGAATGTATGGGGAGTGGCTCCCCCCCCCCTCTTCCTCAGTTATGTTTGGTGATCATTTCAGCTATTTTCATGTGCTATTAAGATGTAAAATTTTCTCAATCAAGTAGTAAGAATCAGGTCCATGGGCGGATCCAGGATTTTTTTTAGGAGGGGGTGCACTCGTGTCTTGCCCTACTTCAACACCATTAAACCACATAGTTTTTTTTGCAGAATACCAGTTGTATTAGAAACCGCAGGTCATCTCAGGGGGAGGGGGGCTGCGCACCCCCTGCACCCTCCCCCTAGATCCGCCCCTGAGGCCTAACTGTGAATTTCAGCGGTAAAAGGTCATATACCTGACATCAAAAAACGTAACTATGTTTTAATAATCCTCAACATTTCCTAAGTACATGTACATTTTTACTTCGGCGGAGCGCGAAGTAAAGGATTCGCGACGCTCAGGAATGTATCAAAGTTGCAATTTTGTGACAAGATTGGGCAAGCAAAGTTTGTAGGTTTTCGGTTCTATTCGGCTATTTGACGAAGTGAGAGCCGAATTAGTTTGAGATATCTCGAGATCACTTCGATTTCTTTGATTTATCCTTTAACTTTTTCGAGGAAGAAAGAATTATCATTTTGGCTTTCCTGGGGTTTGAACCGACTCACCTGTGTGACCCGTCAGATCAGAGGAGACTCTAAGTTGAGGGATTAGCCGATTGCGCTACTGCGACCCAAGGTAGTTTGGGATAGGAAAAATAGTTATGAAGTGATGCACTAGTTTCGGGACAAGATTGGGCGTGCAAGTTCGTGACTCTCAGGTTTGTTTCAACTATTTCACGAAATGAGATCGGACTACTTCGTGATATCTTGAGATCACTTCGAGTTTAGTCTTTAATTATTCGAGGAATAAATAGAGGATATTTCGTGGCCGCGCAGAGACACGAAATTTCTCTTCGAGTGTTGAAATCATTTCACGAGTGAGCCCTCCCTTTGAACTGTTTGATGATGAATTTAAAGTTACCAAATCCTGCACAATGTCATTTTGTCTTTGTTGAGTATTACGTAGTAAAATTGCTTTCATGCGTTGCGTGACTTTCTCGAACGTTCTCTACGTTTTTGGATTATTCACGAATAATATATTAGGGCATGTTTACATTTCAGCAAGAGTCAGCAGATTTGCATCAGTTACTGAAATCATAAAATATGTCGAAGGCTACTACTATTCGCCTGTTTGGTATTTTCTAAAACCTTATGTCAAACGCTATACAAGTTCCAAGCGAGTTCTTTTGACGAACTAAGTTTTTTCCCACGAGCTGGACTGCTGTGTTTAGTCAAGTGTGACGAAGGTCGATTTTCAGGTTCTGTGTTTACAAGTTCGTGGAAGCCGTAAGATATCTGAAGTTCAAGTGAGTGTTTGGTCTTATTGGTAGAGGCTGTTTAGTTTTACTCAAAGTTTAAGTCAAGTTTGTGTTGGCGGATGCTGTGTATCAAAGCTCTGTAAAAGCTATGTTCCTTCGGTGTTAAACTTCCTTGTGTTAATCCGACATCCCTGCGTGCTGATAGTCAGTGAATAATTATCTCAAAACATTCGAACTCGTGACTTTGACTTTTAGCCAATTCCATGCTCAACGTAATTGACTCCTTACCCATGCCTTACATATCTTTAATCATTACATGAGACTACTATGCTGTTTGTGAAGCCTGATGTGACTAAGAAAAATAGAGAATTGTTTTTTAAGAAGGATTTGTATGGAGTCATCAGAGCATAACTGGGCTAATATCTCGGAGACAATTTGTCCCGAAATGCTAGTTTTTGGCAAGTAGGCCTCTTGGAGGTAGTTCTTTTCAGAATATCCTGACAAATCCCATAATTTCACAAATTAACACCTTACTCTTACCATATTTGATTTCTTACTATTCCTCCGCATCTACAATTAATTAGTTCCACAACTACGACGCCGAAGTGTACGCTCCGTAGCGTCTTGTTGTACAATCTTTCCTTCTTCTCAAACTGAATGTTAATTCACTGCTATCCACTGCAAATAGGCATCAAATAAATATGTATATGTAGATGTTTAGCTGCCTCTATGTTGCTTCAGTAGTTTCTAACAGACATAAACTGTCCCATGGATTCTCTGCCTAACCTATACCTGATGTCCTTTAAGCATGAATATCCTCTCTACAAATCCTCAAAACTTGTTTGCAGACAGTCACTGCTGGAGAGGATGGGTAAGACTTAACATCTGCTAAAATGACGGTTTTAGAGAGTACTTTTTTTCAATAATAAAAAATACACATTTTAGCATCCAGATTTGATCACCAGTAGACTGAACAATAAATTTTTTTTTTCACTTTCACCAACTTGTACCCTGATTAAGCTTTATTGTTAAAAATAATTACAAGGGACAGTGATTTTTCTTTCTTTCTTTTGGTTTTGTCCACTGCCAGCTGTTGATTCAATACAGTGCACATGTATAATTAAGAATCTTACTCTAACTAGCACACGGAAGGTAGCCACCGACTGCCACACTTATTCAGGTTACCAATAAAAAAAGGGAATAGAGTGTTTTGTTGCACATTTCGTAGTAATGGCTGTAATACAATGGAAAAAGCTAACCTAAGTAAGAGATATTCACTGCCATTATTAATTTTCTTCAATCACTAAGTAATAGTGTTTATAGGGACTTGACTTAAGATTTGCATTAAACCTTAGTATGTCTTGGCCACTAAACACATGGAACAACAGAAATCAAAAGGCGAGGCCTTGTTAAAATTTGCATAGTTAATCAGAAATAATTAATGCCAAAAAACTATCTACCTAACTACCTAACTACCTAACTACCTAACTACCTAACTACCTAACTACCTAGCAAAACCCTTCCACGTAGGACTCGCCCTCGAGTCTTGCCGCCGGGTTAAAGGTTTAGGAGCGCCCCCCTACCTTACCCCCCCTAAACCCTTAACCCGGCGGCAAGCGGCGATACTCGCCCTTACTCTTAGGCTACAGTCCCCCCACCCACCCGCCTGTGGAAGGTTTCCCTGTTCTACTCATCATCATTCACACTCTCTCTCTCTCTTACTGTCTACCTATCTACCTATTTACCTATCTACCACACTCTCTCATTTACCCCACCCTGCCGACCACACCCTGTTGACCACACCCTGCCGACCACACCCTTGACCCAATCCCTCTTAACCTTATCCCTTTTTTTGGTGACCCCGAGATTTGAACCCAACCTTTGGTTTACCAATTGGTTTGCTAATCTGATGCCCTCCCATCTGGGCCACCGCGGCTCAGATACAAATGGTTGGAAAATTTTATATATTAATTATGACTATTACATATGCAAAGTACCATTTCCTGTTTCCGGTACTGATTATTATGTAAATCAAAACCCCACTGGGCAGGTTCGTCCATTGAAAATTAAGTCAACTGAACAATAAACTACATTGTGATGTCACTAAAATCACTTAAATTTTTTTTCCGTGCCACTAACTTTGTTGAACCGGAAATATGATCTATAATAACAACACTGCAAAGACGACTTCGATCAACGTTCTCCCCACATGTCAGACGGTTAAGCCGAGTTAAGCGGCCTTTCTTCGTTGTCAAAATCTTAAAAGTTACATCGGGAATAAAGGTACGTTTTCTTAAAATGATGAATTTGTTTTCTACTCATAAAATTTGACTCTGCGCAAACAAATGGCGACAAATGTTGAAATATTTTCTTCCGAGTTAAAATAGCTTAAACGCCGAAGAGGCTGTCGTAGCGAGTTTCTTTTCGGTTTGTTCTTGATTTTGATTTTGTTCACGGGTTTTAGCCCGAAAGAGTGGAAGTTTTATATATTTTCTAGAGTTTGTAATCGACTTTATATTAAATAGACGATGAAATCGACTAAACTGTTGAAAGACTTCTTAATAGCACTAAGAGCAGAACTCATAAGTTAGAGTAAACCTTTCGAAGAACGAATATACGCATTTAAGCAGAATAACAGAATTTACAGGACACAAAAACAGGCTTCCCCTAAAGGCCTTAAACAACGTTAACAGCGGAAAGAGTTTTTTAGAAAAGAAATCAAACATAGACACTCTCGCAAACGGTGGCAAGATGACTGATTATTAAAAGTCGGGGTTGGAAAGACTTGGGTGTTTAAAATTATTTCTTCAAGTTTTTCAATGTTTTCTGTTCTTTATTTTCTTGTTTATGTATATTTGGTTGGCGACAACACATTTTTTTCTCGGGTACAGTGCTGTTAGATTTTTAAAATAGAGAAATCAAATATAAACACTCTCGCAAACGTCGCCAGTTTGACTCATTGTGGAAAGCCGGAGTTGGAAAGACTTGGCTGTTTTAAAAAATAATTTTTAATGTTTTTTAACGTTTTCAATTTTTATTTAATTGTTTGTGCATATTTGGTTAGCTACAACATGTTTTTTTTCTTGGGCACAGTCCTGTTCTAATTTTAAAGTAAAGAAATCAAATATACACACTCTCGCAAACGACGGCAAAATGACTTATTATTTAAAGCCCGAGCCCGGAACGACGTGGCTGTTTAAAATTTTTTTGTCAATGTTTTTACGTTTTTTGTCTTTTTATTTTCTTGTTTATATATATGTAGTTGACTACAGCATGTTTTTTCTCGGGTACAATCCTATTAGATTTTTAAAATGAAGAAATAAACTAAACCAAGAGTTAAGCCGGTAAGACACATCTCGCAACATCTTGAATTTTAATTTTTACTCATGTTTGCCTTTTCTCTCAAGGGAGAGTTTTGGCTCCGGTTCATTAACACGTTGCTGTTGTTATTTGAGTTTTTTTGTAAAGTCAATTGTTTTATATTTTTCTTTAGTAACATTCATTGGGGACAATAACATTTTCTCACTTTATTATGGTATGTCCAGCTTTTGAATTAAGTCAACTTTAACCTAATTTTGTTTCCTCTCTTAGCGTTATATAATGTTAAAAAGTCCGAAAAAAACCTAGATATTTGAATTTTTACTTCTTATTTGTTTTCGATTCTGCGGTTGTTGCCAGTCGTTTATTATGGATTTGCTAATTCTTTTTTTCTTGTAAAATAAATCGAAAGTGACAGCATTTGGTTCCCTGGTGTCTGACTGTTATGTCTGGAGGAGGACTTGGCGTTTTTTCCCTTTTTATCCTAATTATATTTCAGTATGATTTTGCCGCTTATTTGTTCTTTATCTTTAAAATCGTAGGTTAGGTAGGGAGCTCATACAATAAGCATCAAGGCTTCTATTTGAACTTCCTCGCCAAAAATGTACCTTTAATTCTTTTACTTATGGTTTACTTCTCTTTAATCTTTGAATAACATTTTTGTAATATATTAAATGTCTGTATGTCATATGTATTTGTTTTCTGGTAAATAGATAAACTGAAACTGAAACTGAAACTCTTGGATATCTATGTGGGTGTACACTGTTCTTCACTGATATACAATTTCTACCCTGACCTCCTCGTTATTTTTTCCTGCTCATTTCTTTTTGCACCGTCGCTTTTTTCAGGCGAGCTAACGTCTCAATATTTAAAGAGACAGAGCAGGGGTTGCGGTAAGTACCCCTAAAAACCCCGCCCTCCTTTCTCGGTCCCAGACCTCGCAACAAGTATGCACGACAAAAATGGCGTCTACAGCTGTCGTAAACTGTTCTGGCTTGCAGGTTGCAGATAACTGCTTGTTTCTTCTTAAAAGCGAAGGTAAGTTTCTAACATCCAATTACTGTGCGTGTGCTTCAGTTATGTCCTATGTTTATGACGTAAATCGTTCTCTGTGCAGCGAATTTGGTATGATTCTGTTTTGTAATTAATTTCCTCCAACAGATCCAATTAAGTTAAAAGCTTATTCGTACGCTTTGCGGGAATGGCAAACGTTGAAGTGCGCTATGGGAAGTTATTCCTTTAATTATCGTTCAACTGATCTTCATATCCACACAAAGGTAAGTTCTTATTAGGTTCATCAATGAGAACATTAGTTAATGTGCTTTGCAGTTTGCTCATTTTGGGGTCATACCCGGTGTAATATAATTTATTCGTTTGCTTTGTTTTATGGATTATTTTCAGGGTTAGGTTCACTGTTAAGGATGTTTTGTTTTTTGAGGGGTTTGCGTCAGCTGTGAGTAATAAATTATATTACACCAGAAATGAGCCTCATTTTACCTGTCATCGATCTCCTTCTTGACATTTGCTGTTTGTTGTAAACTTGATTCTGAATCTTTCTATGGTTTAGGTGTGGGGGTCTGGACCCCCTTATTCGACCTGACAGTTGTTTTTGTGACTGAAATTCGTACATTGACAGGATAGTAATCAGTGATTAAGTGGCTGATTTTTTTTTAATGAAACGCACATTGTATTTTCCCACTAAACTTAATTCCAGGGATGTTCGAAAATGTATTGTTATTGTTTTTGGTTACCTTCTTATGATTTATAACCTCATTTGGGAAAACCTACACTAACTATGTTTCCTTAAACGGTTAGATTGTTGGCTTTCTGTTAATTATTCGTTAGATGATTCAATGAAAATAGTTAGAGGCATTAGGCAATTTGTTAGCAACTCATCCGTGTCAGTTAGAGCGTTAGTTGTATCCAACAGAGGCGTTAGTCCACTTGTTAGCAACTCGTGCATATCAGTTAGAGCGTTAGGTCAGGGAACTAAAGCGTCAATGGATGATTCTATTGCTATGCTGATCAAGGCTGATGGCTTTATTTTCAAAGAATGAACTGGGCATTGTCTACTGGCAAGAGTTTTTGTCATCTTCAGAACAAGCTTTCTTCACAAGGGAATGGTGTTGCCATCCCCCCAGTTTCAGTTCTACCATAAAAGATCAACCCAGAAGGCTTTTAAAGCGAGGAACGTCGAAAGTACTTGTATGGTGAAACAAGACAGTTGCACCAGTTCCATCATCAGTGAACTTTATCAGCTCTATGATATGACTGTAGATGTAACTTTTCATAATTCAATCCCACACTGTAAGAGAATTAGGATTATTATTGCAGTTATTGTGTATACACCATTCGTACTTACTTATGTAATAAAACAATGAAGTTCTACTGAATAATTTTTTGGGATATTTTCTGTTGTTCTTTTAGCAGTTATGTTCAGTTAACTAAACTAAGCTATTGCCCTATTGCAAGTTCTGATAGTTCTAGGGTGAAAGGAAAATTTATAGGCATCGTTCAGTGTGGTGCACAATTAGGAGATCTCAAAGCTCTTTTATTGCGAGATAATTCAGTTCGTAGGGAAATACGAACAAGCCCTTTATAGATCTTGTAAAACATGAACACTTGGTTGATCAATTTTGGGTAATCGAGCTCGAACTTTTGAGTTTGATTGAGTTTGCGAGCATAATTGAACAATACTCTTCATGAGTTCAATTATCAAATCAATCAAACTTTATTGAACTTATCGAACATGGTCCAGCTCAAAAACCATTGGATTAAGTTCGGTAATTGAACAAAATTAAACTGTCTTGTTGTAATACTCCAACTAACGAAACAATCAAACTTAATGAAAGGACTGAAAATAACACAGAGGTCAATCGAACTCCTTCGGCCATTTAGCATTTTTATTTAGAAAGGGCTAGCAAATTTAGCATGGGTGGCTCTGACCCGACAACTTGAAAGTCGATCGGTATCAAAACAGACGGCTGAGGCAAGAATTTCATCCTTAAATAATGGAAATAATGCGTTGGATCGAAACCCACCAACCACAAATTAAAGAAAATAACCAACACGTAACACAACCAATGAAGTACCTGGGAGTATAATTCACTGTCAACAAAGGAAGTGCAGTAGCCAATGCATTTCGGTAATTTTTGATCCTCCGCTTATAATAGCAATCCACGCAAACAGAATAAAAGGTCTCACCCATAAGATGAAATTTCATTTCTATTCATTTTCTAGATTACAATGGCTCTCCGAAAATTGTTGCGCGAGACAAACTTACTGTCAGAAGCTCTCTTCTTCTATCCTGAAGAAAATATGACTGGAATTGGCCCTGCAAAAATTATCTTGCAAAAATTAACGTTGTTATTGGAGGGACTGTTAACTAGCGAGGAAAAGGAGTGGAAGCTGAAATCATCACCTTAAGTGGTAAGTAAAGTAATTAACTGTTAACTGTGTTTTTCTGTTGCAAGGTTTGCCCTTCTACCAGATATCTCGACTTACCATGTTTTTGTTCTTTTCTTGTTGTACCAAGTACTGATGAACTAAATGAGAAGGATCTGTTTTGGTCAAAAAAGAATCTTGAAGAAACTACTCAAGTTGATTCCGTCAGTGCACCAAACGGACCTCCAAAGAAGAGATCACGATTGGTGAGTTTGGTTAATCTGTATCATCAATATTACCAGTTTTGTTTGGTTATGTGATATATGACCTTCTATTTAGTGATGTTACTATTTAGAAATTACTAATGCTAACTGAAGATCGTGCTTAAATTTAGTAGTCCGACTCAAATATTAAAGCGTTAACTTGGCACTGCCTTTAAGCGGTCACAAAGTCATTTCAGGAGAAAAACTGAGGAAAAATTGGCAAAGTTTTTATTTCAGGAGAAAAGCTGAAGTGGTGGATTTGCAAGGAGGAGGTAAAAAAGGGTGCAAAAAGACAAAGGACACGGTCAAAAACAGAGCCACCATCTAGAACTCCAATAGTAGTAGGCACAAATGTGCTGAAGTGGTGGACTTTTTTGCATTGAGAAGGATAAAGGAAAATTTATTGTTTCATATTTAAACATCATGTGAAAACTCTACATGTTTTCGGCCAAAAAAATTTGAGGTTTGATTTTAAGTATTTGCTTGGATCATGGTCTTCCTTGAAAAGCGTTTTTCTGTCATAAGTACAGTTCGTTAAAGCTGTTTTTAGTCAATGATTGCAGTCCAAGTAAAGAAGTGTTTTCACACTTTGTTAATGAATTGGAATCATCTCTTATTTCAAATTTTCCATTTTTGCGTAATAATTGCACGTACTGGATTATGGTAAGCCAAGCTGCTTTGCTGATTTTACTTAACTTGAAAATTTTATTACCATTAAGTTTTGTTCACTGAAAAACTTTGGATCGCTTTCTTTCAGGAGAAAACTAACTCTAATGCGTCAGCAAAGACCAATGATAGCTCCGCAACGCCATTATCTGCACAGGTAATTCTGTAGTAACTATTTTTAACAACTTGTAGTTATGAAGGTTTGGCTTATAAAAAAGAATTTCATCCATGTGCATTTATATTGGCTGCATTGCGGCTGGCCCACAGAAGGGTTATGGTGTCTGTAATGCAGGCTACATTTTTTACCCTTACTCAAAAGAAGTATAATATTTTGATTCTGTTTTAAAATAACTTCATTTGTCCAGCAAATTTGAACAGCAGTTGTTTCGCAAATATGCAAGCATTTAGTTTTAAACGTCTGAAGTCAGTTGGTCTGAAAGTCTAGAAGTAAGTTCCCGAGCGCCTACAATTTGTAGATATTTAAAGTAGGTTTTAGTGCAGGCAACTTTTTGTTTTTCACTTCTATTAACTACGTGAACGTCTTACATGTACGCTTTAACTGAAACGTTTGCAAAATTTTGTTATGATTGTGTTTAAATCACGGTAACTGAAACTGATACTCCATTTTTTTATTTTCTTCTTTAGAAAGATCACTTTGCAGGAGACCGATACAAAGAATTCTTAAAGGAAGAAAGAAAGAGGGAAGAAGACCTGGCAGCTAAAGGTAAAAGCGCAACCAAGAAATTGAATTTTCCTGATTCTTCCCACGATGTCATCATGAAAAAAATTGATTCTCCAGACAACGTCAGCCTGATTAAAAAGCAGCTTGAGGCACAAACAAGAGAGCATGGTTTTCTAAAGAATCAGATTCCAGATCACGAGCAATTCTTAAAGGTAAGCACAAAGCAATGTAGTTTCTTTATTCTCCGTCAAGAATCAGGTTGCAGTGGCTACCAAATAATAGCAACACACTCCCTCAAAAAGCTCTTTCTTTCAGTCTTCTTTTCTAGTTTTTGTGGACTTGTTTTTTGTTGCGCTTCTCTCATTGTTTCTGCCTGAAGAGTGAAGACTTTGGACAGTTTTTTTTTGCAGAATGGGGCAATTTGAATTTCCCTGACATTAATGATACTTTGCTGTCAACTTTGTAAGTTTGAAAATCAAAGGAAAGAAAGGCATAATTTTAACAACAGTATTAAAATGCAGTTTTTATCGCTGCTGGAAGTGTGCTGTGCCTACATTTATTCATGTATTTATTTTGACTTAAGATGATGGACAGATTCAAAGATTCTCTTGTCTCATTGGGGGAGACGTTGGGGCACAGATTGTCACAGATCAAACAATGGCTAGAATATTTAGAGACTGTGGTAAGTTGAATCATAATAATAACCTTTATTTATCCATCTTTTAAAAATATATGCAATGGATTTACAATACTATAAAATGCTATCAAGTGATTACTCTAATAAAAAAGTAAGAAAAGTAGGTAAGTAAGTAAGTCCAAGTAAGTAAGTAAAAATAACAGGTCATTAAAGAAGTCTAGCAGCTCTTGCTATAAATGAATTTGCATGTCGTTGCGTCCCTGACTGTGGTATTGCTACTGAACCTGGTTTGGATCTTAAGTTATAGCCGTGGCTGGTATTTAGCTTAGTGAGAAAAATTTGATTTGGGTGGTTAATATAATTCACAATTCTTACTAATTCACGCTTTGTTGCTACATTGCACCTGTCCTCTAGTGTTGGAAGGAATGTTCTTGGTATCCTGATGATATCTACACACCTGTTTTGTAAAGACTGCAACTCTTCTTCAAGGTGCTTTGGCAAGCCGCCCCACAGTGGGGAGGCATATTCGAGAAGTGGGCGTTTTCTGGTACAATAATATATCCTGATGCTGATCTCTGTAGGTAGGTTTGCTTTCATACATTCCCTCAAAAAATACAATCTCTTGCTGGTTTTCTTTACAGTCAGTTCAACACGGTAATTCCAACATAGGTTGTCTTGTTGCCATACCCCCAGTAGCTTAAACTTGCATACCCTCTCTCTTACAACCAGGGGTCTTAGAACCAGGGGTTCTTACAATCGGGGGTCTTACAAACCGGGGTTCTTACAACCAGAAGCCTTAGAACCAGTGGTTTTTACAATCGGGGGTCTTAACACTAAGGGTTCTTACAACCATGGGTCTTACAACCAGGGGTCTTAGAACCAGGGGTTCGTACAACCGGGGTCTTAAACCAGGGGTCTTACATCCAGGGGTTCTTACAACCAGTGGTTCGTACAACTGGGGGTTCAAGGGTTCCGACAATTAGGGGTCTTACAACCAGGAGTTCTTATAACCATAGGTCTTACAACCAGGAGTTCTTATAACCAGAGGTCTTACAACCAGGGATCTTACAACCAGAGCATCTTAGGACCAGGGGGGGTTCTTATAACCGGGGGTCTCAAAACTAAGGGTTCCGACAATTAGGGGTCTTAAAACCAGGAGTTCTTATAACCAGAGGTCTTACAACCAGGAGTTCTTATAACCAGAGGTTCTTACAACCAGGGGTCTTACAACCAGAGCGTCTTAGGGGACATACCGTCTGTCTGACAGCGTGCTGTTCTTAAAACCAGGGTCTTTCAACCAGGGGGTTCTTGGGGTCTTACAACCAGGTTTTCTTACAACTGGGGTCTTACAACCAGGGGTTCTTACAACTAAAAGTCTTATGACCAGGGTTCTTTTCAACCGGGGGTCTCACAACTAGGGGTTCCGACAATTAGAGGTCTTACCACCAGGGGTCCTTATAACCAGCAGTCTTACAACCAGGGGTTCTTACAACCAGGGGTCTTACAACCAAGGGTTCTTACAACCGGGGGTCTTTTAACCTGAGGTTCTTACAACCTTGGGTCTTACAACAAGGGGTTCTTACAACCATGGGTCTTAGAACCGGGGGTCTTACAACCAAGGGTTCTTAAAGGCGGGGGTCTTACAACCAGTGGTTCTTACAACAAGGGGTTCTTACAAGCTTGGGTTTTTAAAACCAGGGGTCTTAGAACCAGGGGTTCTTACTACCGGGGGTGTTACAACTAGTGGCTCTTACAACCATCAGTGTTACAACCAGGGGTTCTTACTACTGGGGGTCTTACAACCAGGGGTCTTACAAGCAGGGGTTCTTAAAACCAGGGGTCTTACAACCAGCGGTTCTTACAACCAGGGTTTCTTCCAACCAGGTGTTCTTACAACCGGGGGTCTTACAAGCAGGGGTTCTTACAACCAGGGTTTCTTACAAGCAGCGGTCTTACAAGTAGGGGTTCTTACAACCAGTGGTTCTTGCAACCGGAGGTCTTACAACCAGGGGTTCTTACAACAAGGGGTCTTACAACCAGGGGTTCTTGTTACTGGGGGTCTTACAACCAGGGGTTCTTGCAACCAGGGGTCTTACAATCAGGGGTCCTTACAACCGGAGGTGTTACAACCAGGGGTTCTTACAACCAGTGGTCTTACTCTTTAACCAGGGGTTTTTACAATCAGGGGTCCTTAGAACAAAAGCGTTTACGACCAGGGTGTTACAAGCAGGGGTTTTGTGCGATTAGGGGTTCTTACAACCAGGGGTCTCACAACCAGGGGTTCCGACAATTAGGGGTCTTACAACCAAGGGTTCTTACAACCAGGGGTTCTTACAACCAGTGGTCTTAGAAGTAGGAGTTCTTACATCCAGCTGTCTTACAACTAGGGGTTCTTACAACCAGGGGTCTTACAACTAGGGGTTCTTACAACCAGGGGTCTTAAAACCAGGGGTCCTTACAACCAGGGTTCTTACAACAGAGGGTTTTAGAAGCAGGGGTTCTTACATCCGGGGGTCTTACAACCAGAGTATCTTACATCCAGGGCTGTTAGAAGCAGGTGTTCTTACAGCCAAGGTTTCTCACAACTGTTGAAGGAAGGATTCATTTTAAGATTCTTCTTATCACATAAAAGATCTTAAATGGACAATCTGCTGGATATCTGGAACTGCTGATTAATGATTATCATCCATCAAGAGCTCTATGATCGTCATCCCTTTCGCTATTATGAATCCCAGCCATAAAATCCAAAACACTGCAGCACCTCAGTTATGGAACACTACCCTAGAATATGAAAAATGCGGACAGTGATACAACATTTAAAACAAAACTTAAAACATTTCCATTCAGGAAATGTTTCAATTGATTCTCGTACTTAACATTTTAGTTTTTTTAAAAGTTTTACAATACTTGATTATTGATTTTCATGCCTTACATTTTAGGATTTTTAAGTTTTGCAAGTTGGTTTTTTAAAGTTTTTGCAAACATAACATTTTGGTTTTTTTTTTTAAATTTTACAATACTTGATGTATAATGTTACAATTGATTTTCATGCTTAACGTGTTAGGATTTTTAAAGTTTTACAATACTTGATGTATAATGTCACAATAGGCTAGAAATGTAATGATCTTCAATCGGCTTTCATAATGTAAAGCGCATTGAAAATAGAAATGCGCTTAATAAGAATCTATATTATTATTATTATTTAACTAGAAAACTAGAAGGTGTTCTTACAACCAGGGGTCTTACAAGAGGGTCTTACAACCACGGGTTCTTAAAACCGGGGTCTTACAATTAGGGGTTCCTACAAAGGGTTTCTTACAGGCAGGTCTTAGAACAACGGCAGGTGTCCACAACCTTTTCAACAATTAGGGTCTTAAAGCCAGGGTTCTTACAACCAGCGGTCAGGGGTCTTAGAACCAGGGTTCTTACAGTCGGGGTCTTAGAACTAGGGGTCCTTACAACCAGGGGCTCTTTCAACCAGTTGTTCTTACAACATGGTGTCTTAGAAGCAGGGTTTTTTTTAGGGCTTTTACAACAGGGGGTCTTACAACCAGGGTTCTTACAACCAGGGTTCTTACAACCAGCGGTTTTTACAACCAGGGTTTCTTATAACCATGGGTCTTACAACCAAGGGTTCTTACAATCAGGGGTCTTACAACAAGTTGTTCTTACAACTAAGGGGTTCTTACAACTAAAGGTTCTTACAACCAGGTTTTCTTACAACCAGGGGTTCTTACAACCAGGGTTTTCTTACGATCGGGGTCTTACAACCAAGGTTCAGGGTTACAATCAGGGGTTTTACAACAAGGGGTTCTTACAACCGGGGTTCTTACAACCATTGGTTCAGGAGTTGTTACAGGGCTTTTAGAACCAAGGGTTCTCTACAACGAGGGGTCTTAAAACCAGGGGTTTTTACAACCAGGTGTTTTTACAACTGGGGTTCTTACAAGCAGGGGTTGGTACAACCAGGAGTTGTTACAACGGGGGGTTTTACCACCTGGGGTTCTTACAACAAGGGGTTCTTGCAACCAGGGGTTCTTTCAACTGAGGGTCTTAGAACCAGGGGTTCGTACAACCGGGGGTCTTACAACCAGGGGTCTTAGATGCAGGGGTTCTTACAACCAGTGGCTCGTACAACTGGGGGTCTTACAACCAGAGGTTCTTACAACCAGCGGTTTAAGGGTTCCGACAATTAGGGGTGTTACAACCAGGAGTTCTTATAACCAGTGGTCTTACAACCAGGGTTCTTAGAAGCAGAGAGTCTTAGGACCAGGGGTTCTTACAACCAGAGGTCCTAGAAACAGGGGTTCTTACAACTGGGGGTCTTAGAATGAGGGGTTCTTACAACCAGGGGTCTTTCAACTAATGGTTCTTACAACCAGTGGTCTTACAACTAGGGGTTCTTACAACCAGGGTTTCCTACAACCGGGGGTTCATACAACCGGGGGTTCATACAACCGGGGTTCTTACAACCAGGGGTCTTAGAAGCAGAGGTTCTTACAACCAGTGGTCTTACAACTAGGAGTTCTCACAACCAGGGGTCTTACAACCAGGGGTTCCTACAACCAGGGATTCTTACAACCGGGGATCTTACAATCAGGGATCCTTACAACCAGGGGTCTTACAAGTAATGGTTCTTTCAACCAGAGGTCTTACAACCAGGTTTTCTTACAACTTGGGGACTTACAACCAGGGGTTCTTACAACTAACAGTCTTATGACCAGGGGTTCTTATAACCGGGGGTCTCACAACTAGGGGTTCCGACAATTAGGGGTCTTACTACCAGGAGTTCTTATAACCAGCAGTCTTACAACCAGGGGTCTTAGAACCAGAGGGTCTTAGAACCACCGTTGGTGTTACAACTAGGGGTTCTTACAACCGTCTGTCTGACAACCTGTGGTTCTTAAAACCAGGGGTCTTTCAACCAAGGGGTCTTACAACCAGGGCTCTTACAACCAGGGGTCTTTCAACCAGGTTTTCTTACAACTGGGGGGCTTACAACCAGGGGTTCTTACAACTAAAAGTCTTACGACCAATAGTTCTTTCAACCGGGGGTCTCACAACTAGGGGTTCCGACAAGTCTTACCACCAGGGGTTCTTATAACCAGCAGTCTTAAAACCAGGGGTTCCTACAACCAGGGGTCTTCAAACCAGGGGTTCTTACAACCGGGGCTCTTTTAACCTGGGGTTCTTACAACCTTGGGTCTTACAACAAGGATTTCTTACAACCACAGGTCTTAGAACCGGGGGTCTTACAACAAGGGGTTCTTACAACCTTGGTTCTTCCAACCAGGGGTTCTTACAAGTGGGGGTCTTACAACCAGGGGTTCTTACAACCAGGGGTCTTACAACAAGGGGTTCTTACAACCTTGGGTCCTTAAAACCAGGGGTTCTTACTGCCGGGGGTGTTACAAGTAGTGGCTCTTACAACCATCAGTCTTACAACCAGGGGTCTTATAACCAGGGGTTCTTACAACCAGGGGTCTTACAAGCAGCGGTTCCTAAAATCGGGGGTCTCACAACCAGCAGTTCTTACAACCAGGGTTTCTTACAACCAGGGCTCTTACAACTACGGGTTCTTCCAACCAGGTGTTTTTACAACCAGGGATCTTACAATCAGGGGTTCTTACAACCGGAGGTCTTACAACCAGGGGTTCTTACAACAAGGGGTCTTACAACCAGGGGTTCTTGTAACTGGGGTTCTTACAACCAGGGGTTCTTACAACAACTGGTCTTACAACCAGGGGTTCTTACAAGGAGAGGTCTTACAACCAGGGGTTTTTACAACCATGGCTCTGACAAGCAGGGGTTCTTACGACCGGGGGTCTTACAACCAGGGGTTCTTACAACCAGGGCTCTTACAACCATTGGTTCTTGCAAGCAGGGGTCTTACAATGAGGGTCCTTACAACCGGAGGTCTTACAACTAGGGGTTCTTTCAATCAGTGGTCTTATAACCAGGGGTTTTTACAATCAGGGGTTCTTAGAACGAAGGGGTTTAGAACCAGGATGTTACAAGCAGGGGTCTTGTGGGATTCGGGGTTCTTACAACCAGGGGTCCCACAACCAGGGGTTCCGACAATTAGGGGTCTTACAACCAAGGGTTCTTACGACCAGCGGTCTTACAACCAGGGGTCTTAGAAGCAGGAGTTCTTACATCCAGCTGTCTTACAACTAGGTGTTCTTACAACCAGGGGTGTTACAACTAGAGGTTCTTACAACTAGGGGTCTTAAAACCAGGGGTTCTTACAACAGAGAGCTTTAGAAGCAGGGGTTTTTATAAACAGGGGTTCTTACAACCGGGGGTCTTACAACCAGGGTATCTTACATCCAGGGCTCTTAGAAGCAGGAGTTGTTACAACCAGGGGTTCTTACAACCAGGGGTTCTTACAACCAAGGTTTCTCACAACTGTTGAAGCAAGGATTCATTTTAAGATTCTTCTTATCACATATAAGATCTTAAATGGACAATCTGCTGGATATCTGGAACCTCTGATTAAGGATTATCATCCATCAAGAGCTCTACGATCATCATCCCGCTCGCTATTATGAATGCCAGCCATAAAATCCAAAACACTGCAGCACCTCAGTTATGGAACACTACCCCAGAATATATAAAAAATGTGGACAGTGATACAACATTTAAAACAAAACTTAAAACATTTCCATTCAGGAAATGTTTCAATTGATTCTCATACTTAACATTTTAGTTTTTTTAAAGAGTTTTACAATACTTGATTATTGATTTTCATGCGTTACATTTTAGGATTTTTAAGTTTTGCAAGTTGGTTTTTTACAGTGTTTGCAAACATAACATTTTGGTTTTTTTTTTAAAATTTTACAATACTTGATGTATAATGTTACAATTGATTTTCATCCTTAACGTGTTAGGATTTTTAAAGTTTTACAATACTGGATGTATAATGTCACAATAGGCTAGAAATGTAATGATCTTCAATCGGCTTTCATAATGTAAAGTGCATTGAGGATAGAAATGCGCTTAATAAGAATCTATGTTATTATTATTATTTAACTAGAGGTCTTACAACTAGGGGTTCTTTCAACCAGGTGTTCTTACAACTGGGGGTCTTACAAGCAGAGGTCTTACAACTAGGGGTTCTTAAAACCGGGGGTCTTACAATCAGGGGTTCCTACAACCAGGGTTTCTTACAGGCAGCGGTTTTACAACTAGGGGTTCTTACAAGCAGGGATTCTTACAACCGCAGGTCTCACAACCATGGGTTCCGACAATTAGGGGTCTTACAGCCAGGGGTTCTTACAACCAGCGGTCTTACAACCAGTCTTAGAATCAGGGGTCTTAGAACCAGGAGTTCTTACAGTCGGGGGTCTTAGAACTAGGGGTTCTTACAACCAGGGGTCTTAAAACCAGCGCTCTTTCAACCAGTTGTTCTTACAACATGGTGTCTTAGAAGCAGGGGTTTTTATAAACAGGGCTTCTTACAACCGGGGGTCTTACAGCCAGGGGTTCTTACAACCAGGGGTCTTACAACCAGGGGTTCTTACAACTGGAGGTCTTACAACCAAGGGTTCTTACAACCTTGGGTCTTACAACAAGTTGTTCTTACAACCGGGTGTCTTACAACTAAAGGTTCTTACAACCAGGTTTCCTTACTACCAGTGGTTCTTACAACAAGGAGTTCTTTCCACCAGGGGTTCTTACAACCAGGGGTCTTACAAGCAGGGGTTCTTACAATCAGGGGTTTTACAAAAAGGGGTTCTTACAACCTGGTTGTTACAGCCATTGGTTCTTACAACCAGGGCTTTTAGAACCGAGGGTTCTTACAACGAGGGGTGGTAGAACTAGGGGTTCGTACAACGATGGGTCTTACAACCAGGGGTTCCTACAACGAGGGTTTCTCACAACCAGGGGTCTTACAAGTAGGGGTTCTTACAACCAGGTGTTTTTACAACTGGGGTCTTTACAAGCAGGGGTTGGTGCAACCACGAGTTGTTACAACTGGGGGTTTTACCACCTGGGGTTCTTACAACAAGGAGTACTTACAACCAGGGGTTCTTTGAACTGAGGGTCTTAGAACCAGGGGTTCATACAACCAAGGGTTCTTATTACCAAGGGTCTTGCAACCAAGGGTGTTACAACCAGGGTTCTTACAACCAGGGGTTTGTACAACAAGGGGTTCCTACAACTGGGGGTCTTACAACCAGGGGTCTCACAATTAGGGGTTCTTACATCCAAGGGTGTTACAAGAGGGGTTTTAGAACCAGGGGTTTTTACAAACAGGGGATGTTACAACTGAGGGTCTTACAACCAGGGTTTCTTACAAGTGGGTGTAGTACAATTAGGGTTCTTATAACCTGGGGACTTAGAACCCGGGGTCTTACAACCAGGGGTCTTACAACCAGGGGTTCTTACAACCGGGGGTGTTACAACCAGGGGTCTTACAACCACGGGTTTGTATAAGCAGGGGTTCTTAGAACCAGGGGTCTTACAAGCAGGAGTTTTTATAACCAGGGTCTTACAACCAGGTTTTCTTACAACCAGGGTACTTACAACCAGGGGTTCTTACAAGCAAGGGTCTGACAACCAGGGATTCTTACAACCGGGGGTGTTACAACCAGGCGCTCTTATAATTAGGTGTCTTACAACCAGGGGTTCTTACAGCCAAGGCTTTTACAACCAGTGGTCTTACATCCAGGGGTTCTTACAACCATTGTTTCCTGCGACCATGTGTCTTACAATCAGAGGGTTTTACAACCAGAGGTCTTACAATTAGGGGTTCTTACAACCAGGGGTCTTAAAATCAGAGGTTCTTACAACCAGAGGTCTTACAATTAGGGGTTCTTACAACCAGGGGTCTTAAAATCAGAGGTTCTTACAACCAGAGGTCTTACAATTAGGGGTTCTTACAACCAGGGGTCTTAAAATCAGAGGTTCTTACAACCAGAGGTCTTACAATTAGAGGTTCTTACAATAATCTGCTGTTACCTTAAGGGGTTCTTTAAACCGGGGGTCTTAGAACCATGGGTTCTTACACCCAGGGGGTCTTACAACAATCGGTTTTTACAACAGGGGTTTTTATGACAAGGGGTTCTTACAACCAGGGGTTCCGACAGTTAGGGGTCTGACAAGCAGGGGTTCCTACAACCGGGGGTCTTACAACAAGGGTTCCTTACAACCAGGGGTCTTACAACCAGGGCTTGTTACAACCAGGGGTCTTAAAAGCAGGGGTTCTTACATCTGGGGGTCTTAGAACTAGGGGTTTTTACAACCAGGGGTCTTAAAACCAAAGGCTCTTTATCAACCAGGGGTTCTTACAACCGGAGGTCTTAGAAGCAGAGGTTTTTAAAACCAGCGGTTCTTTACAACCGGGCGTCTTACAACCAGGGGTTGTTACAACAGTACTGGGGGTCTTACAACCAGGGGTTCTTACAACCGGGTGTCTTACAACCAGGGTTCTTACAACCGGGTGTCTTAAAACCAGGGGTTCTTATCACGAGAGCTGACATGGTGGATTTGATTATGGTGAGGTAAATATTGTAACTCTACATTTCCAAAATTTGAAGTTTGATTTTGAGTATTTGCTTGGATCATGGTCTTCCTTGAATAGGGTTTTTCTGTCATAAGTGCAGTTCCTTAAAGCTGTTTTTAGTCAATGATTGCAGTCCAAGTAAAGAAGTGTTTTCACACTTTGTTAATGAATTAGAATCATCTCTTATTTCAAATTTTCCATTTTTGCATTATAATTTCACGTAGTTGATTATGGTAAGCCAAGCTGCTTTGCTGATTTTACTTAACTTGAAAATTTTATAACCATTAAGCTTTGTTCACTGAAAAACTTTGGATCGCTTTCTTTCAGGAGAAAACTAACTCTAATGCGTCAGCAAAGACCAATGATAGCTCCGCAACGCCATTATCTGCACAGGTAATTCTGTGTAGTAACTATTTTTAACAACTTGTAGTTATGAAGGTTTGGCCTATAAAAGAGAATTTCATCCATGTGCATTTATATTGGCTGCATTGCAGCCGGCCCACAGAAGGTTTATGGTGTCTGTAATGCAGGCCACATTTATACCCTCACTCAAAAGAAGTATAATATTTTGATTCTGTTTTAAAATAACTTCATTTCTCCAGCAAATTTGAACATCAGTCGTTTGGCGAATATGCAAGTATTTAGTTTTTAACGTCTGCAGTCAGTTGGTCTGAACGTCTAGTAGTAACTTCCCGAGCGCCTACAATTTGTAGATATTTAAAGTAGGTTTTAGTGCAGGCAACTTTTGTTTTTCACTTCTATGAACTACGTGAACGTCTTACATGTATGCTTTAACTGAAACGTTTGTAAAATTTTGTTATGATCATGTTTAAATCGCGGTAACTGAAACTGATACTCCATTTTTTTATTTTGTTCTTTAGAAAGATCACTTTGCAGGAGACCGATACAAAGAATTCTTAAAGGAACAAAGAAAGAGGGAAGAAGACCTGGCAGCTAAACGTAAAAGTGCAACCAAGAAACTGAATTTTCCTGATTCTTCCCACGATGTCATCATGAAAAAGATTGATTCTCCAGACAACATCAGCCTGATAAAAAAGCAGCTTGAGGCACAAACAAGAGAGCATAATCTTCTAAAGAATCAGATCCCAGATCACGAGCAATTCTTAAAGGTAAGCACAAAGCAATGTAGTTTCTTTATTCTCTGTCAAGAATCAGGTTGCAGTGGCTACCAAAATAATAATAGCAACAGGCCCCCTCAAAATGTTCTTTCTTTCAGTCTTCTTTTTTAGTTTTTGTGGACTTGTTTTTTGTTGCGCTTCTGTCATAGTTTGTGGTTGAAGAGCGAAGACTTTGGACAGTTTTTTTTTGCAGAATGGGGCGATTTGAATTTCCCTGACATTAATGATACTTTGCTGTCAACTTTGTAAGTTTGAAAATCTAAGGAAAGAAAGGCATAATTTTAAGAACAGTATTAAATCCACTTTGTATCGCTGCTGGAAGTGTGCTGTGCCTACATTTATTCATGTATTTATTTTGACTTAAGATGATGGACAGATTCGAAGATTCTCTTTTCTCATTGGGGGAGACGTTGGGGCACAGATTGTCACAGATCAAACAATGGCTGGAATATTTAGAGACTGTGGTAAGTTGAATAATAATAATAACCTTTATTTATCCATCTTTTAAAAATATATACAATGGATTTACAATACTATAAAATGCTATCAAGTGATTATTCTAATAAAAAAGTAGGTAAGTAAGTCAGTAAGTAAACATAACAGGTCATTATAAATAAGTCTTGCAGCTCTTGCTATAAATGAATTTGCATGTCTTTGCGTCCCTGACTGTGGTATTGCTACTGAGTGAACCTGGTTTGGATCTTAAGTTATAGCGGTGGCTGGTATTTGGCTTAGTGAGAAAAATTTGATTTGGGTGGTTAATATAATTTACAACTCTTTCTAATTCACGTTTTGTTGCTATGTTGCACCTGTCCTCTAGTATCTTGGTATCCCGATGATATCTACACACCTGTTTTGTAAAGACTGCAACTCTTCTGCAATGTACTTTTGCAAACCGCCCCACAGTGGGTGGCATATTCGAGAAGTGGGCGTATTTTGGTACAATAATATATCCTGATGCTGATCTCTGTAGGTAGGTTTGCTTTCATACATTCCCTTAAAAAATACAATCTCTTGCTGGCTTTCTTTACAGTTTGAGTTCAACATGGTAATTCCAACATAGGTTGACAGTTTAAACAAGAAGCCCTTTAACCCACTCCTTGACAAGCATTTTTAAAGAAGATTTTATAGTATGTTTATATGTTTGACCAATACAAGGGTGAGGATTCTGTGATTTTAAGAGCTGTGCAGCTGCAAGCTGTAACCTAATTAAGAATAAATGAAATGACAATAATAATAGTGATATTAGATTGTTACAAAGAATAATAATATCAAAAGTAGGTTGAGTTTGTCCAGGTGAACGTAGTCTCCATTTTGGTGACGTCCGCCAGTGTGACAACACAATTTGTGCTTTGAACTAAAAATCCAAAAAAAGTTTTCAGTCATTAATTGTAGTCCATCGAGCAAGTTTAGTTAACAAATAACAAAAATCATAAGATATACAGAAATTTAGCACACATGCAACATTTGAGGGGTAGTTTGGTCCCATCGTGGCAATGCGGTTTTGAATGTTCAAAACTATGTGCCTAAAATTGAAATTATCGTGACACATCTATTTTAGGTATTTTGTCTGCAAGCTTGCTTTCAGTTTATTGATATTTTTTGACCTTCACCTTCACAATTCTGCAGTTATCTCTTGTGGTAAAATTGTAGAGCAGAGACTGATGTGTTTTTTTTCTTTTCATTTTGCTAGATTTTTTTTGTTGTGTCCAAAGATAGACATTGATTGAAATTATGCATTATGAAAAATTAGCAACATTGAGTTGTTGGAATACGTTTTTTTATTAGAAAGGGGAAATTACAGAGAATTTACTAGAAAGAGTCACCGAAGAAGGCTACATCATTGACTTAAAGCAGCACCAGGTGATGAAAACTATTATTACAGTGCTGCCATTCTTTAAATAGGGTTCAAAGCCGGTCTGGTGAAAATCTCATTTTGCTTATAATATTATTAATATTATGAGTCCCATCATTATGATGTAAGTGATTGCCATATGTGTGTTCAGTTTATTTCTTTCCTGATTGTCTAAAATGAAAATTGGGAGTTAAATTAAAATGACAAGCTTTACTAAATAAATGCTTGTTATTTAATTTTACAAATTATTTTACAAATTATTTTCCATATTTCCAAATGGTCCAGCAGATACAAATTTATTATGAAATTCATCACTAAGACTTCAGATACACTGTATGTTGTGTGACTCCCATTTCTTTTTTTTCTTTATAAATCAACAGGATAAGGAAAATGACCTTTGCAATTCCAACTAAACCCCACTGAACAGACTTGCAACACGGTTGGGTTCAGGCAGTTTATTGTAGCATATAATACTTATTTACATAAAATGGTAGTACTAACTAAATATAACCTGGTTGAAAACCTAGGCCCATAAATCAACTTACAAGACACAAATCAAGGAAATCATAACTGCCTGTGGAGTGGGTGGGTGGAAAAGCAAATTGTAATACAGCCGAAAAGACTTGTTGTCTCACTATTGGCTTGTAAAGCTAAATGCTAATCATACATTCCTGGAGCGTGGCTAAATAACTCTCTTATCTTAGCGGCTGTCATGCGGTCATACGCGCCCTTCCGGCCGCAGGGATGCTCGCGGTTGCCTTTCTCCCACGCTGGTTGTCCATTCACGGGTCTAGATTTATATTAATAGGGATTAATATCCACTGTACAAGTAATTTTGATATTAAAGGAGTTATGGATCAGGTGCTTAATGCATGGCTGAATGCTTTGGGGATCCTCATGAAGAATAAATACATAATGTATGTGAATTTGATAATTAGAATAATTAATGCATTGGCTGATGTGCTTCGTTATGAAATTAGAATTAATCATCACAATCACAGCTGATTGGATTAATTACAATAAATATTGATATATGTATTTTGATTCTTACATGTACAGCTCTTTGTTTAATCTAAGAGTTGTTACTTTTTTTCTTAATCTCCTTCTCCCTATGCAACACTTGCCTATTCTCATCACTCTTTCCTTTTCATAATTTGTCTACACATTCCTTAATTCTTTTCTCTTAAAGCCTGAATTTGTGGCTTACACTATGATGACCGTTTGTTAACTAATTGACTAGTATGTATGTCTGTGGGTGCTGTAAGTTTGATTTGATTTTTTGTTTCAGGTTTAGAGAACAAGACTGTGTTATCATAACACTTTCAAGTGTTACACATGTAGCAATAGTTCAGAGTCAGATTAAAAGGTAATTATGCATAATCCGTTTTCCAATCCATGTTACTGAGCCTGAAACTTTCTTTTCTTCATTTGTTATTTATCATTGTAAGAGTGGATTACTTTGTTGAAAATGAGTAATAAATCCAACTCCTTCGAAAGTGATCTACTGAATTTCCAAAAAGGACCCGTTCCGTACAAAAGCTGATTACATCATTTTGTTTACTATAATAACATCTAACCTATTAAGGGTAAAAGTGATTTATCTCTAATCCAATAAAAAAGTGGTTAATATGACAGCTCCTAGTAACGTAATGACAAAATACTAAAAACAAAACAAAAAAAATGTCACACTATAATTTTCAGAAAAATAATATTGACATACTTGATTTTTTTAATAACTGCAAATTGTGTCTCTGAGGACATTATTATTGTTATTATTATGACTCAAATATATTGTTATTGTGTGTGTAAGTTATTTCAATCAGAATTTTTCCTATTAATTGTGTTGAAGATACGCCTAGAATGCCTGACACACGCCTCCCCAAGAGAGGGAAATGGCAACAGGGTGGACAAAAGAGGCAAAGCACTATAAGACTGTCTCAAAGCATTGCTGTAAATCTTTGATATAGATGTTGAAACCTGGGAGACCTTGGCTCTAGACCAACCTGCCTGGCATAGCAAAGTCAATAAAGGCACTGTCCTTTTTTAGCTAAACAGGATAACAGGGGCTCAGAGGAAGCGGGAGCTGTGCGAATCCAAAGTGATCTCCTTGACACCTGCTTAAGAAAATCGCCAGTGTCTGGTATGCGGCAGAGCCTTCTGCACATGATTGGATTGACAAGCCACGGTGGGCAACACTGCACCTAATACCTCTCTCATGTGATGTTCTTGGGCATTGCTAAGAACAACGGACAAACAACAACAAAAACTGGAGTCACATAACAAGGTAATACATTGGGTATAATGATTGGACAGTAATAGTTATTCATACTAGCTGAAGTACCAAATTGGAATCATTGCATGTGTGTTTGATAAGCATTGAATTAAGAAATGAATTTAATATAATGCATTTTAATTTGTGCTGTCAATTAAGCAAGGTTTGTTAGTCTATATGTTGCAAGTAATGTGGTATTTCAGGTTGATTTGTTTCAACCTAGGTCAAAATATAGTATTATTGAGCACTACACATCTGCTTTAAATCTATTAGAGTAGTTTGAATGATATTAAAAAGTTAACTGGGGGAAGATATGAAAGCTGTGAGTTTCCTCAGTTTGCTTCCAGGTGATGTTTCTTGTAAAAAGAACACTCCTACAGCAGAATTCAGTCTTGCAACCAGGGGCCTTACAACCAGTGGTCTTCCAACAAGGGGTTATTTCAACCAGGGCTCTTACAACCAGGGGTTGTTACAACCGGGCATCTTATAACCAGGGGTTCTTACAACCGGGGACCTTAAAACCTGGGCCCAGTTATTCGAAGGCTGATTAGCCCTTAACCTGGGGTATAATTTAGCCAGGGTTTCTTTTTTTGTGTTCAAAAGCATTTTCTCGCATTATTTTCTGTTATATTTAGAGTTGAAACTGAAATGGTTTTCAAGCTTTCAAATCTAAATTCAAATCTTGCACTAACCGTGGGTCATCTTAACCCAGCTTTGAACAACTCGGCCCGGGGGTCTTACAACCAGGGGTTGTTACAACCAGGGGTCTTACAACCAGGAGTTCTTACAACCGAGGATCTTACAACCAGGGGTCTTACAACCAGGGGTTCTTACAACCGGGGGTCTTACAACCGGTGCTTCTTACAACGAGGGGTCTTACAACCAGGGGTCTTACAAGCAGGGGTTCTTACAAGCAGGGGTTCTTACAACCATTGGTCTTACAACCAGAGGTCTTACAACCAGGGGTTCTTACAACTGGGGGTCTTAAAAACGAGGGGTTTTAACAACCGGGGGTCTTAAGAGCAGGGGTTCATACTACCAGGGGTCTTACAAACAGGAATTCTTACAACCAGGGGTTCTTACAACTGGGAGTCTTACAACCAGGGGCCTTACAAGCAGGGGTCTTACAACCAGAGGTCCTATAACCAGGGGCTGTTACAACCGGGCGTCTTATAACCAGGGGTTCTTACGACCGGGCGTCTTACAACCATAGGTTCTTACAACTGGGTGTCTTACAACTAGGGGTTCTTACAAGTGTGGGTCTTCCAACCAGGGGTTCTTACAACCAGTGTCTTGCGACTGGGGGTCTTACAACCAGGGGTTTTTACAACCAGGGGTTGTTACAACCGTCGGTCTTACAACCAGGGGTTCTTACAATGGGGGGTCTTACAACCGGAGGTTTTACAACCAAGGGTTTTTACAACCAGGGGTTCTTACAACCAGGCATCTTACGATCAGAGGTTCTTACAACCGGGGGTCTTACAACCAAAGGTTCTTACAACCGGGAGTGTTACAACTACGGGTTTTTACAACCAGGGGCTCTTACAACCGGGGGTCTTAACACCAGAGGTTCTTACAACCTGCGGTTCTTACAAGCGTGGGTCTTTCAACCAGGGGTTCTTACAACCAGGGTCTTACAACCGTGGGTCTTACAACCAGGGGTTTTTACAACCAGGGAGTCTTACAACCAGGGGTCTTACAACTGGGGGTCTTATAACCAGGGGTTCTTACAATCGCGGGTCTTAAAACCAAGGGTTGTTACAACTGTTGGTCTTACAACGAGGGGTTTTTACATCTGGGGTTCTTACAACCAGGGGTTTTACAATGAGAGGTTCTTACAACTGGGGGTCTTACAAACGCGGGTCTTACAAGCAGGGCTTTTACAACCAGGGTTCTTACAATTTGGGTCCAGTTGTTTGAAGGCCGATTAGCGTTTAACCTGGGGATAGATTTAACCCGGGTTTCTTTTTTTTTGTGTTTAAAAGCATTTTCTCGCATTATTTTCTGTTATATTTAGAGTTTTCAATCGTCTCCTTGTAGACAAAAAGAATTAAAACTGAAATGGTTTTCAAGCTTTCAAATCTAAATTCAAATCTTGCACTAACCGTGGGTCATCTTAACCCAGCTTTGAACAACTCGGCCCGGGGGTCTTACAACCAGGGGTTGTTACAACCAGGGGTCTTACAACCAGGAGTTCTTACAACCGAGGGTCTTACAACCAGGGGTCTTACAACCAGGGGTTCTTACAACCGGGGGTCTTACAACCGGTGCTTCTTACAACGAGGGGTCTTACAACCAGGGGTCTTACAAGCAGGGGTTCTTACAAGCAGGGGTTCTTACAACCATTGGTCTTACAACCAGAGGTCTTACAACCAGGGGTTCTTACAACTGGGGGTCTTAAAAACGAGGGGTTTTAACAACCGGGGGTCTTAAGAGCAGGGGTTCATACTACCAGGGGTCTTACAAACAGGAATTCTTACAACCAGGGGTTCTTACAACTGGGAGTCTTACAACCAGGGGTCTTACAACCAGAGGTCTTACAACCAGGGGCTGTTACAACCGGGCGTCTTATAACCAGGGGTTCTTACGACCGGGCGTCTTACAACCATAGGTTCTTACAACTGGGTGTCTTACAACTAGGGGTTCTTACAAGTGTGGGTCTTCCAACCAGGGGTTCTTACAACCAGTGTCTTGCGACTGGGGGTCTTACAACCAGGGGTTTTTACAACCAGGGACTCTTACAACCAGGGGTCTTATAACCAGGGGGTCTTACAATTGTGGGTCTTAAAACCAGGGGTTGTTACAACCGTCGGTCTTACAACCAGGGGTTCTTACAATGGGGGGTCTTACAACCGGGGGTTTTACAACCAAGGGTTTTTACAACCAGGGGTTCTTACAACCAGGCATCTTACGATCAGAGGTTCTTACAACCGGGGGTCTTACAACCAAAGGTTCTTACAACCGGGAGTGTTACAACTACGGGTTTTTACAACCAGGGGCTCTTACAACCGGGGGTCTTAACACCAGAGGTTCTTACAACCTGCGGTTCTTACAAGCGTGGGTCTTTCAACCAGGGGTTCTTACAACCAGGGTCTTACAACCGTGGGTCTTACAACCAGGAGTTTTTACAACCAGGGAGTCTTACAACCAGGGGTCTTACAACTGAGGGTCTTATAACCAGGGGTTCTTACAATCGCGGGTCTTAAAACCAAGGGTTGTTACAACTGTTGGTCTTACAACGAGGGGTTTTTACATCTGGGGTTCTTACAACCAGGGGTTTTACAATGAGAGGTTCCTACAACTGGGGGTCTTACAAACGCGGGTCTTACAAGCAGGGCTTTTACAAACAGGGTTCTTACAATTTGGGTCCAGTTGTTCGAAGGCCGATTAGCGTTTAACCTGGGGATAGATTTAACCCGGGTTTCTTTTTTTTTGTGTTTAAAAGCATTTTCTCCGATAATTTTTTCTGTTATATTTAGAGTTTTCAATCATCAACTTGTAGACAAAAAGAACTAAAACTGAAATACTTTTTAAGCTTTCGAATCTAAATTCAAATCTCGCACTAACCGTGGGTTATCTTAACCCAGCTTTGAATAACTCGGCCCAGGGGTCTTACAACCAGGGCTTGTTACAACCATTGGTCTTACAACCAGGGATTTTTACAACCAGGGGTTTTTACAACCAGGGGTCTTACAACCAGGGATCTTACAACCTGGGGTTGTTACAACAAGGGTTCTTACAACCGGGGGTCCTACGACCAGGAGTTCTTACAACCGGGGTTATTACAACCAGGGGTTCTTATAACCTGGGGTTCTTTTAACCGTGGGTCTTCCAACCCACGGTTCTTACAACCGGGAGTCTTACAACCAGGGGTCTTACAACGAGGGGTCTTACAACCGGAGGTCGTACAACCGTGGGTCTTCAAACCATGAGTTCTTACAACCGGGAGTCTTACAACCAGGAATTCTTACAACCTGGGGTCTTACAACCACGGGTCTTACAAGCAGGGGTTCGTACAACTGGGGGTCTTACAACCAGGGGTTCTTACAACCAGGTGTTCTTACAACCAGGGGTCTTACAACCAGTGGTTTTTACAACCAGGGGTCTTACAACCAGCTGTTTTTACAAGCAGGGGTCTTACAAGCAGGGGTTCTTACATCCGGGGTTCTTAAAACCAGAGGTTGTTACAACCAGGGGTCTTACAACCAGGGGTTCTTAGAACCTGGGGTCTTACAACCAGGCGTTCTTTCAACCAGGGGTCTTACAACCAGCGGTTTTTACAACCAGGGGTCTTACAGCCAGCGGTTTTTACAAGCAGGGGTCTTACAACCAGGGGTTCTTACATCGGTCTTCTTACAACCAGGGGTTCTTACAACCAGGGGTTCTTACATTACCAGGGGTCTTACAACCAGGGGTTCTTACGTCAGGGTGGCTTACAGCCAGGTGTTCTTACAACCAGGGGCTCTTACGGCCAGGGGTCTTACAACCAGGGGTTCTTACAACCAGGGGTTCTTAAAAACAGGGGTCTTACAACAAGCGGTTTTTACAACCATGGATCTTATAACCAGTGGTTTTTCCAAGCAGGGGTTCTTACAACCACGGGTCTTACAACAAGCGGTTTTTACAACCAGGGGTCTTACAACCAGTGGTTTTTACAACCGGGGGTCTCACAACCAGCGGTTTACAACCAGCGGCTTACAAGCAGGGGTCTTATAACCAGGGGTCTTAGAACCAGGGGTTCTTACATCTTGGGGTCTTACAAGCGGAGGTTCTTACAACCAGGGCTCTTACAACCAGGGGTTCTTAAAACCACTGGTCTTACAACCAGGGTCTGACAACCAGTGCTTCTTACAACCAGGGGTCTTACAACCAGGGGTTCTTACATCTGGGGGTCTTAGAACTAGGGGTTTTTACAACCAGGGGTCTTAAAAACAAAGGCTCTTTATCAACCAGGGGTTCTTACAACCGGAGGTCTTAGAGGTTTTTAAAACCAGCGGTTCTTTACAACTGGGCGTTTTACAACCAGGGGTTGTTACAACAGTATTAGGGGCCTTACAACCAGGGGTTCTTACAACCGGGTGTCTTACAACCAGGGTTCTTACAACCGGGTGTCTTAAAACCAGGGGTTCTTACCACGAGAGCTGAAGTGGTGTATTTGATTAAGGAGGAGGTAAATATTGTAACTCTACATTTCCAAAATTTGAAGTTTGATTTTGAGTATTTGCTTGGATCATGGTCTTCCTTGAATAGGGTTTTTCTGTCATAAGTGCAGTTCCTTAAAGCTGTTTTTAGTCAATGATTGCAGTCCAAGTAAAGAAGTGTTTTCACACTTTGTTAATGAATTAGAATCATCTCTTATTTCAAATTTTCCATTTTTGCATTATAATTTCACGTAATTGATTATGGTAAGCCAAGCTGCTTTGCTGATTTTACTTAACTTGAAAATTTTATAACCATTAAGCTTTGTTCACTGAAAAACTTTGGATCGCTTTCTTTCAGGAGAAAACTAACTCTAATGCATCAGCAAAGACCAATGATAGCTCCGCAAGGCCATTATCTGCACTGGTAATTCTGTTTAGTAACTATTTTTAACAACTTGTAATTATGAAGGTTTGGCCTATAAAAGAGAATTTCATCCATGTGCATTTATATTGGCTGCATTGCAGCCGGCCCACAGAAGGTTTATGGTGTCTGTAATACAGGCTACATTTATACCCTCACTCAAAAGAAGTATAATATTTTGATTCTGTTTTAAAGTAACTTCATTTGTCCAGCAAATTTGAACAGCAGTCGTTTGGCGAATATGCAAGTATTTAGTTTTAAACGTCTGCAGTCAGTTGGTCTGAACGTCTAGTAGTAACTTCCCAAGCGCCTACAATTTGTAGATATTTAAAGTAGGTTTTAGTGCAGGCAACTTTTGTTTTTCACTTCTATTAACTACGTGAACGTCTTACATGTACGCTTTAACTGAAACGTTTGTAAAATTTTGTTATGATCATGTTTAAATCGCGGTAACTGAAACTGATACTCCATTTTTTTATTTTCTTCTTTAGAAAGATCAAGTCACAGGAGACCGATACAAAGAATTCTTAAAGGAACAAAAAAAGAGGAGAGAAGACCTGGCAGCTAAATGTAAAAGCGCAACCAAGAAACTGAATTTTCCTGATTTTTCTCACGATGTCATCATGAAAAAGATTGATTCTCCAGACAACATTAGCCTGATTAAAAAGCAGCTTGAGACACAAACAAGAGAGCATAATCTTCTAAAGAATCAGATCCCAGATCACGAGCAATTCTTAAAGGTAAGCACAAAGCAATGTAGTTTCTTTATTCTCTGTCAAGAATCAGGTTGCAGTGGCTACTAAATAATAGCAACACACTCCCTCAAAAAGCTCTTTCTTTCAGTCTTCTTTGTTAGTTTTTGTGGACTTGTTTTTTGTTGCGCTTCTCTCATAGTTTGTGGTTGAAGAGCGAAGACTTTGGACAGTTTTTTTTTTGCAGAATGGGGCGATTTGAATTTCCCTGACATTAATGATACTTTGCTGTCAACTTTGTAAGTTTTAAAATCAAAGGAAAGAAAGGCATAATTTTAACAACAGTATTAAATCCAGTTTGTATCGCTGCTGGAAGTGTGCTGTGCCTACATTTATTCATGTATTTATTTTGACTTAAGATGATGGACAGATTCGAAGATTCTCTTTTCTCATTGGGGGAGACGTTGGGGCACAGATTGTCACAGATCAAACAATGGCTGGAATATTTAGAGACTGTGGTAAGTTGAATAATAATAATAACCTTTATTTATCCATCTTTTAAAAATATATACAATGGATTTACAATACTATAAAATGCTATCAAGTGATTATTCTAATAAAAAAGTAGGTAAGTAAGTCAGTAAGTAAACATAACAGGTCATTAAAGAAGTCTTGCAGCTCTTGCTATAAATGAATTTGCATGTCTTTGCGTCCCTGACTGTGGTATTGCTACTGAGTGAACCTGGTTTGGATCTTAAGTTATAGCGGTGGCTGGTATTTGGCTTAGTGAGAAAAATTTGATTTGGGTGGTTAATATAATTTACAACTCTTTCTAATTCACGTTTTGTTGCTATGTTGCACCTGTCCTCTAGTATTGGAAGGGATGTTCTTGGTATCCCGATGATATCTACACACCTGTTTTGTAAAGACTGCAACTCTTCTGCAATGTACTTTTGCAAACCGCCCCACAGTGGGTGGCATATTCGAGAAGTGGGCGTATTTTGGTACAATAATATATCCTGATGCTGATCTCTGTAGGTAGGTTTGCTTTCATACATTCCGTTAAAAAATACAATCTCTTGCTGGCTTTCTTTACAGTTTGACTTCAACATGGTAATTCCAACATAGGTTGACAGTTTAAACAAGAACCCCTTTAACCCACTCCTTGACAAGCGTTTTTAAAGAAGATTTTATAGTATGTTTATATGTTTGACCAATACAAGGGTGAGGATTCTGTGATTTTAAGAGCTGTGCAGCTGCAAGCTGTAACCTAATTAAGAATAGATGAAATGACAATAATAATAGTGATATTAGATTGTTACAAAGAATAATAATATCAAAAGTAGGTTGAGTTTGTCAGGGTGAACGTAGTCTCCATTTTGGTGACGTCCGCCAGTGTGACAACACATTTTTTGTGCTTTGAACTAAAAATCCAAAAAAAGTTTTCAGTCATTAATTGTAGTCCATCGAGCAAGTTTAGTTAACAAATAACAAAAATCATAAGATATACGGAAATTTAGCACACATGCAACATTTGAGGGGTAGTTTGGTCCCATCGTGGCAATGGGTTTTGAATGTTCAAAACTATGTGCCTAAAATTTAAATTATCATGACACATCTATTTTATAGCTATTTTGTTTGCGATCTTGCTTTCGGTTTATTGATATTTTTTGACCTTCACCTTCACAATTCTGCAGTTATTTCTTGTGGTAAAATTGTAGAGGTGGGTCTGATGTGTTTTTTTTCTTTTCATTTTGCTAGATTTTTTTGTTGTGTCCAAAGATAGACAATGATAATGAATGTGTTATGAAAAATTAGCAACATTGAGTTGTTGGAATATGTTTTTTTTATTAGAAAGGGGAAATTACAGAGAATTTACTAGAAGGAGTCACCGAAGAAGGCTACATCATTGACTTAAAGCAGCACCAGGTGATGAAAACTATTATTACAGTGCTGCCATTCTTTAAATAGGGTTCAAAGCCGGTCTGGTGAAAATCTTATTTTGCTTATAATATTATTAATATTGTGAGTCCCATAATTATAATGTAACTGATTGCCATATGTGTGTTCAGTTTATTTCTTTCCTGATTGTCTAAAATGAAAATTGGGAGTAAATTAAAATGACAAGCTTTACTAAATAAATGCTTGTTGTTTAATTTTCCAAATTATTTTCCAAATTATTTTCCATATTTCCAAATGGTCCAGCAGATACAAGTTTAATTATGAAATTAATCACTAAGACTTCAGATACATTGCATGTTGTGTGACTGACACATTTCTTTTTTTCTTTATAAATCAACAGGATAAGGAAAATGACCTTTGCAATTCCAATGTACAAGTAATTTTGATATTAAAGGAGTTATGGATCAGGTGCTTAATGCATGGCTGAATGCTTTGGGGATCCTCATGAAGAATAAATACATAATGTATGTGAATTTGATAATTAGAATAATTAATGCATTGGCTGATGTGCTTCGTTACGAAATTAGAATTAATCATCACAATCACAACTGATTGGATTTAATTACAATAAATATTGACATATGCATTTTGATTCTTACATGTACAGCTCTGTTTAATCTAAGAGTTGTTACTTTTTTTCTTAATTTCCTTCTCCCTATGCAACACTTGCCTATTCTCATCACTCTTTCCTTTTCATAATTTGTCTACAAATTCCTTAATTCTTTTCTCTTAAACGTTTAATCTTTGGCTTACACCATGATGACTGTTTGTTAACTAATTGACTAGTATGTATGTCTGTGGATGCTGTAAGTTTGATTTGATTTTTTGTTTCAGGTTTAGAAAACAAAACTGTGTTATCATAACACTTTCAAGTGTTACACATGTAGCAATAGTTCAGAGTCAGATTAAAAAGTAATTACGGATAATCTGTTTTCCAATCCATGTTACTGAGCCTGAAACTTTCTTTTCTTCATTGTTATTTATCATTGTAAGAGTGGATTACTTTGTTGAGAATGAGTAATAAATCCAACTCCTTCGAAAATGATCTACTGAATTTCCAAAAAGGACCCGTTCCGTACAAAAGCTGATTCATCATTTTGTTTACTATAATAAAATCTAACCTATTAAGCGTAAAAGTGATTTATCTCTAATCCAATCGAAAGGTGGTTAATATTACAGCTCCTAGTAACGTAATGGCAAAGTAATAAAAACAAAACAAAAAAATGTCACACTATAATTTTCAGAAAATATTGACATACTTGATTTTTTTAATGACTGCAAATTGTGTCTCTGAGGACATTATTATTATTATTATTATGACTCAAATATATTGTTATTGTGTGTGTAAGTAATTTCAATCAGAATTTTTCCTAATTGTGTTGAAGATACGCCTAGAATGCCTGACACACGCCTCCCCAAGAGAGGGAAATGGCAACAGGGTGGACAAAGGAAGCAAAGTACTATAAGACTGTCTCAAAGCATCACTGTAAATCTTTGATATAGATGTTGAAACCTGGGAGACCTTGGCTCTAGACCAACCTGCCTGGCATAGCAAAGTCAACAAAGGCACTGTCCTTTTTTAGCTAAACAGGATAACAGGGGCTCAGAGGAAGCGTGAGCTGCGCAAATCCAAATTGATCTCCTTGACACCTGCTTAAGAAAATCGCCAGTGTCTGGTATGCGGCAGAGCCTTCTGCGCATGATTGGATTGATCAGCCACAGTGGGAAACACTGCACCTAATACCTCTCTCACGTGATGTTCTTGGGCATTGCTAACAACAACAGACAAACAACAACAAAGACTGGAGTCAGATAACAAGGTAATACATTGGGTATAATGATTGGACAGTAATAGTTATTCATACTAGCTAAAGTACCAAATTGGAATCATTGCATGTGTGTTTGATAAGCATTGAATTAAAAAATGAATTTAATATATTGCATTTTAATTTGTGCTGTCAATTAAGCAAGGTTTGTTAGTCTATATGTTGCAAGTAATGTGGTATTTCAGGTTGATTTGTTTCAACCTAGGTCAAAATATAGTATTATTGAGCACTACACATCTGCTTTAAGTCTATTAGAGTTGTTTGAATGATATTAAAAAGTTAACTGGGGGAAGATATGAAAGCTGTGAGTTTCCTCAGTTTGCTTCCAGGTGATGTTTCTTGTAACAATAACACTCCTACAGCAGAATTCAGTCTTGCAGCCAGGGGTCTTACAACCAGGGGTTCTTACAACCAGTGGTCTTACAACCAGTGGTTTTACAACCAGGGGTTTTTACAACCGGGGGTCTTACAACAGGGGGGTTTTTACAACCGGGGGTCTTACAGCCAGGGGTTCTTACAACCGGGGGTCATACAACTAGGGCTTCTTACAACCGGGAGTCTTACAACCAGGGGTTGTTACCACCTGGGTTCTTACAACCAAAGGGTTCTTAAAACCTGGGGGTCTTACAACCAGGGGTTCTTACAACAAGAGTTCTTACTACCAGGGGTTGTTACAACCGGGCATCTTATAACAAGGGGTCCTTACAACCGGGGGTTCTTAGAACTAGGGGTTCTTACAACCGTGGGTCTTACAACCTGGGGTTGTTAAAACCGGTTGTCTTAAAACCGGGGGTCTTAGAACCAGGGGTTTTTACAACCAGGGGTTCTTACAACCGGGGGTCTTAGAACCAGGGGTTTTTACAACCAGGGGTTCTTACAACCAGGGGTCTTAAAACCAGGGGTTTTACAACCAGTGGTTGTTACAACCAGGGGTCTTACCACCAGGGGTTCTTACAACTGGGAGTTTTACAACCAGGGGTCTTACAACCAGGAGTTTTTACAACCAGGGGTTCTTACAAGCGGGGGTGTTACAACCTGGGGCTGTTACAACCAGGGGTCTTACAACCAGGGGCTCTTACAACCGGGGGTATTACAAACAGGAATTCTTATATCTCGAGGTCTTACAACCAGGAGTTCTTACCACCAGGGTTCTTACAACCAGGGGTCTTACACCAGAGGTTGTTAGAATCAGGGGTCTTACCACCGGGGGTCTTACAAACAGGGGGTCTTATGTCCAGGGGTTCTTACAACCAGGGGCATGCAACTAGGGGTCTAACAACCAGGGGTTTTTACAACCAGGTGTTTTTAAAACCAGGGTTCTTACAACCATGTGTTCATTCAAGCAGGGGTCTTACAATAAGGGGTTCTTACTACCGGGGATCTTAAAACCAGGGTTGCTACAATAAGGGATTTTTACAATTAGGAGGTTTAGAACCAGGGGCTCTTACAGCCAGTTGTCTTATAATAATGGTTTCCTACAACCAGGGGTCTTATAACCGGGGGTGTTACAACCAGGGGTTCTTACAAACAGGGGTTTTAAAACCGGGGGTTCTTAGAACCAGGGTTTTTACATTAGGGGTTCTTATAACTAGGGGTCTTACAACTAGGGAGTCTTCCAAGCAGGGGTCTTACAACCAGGGGTTCTTAGAACCAGGGGTTTTACAGCCGGGGGTTCTTAAAACCAGGGTTCTTACTTTAGGGGTGTCTATAACTAGGGGTCTTACAACCAGGGAATCTTACAAGCAGGGGTCTTACAACCAGCCGTCTTACAACCAGGGGTTCGTACAACCAGGTGTCTGACAACTAGGGATCTTACAAGCATGGGTTCTTACAACCAGGGGTTTTACAGCCGGGGGTTTTTAGAAGTAGGGTTTTTACTTTAGGGGTCTTACAACGAGGAAATCTTACAAGCAGTGGACTTACAAGCAGGGGTGTTACAACCAGCGGTTCTTACAACCAGGGTTTCTGACCATCAGGGATCTTTTAACCAGGGGTCTTACTGCTAGGAGTTCTTCCAACCAGGGGTGTTATGATAAGGCGTTCTTACAACCAGTTGTCTTAGAACCAGGGGCTCTTAGCGCTAGGAGTGTTACAATAATGGGCTCTTACAGCCAGGGGGTCATACAACCAGGGGTCTTACAAGCAGGGGTTCTTACAACCAGAGGTCTTACAACCAGGGGTTGTTACAACCGAGCGTCTTATAACCAGGGGTTCTTACAACCGGGGGTTCTTACAACCAGGGGTCTTAAAACTAGGGGTTCATGCAACTAGGGGTCTAACAACCAGGGGTTTTTACAACCAGGTGTTTTTAAAACCAGGGTTCTTACAACCAGGTGTTCTTTCAAGGTGGGGTCTTACAAGCAGGGGTCTTTTAATAAGGGGTTCTTACTACCGGGGATCTTAAAAGCAGGGTTCCTACAATAAGGGGTTTTTACAATTAGGAGTTTTAGAACCATGGGTTCTTACAGCCAGTTGTGTTATAATAATGGTTTCTTACAACCAGGGGTCTTATAACCAGGGGGTGTTACAACCAGGGGTTCTTACAAACAGGGGTTCTTAAAACCTGGGATCTTAGAATAAACGGTTCTTAAAGCCAGGTTTCTTACATGCGGGGATCGGACAAGCAGGGGTTCTTACAACCAGGGGTTTTTAGCACCAGGGTTCTTACATTAGGGCTTCTCATAACTAGGGGTCTTACAACCACGGAATGTAACAAGCAGGGGTTCTTACAACCAGGGGTTCTTAGAAGAAGGGGTCTTACAACCCGGTTTCGTACAACTAGGTCTCTTAGAAGCAGGAATTCTTACAACCAGGGGTTCTTTCAACCGGGGGTCTTACAACCAGACGTCCTACAACCAGGGGTTCTTACAACTGGGGGTCTTTAAAACGACAGGTTCTTACAACCATTGGTTCTTACTACCTGGGGTCTTACAAAGAGGAATTCTTACAACCAGGGGTTCTTTCAACCGGGGGTCTTACAACCAGAGGTTCTTACAACGGGGGGTCTTACAACCAGGGGTTCTTACTACCAGGGGTCTTACAAACAGGAATTCTGACAACCAGAGGTTCTTGCAACCAGGGGTTCTTACAAGCGGGGGTCTTACAACCAGGGGTTCTTATCACGGGGGGTCTTACAACCCAGGGTTCTTACAACCTGGTGGTCTTACAACCAGGGATCTTACAAGCAGGGTTCTTACAACCCGAGGTCTTACAACCAGGGATTGTTACAACCGGGCATCTTATAACCAAAGTTCTTGCAACCAGGGGTCTTACAACTAGGGATTTTTACAACCGTTGGTTCTTACAACCGGGGGTCTTACAACCAGGTGTTCTTACAACTGGGGGTCTTACAACCAGGGGTTTTTACAACCTGGGGTCTTACAACAGGGGGGTTTTTACAACTGGGGTCTTACAGCCAGGGGTTCTCACAACCGGGGGTCTTACAACTAGGGCTTCTTACAACCGGGAGTCTTACAACCAGGGGTTGTTACCACCTGGGTTCTTACAACCAGGGGTTCTTAAAACCTGGGGGTCTTACAACCAGGGGTTCTTACAACAAGAGTTCTTACTACCAGGGGTTGTTACAACCGGGCATCTTATAACAAGGGGTTCTTACAACCGGGGGTTTTTAGAGCTAGGGGTTCTTACAACCGTGGGTCTTACAACCTGGGGTTGTTAAAACCGGTTGTCTTAAAACCGGGGGTCTTAGAACCAGGGGTTTTTACAACCAGGGGTTCTTACAACCGGGGTTCTTAGAACCAGGGGTTTTTACAACCAGGGGTTCTTACAACCAGGGGTCTTAAAACCAGGGGTTTTACAACCAGTGGTTGTTACAACCAGGGGTCTTACAACCAGGGGTTCTTACAACCGGGGGTTTTACAACCAGGGGTCTTGTAACCAGGAGTTTTTACAACCATGGGTTCTTACAAGCCGGGGTCTTACAACCTGGGGCTGTTACAACCAGGGGTCTTACAACCAGGGGCTCTTACAACCGGGGGTATTACAAACAGGAATTCTTATATCTAGAGGTCTTACAACCAGGAGTTCTTACCACCAGGGTTCTTACAACCAGGGGTCTTACACCAGAGGTTGTTAGAATCAGGGGTCTTACAACCGGGGGTCTTACAAACAGGGGGTCTTACGTCCAGGGGTTCTTACAACCAGGGGCATGCAACTAGGGGTCTAACAACCAGGGGTTTTTACAACCAGGTGTTTTTAAAACCAGGGTTCTTACAACCAGGTGTTCTTTCAAGCAGGGGTCTTACAACCAGGGGTTCTTACAACCAGGGGTCTTACAATAAGGGGTTCTTACTACCGGTGGATCTTAAAACCAGGGTTCCTACAATAAGGGGTTTTTACAATTAGGAGTTTTAGAACCAGGGGCTCTTACAGCCAGTTGTCTTATAATAATGGTTTTTTACAACCAGAGGTCTTATAACCGGGGGTGTTACAACCAGGGGTTCTTACAAACAGGGGTTCTTAAAACCGGGGGTACTTAGAACCAGGGTTTTTACATTAGGGGTTCTTATAACTAGGGGTCCTACAACTAGGAAGTCTGACAAGCAGGGGTCTTACAACCAGGGGTTCTTACAACCAGGGGTTTTACAGCTGGGGGTTCTTAGAACCAGGGTTCTTACTTTAGGGGTGTCTATAACTAGGGGTCTTACAACCAGGGAATCTTACAAGCAGGGGTCTTACAACCAGCCGTCTTACAACCAGGGGTTCGTACAACCAGGTGTCTTACAAGCAGAGATCTTACAAGCAGGGGTTCTTACAACCAGGGGTTTTACAGCCGGGGGTTCCTAGAAGCAGGGTTTTTACTTTAGGGGTTTTTATAACTAGGGGTCTTACAACGAGGGAATCTTACAAGCAGTGGTCTTACAAGCAGGGGTCTTACAACCAGGGGTTCTTACAACCAGGGTTTCTGACCATCAGGGATCTTTTAACCAGGGGTCTTACCGCTAGGAGTTCTTACAACCAGGGGTGTTACAATAAGGAGTTGTTACAACCAGTTGTCTTGGAACCAGGGGCTCTTACCGCCAGGGGTGTTATCATAATGGGCTCTTACAGCCAGGGGGTCTTAGAACCAGGGGTCTTACAACCAGGGGTTCTTACAACCAGGGGTCTTTCAATTAGGGGTTCTTTCAAGCAGAGGTTCTTACGAGCAGAGGTCTTTCAACGCCTTAAGCATGTTTGAAATCTTGGCACATGGTTTGATAACCATATGTCTATGAATACTCTTATAGGAAAGGTATGTAGTAAGGCAGTTAGACGGCTTTATAATATTAGGCAAATTAGGAAATATCTGTCTGCAGAGTCAACCAAGTGTTTAATTCATGCGTTTGTTACATCACATTTAGATTATTGTAACGCTTTTTTGTACAAGCTTCCGCAATATCAATATGACCGACTTCAAAAAGTTCTTAATGCGGTGACTCGGGTTACATGCTTAATTCCTAAGTTTGCCCATAGTACTCCGGTACTTAGGGAACTTCATTGGTTGCCAGTGAAATTTAGAGTAGAATTTAAGATTACACTATTAGTTTTTAAAGCGTTGAACGGCCTGGCCCCACAATATTTATCTGAACTACACTTTGTAAGGCCTAGAACTAGATACAGCCTGCGGTCTGATTGTAATCCCTAAGGTGACACGAAAGACTTTTGGCGATCTATCCTTCTTCCATGCTGGACCAACAGTATGGAATGCTTTGCCATCTAGCCTTAGAAACTGTAGGAACATTGACTCTTTTAAAGTACAGTTGAAGACTTATCTTTTTGAGAAAGCTTTTAATTTGTAATTTTATATTCTTATTACTATTATTATATCTGTCCACTTATTGTATATATAGAGGATATTACACGGTGGCGCGAAGATATGAATTTTATTTTCGAGTGACACGAGAAAATCAAATTCATATCTTCAAGCCGCCGTGTAATGTTCCTTTTATTATATAAACAAAAAGACATCGATAAAATAATAGAGGGAAATGACCGAAATTACGTCATGGATAAACTCACGTGTGAGATTATGGTAAATAAACCACGCGGGTCCTGGATGTAGTTTTTATGAATTTTATGAGTGGTGTATTTTCCAGTAAAACACTCGTGTCTACATAATAAATATATTTATTTTCTTGTAAAGCGCTTTAGAATATTTTAATAGTTAAAGTGCTATATTAAATGTAATAAATTATTATAATTATTATTATTACAACCAGAGGTCTTACAACCAGGGGTTCTTAAAACTGGGAGTCTTACAACCAGGGGTTTTTACAACCAGGAGTTCTCAGAACCTGGGTCTTACATATAGGGGCTCTTACAAGCAGGGGTTTTATAATGAGGGGTTCTTAGAACCAGGGTTGTTATAACTAGGGGTTGTTCCAACCAGGGGTCTTACAATCAGAGGTTCTTACAACCAGAAGTCTTACATCCAGGGGTTCTTACAGCCAGGGGTTCTTACAACCAAGGCTCTTACAAGCAGGGGTCTTACATCCAGGCATTCTTACAGCCAGGGGTTCTTGTAACTAGGGGTCTTACAAGCAGGGCTTCTTACATCCAGGGGTCTTACAACCAGGGGCTCCTACAACCAAAGCTCTTACAACCAGGGGTCTTAGATTCAGGGGTCTTAAAACCAGGGGTTCTTGCAGGTAGTGGTCTTACAACCAGGAGTCTTACAACCAGGGATTCTTACAACCAGAGGTCTTACAACCAGGGGTTTTTACAACGGTCGGTCTTACAACCAGGGATTCTTACAACTTGAGGTCTTACCACCAGGAGTTCTTACAACCAGATGTTCTTACAACCAGGGGTATTACATCCAGGGGTTTTATAGCGGAGCTCCACGCGCGCGCGAAGCGCGCGCGCGTGGGCGGAGCCCCATTGCTAAGGAAATCTACCCATACCAGAAAATTTGGTAATCACGTGATCGACCGACCGACCGACCGACCGACCGACCGTCCGTCCGCACCACAGGCATACCAATGTTTACTCTCACACTTTCTAGCTACTTTGGGAGCCCAGGAGAAAGCTGATTGCACATCAATGTTGTCAGCAATTGACAGCTGTCAAAACAGGGTATCCGCTGACCACTATCACCTGACCGAATCGCGGGCTCAGGTGTCGACCCATGGAGGTCGAGTATTTTTTTGAAGTTATCCGCTGACAATTTACTCGTTTTCAAATGATCGCAGGCTCACGTTTACTTTTGTTTTAAATTCATATCAAATATGTTGTGTTTATGTCAGTATCGCCCCGCACTATTACGATTTTGATTTCAAACTGACTTCAGACGCAAAAATTCAGCCAGTGTTTTTAAAATACAGGCGGGGAAGACCTTGGAAGACCTTTTCTTACCATGGGCACGTGTTGGTCACGCTCCACGTCCAATTTTTATGCTCTGATTGGTCAAAATTTGACAGGAGAGTTCATGCGTAAAATTTATGCAGCATCTTGAAAGTTGTTTACTTTGACAGCTGAAGCTGACAGAGTTTTGAGTCAACTTGTGATGTTTTTAACTGTCTTTTCCACTGGATGTGCAAAATGAAATACAGCTGCTATCAAGAGTGTTCTCTTATTCATGGCTGGTTTGTTTATTGGGTTTTGGTTGAAAAATGCGTCGCTTGTCAAAGCCGATAATCCGATTTCGGATGGCATCGTTTTTTTTTTCACCTTGCTGGATGCGTACGAGTATTATAAAGGCTCAAGCGATCCTTGCCTTACTTGATAGCTTTCAGGAGCTGCATCTCGAAATATGGTAAGCCTGAGTAATTATTTTATTTAAATATAATTTCATGAAGTCCAGCGGCGCAGTTTATGAAGCTAGTTTATGCACGTTTGTATTAAGATTTGACTGAGACACTGATCTGACCTCGTATGAGGTTTGATATAAGCTTAAGCTTACAGAACTTTAAAAAGACTCTAGTCGATATTAATTCACCTTAAATAGAAAGAAAAAACTTTCCGAAGAATATTTAGTTATAATTTTGGCTGTAGAAAGAAAGCTTTGAACGATTTTCTTTTCGTGAGTTCATCTTTGAAAACAGCCAACACCGGGAAACCGGCGGCTTAAAACATAAACTTTAAGCTTACTAGTAAAGACTTGAGGATTCTTAGACACACTTAAATACTCATTTGTTTTCGTGAATGAAAATTGTTGTCTCTGTAAATGTTCTATGGAATTATTTTTCTTTATTGATTTTTGGTAGTCTCAAAAGTGTAATTTTCATCGCTTTGCCGTTTGTTTTCCTGCGTTCATAAACATCGCTCGCAGGAGTACTCAAAATGCCAAGCGTATCAAACGCTTTTTAAGATTACACATCGTTATAAAACCGTTAATAAAAAATAGACTCAGTAAATTCTTTATCACGTTGAAGCGTAACTCTTCAAAAATTTCTTCGCAAATTTGGTGCTTGTCAAAAGTTAGAACCGGCTGGCCGTACAGGTGATTTTGGAAATTTTTTGAACGGTTTCGCTAATTAAAAGTCCACGCTTGCCTCTATGGTCCTGAATATTGAATGAATGCAATTTGTCTTGAAAAATTGTGAAATACTGTATTTTGTACGACGTCTGTATGATAAAAACAGCGCCTCATAGTACTCTTTCTTCTCAGATGTGGTGTATAAAAAAAATAAAAGATTGGTTTGCACGCAACCAGATTTATTGGCAAGAATTTGTCAACTTGTCGAACGCAAAAAATTCGGTCTGATTTGTTTTCAAAGAATTTGTTTTGCACGCCTTATCTACTGTGATCAAGAGCCATCATTGCTCTTAAATGTGACCGAAGACTATTTTTTGGGTGTACATATAAGGCTATATCAACGCGATACAAAATTTGTGTCACTCCAAAATCACTTAGCTTTTCCCTCAAAAGCCACATGAATGTGCCCTTACTTTAACTGATTTGTGGAATACAAAATTATTGTTTGATTTAAGTTATAAATTTATGAATGGGAGCTTCGCTTTTAGCTGTGGCTAAATATATATATTAATCAGGGGTATTTAGAACGAGTGGTTCTTAGAACCAGGGGTTTTACCAGCAGGGGTTCTTACGACCGGGGGTCTTAAAACCAGGGGTTCTTATAACCAGGGGTTCTTCCAACCAGGGGTCTTACAATCTCGGGTTTTTACAACCAGGGGTTCTTACAACCGGGGTCTTACAACTAGGGGTTCTTACAACCAGGGGTCTTACAATCAGACGTTCTTACAACCAGGGGTTTTACAATTAGGGGTTCTGACAATAATCTGCTCTTACAACAAGGGTTTCTTAGAACTAGGAGTCTTAGTACCAGGGGTCCTTACAACCAGGGGGTCTTACAACAATCGGTTCTTACAACAGGGGTTCTTAGGACATGTGGACTGACAACCAAGGGTTCTTACAACCGGAGGTCTTACATCCAGGGGTTCCTACAACTAGGGGTTCTCACAACGAAGGGTCTTACATCCAGGGTTTCTTACAACCAGGGGTCTTACAACCATGGGTCCCACAATCAGAGGTTCTTACAATTAGGGTCTTACAATTAGGGGTTCTTACAATAATCTGCTCTTACAATTGTTTCTTAGAACCAGGGGTCTTACAACCAGGGGGTCTGACGACAATCAGTTCTTACAAGAGTTGTTCTTAGGACAAGGGGTCTTACAACCAAGGGTTCTTACAGCCGCAGGTCTTACATCCAGGGGTTCTTACAAGCAGGGGTCTTACAAGCAGGGGTTCTTGCAACAGCTGGTTTTCATAACAGCGTTCTTACAACACGGATTCTTCCAAGGAGTCTTCTTACAACAGGGGGTCTTACATCCAGTGGTTCTTACAATCAGGGGTTACAACCAGGGGTCTTATAATCAGGGGTTCCTAGATCCAGGGGTCTTAGAAGGAGAGGTTCTTACAACTAGAGGTCTTACATCCAGGGTTTCTTACAACTGGTTGTTCTTCCAAGCAGGGGTCTTACAATCAAAGTTTCTTTCAACCAGGGATCTTAAAAGAAGGGGTTGTTACGACTTGGGGTTTGACAACAAGGGCTTCTTACAAGCAGGAGTTCTTACAACTGGGGGTCTTAAAACAAGTGGTTCTTACAACCAAGAGTTCTTGCAAGCATGGTTCTTACCACCCAGGGTCTTACAGCAGGGGTCTCGCAAGGAGGGATTTTCACAATCAGGGGTTCTTACAACCAGGGATCCTTAAAAGAAGGGGTCCTTACACCCAGGGTTTCTTAGAATCAGGGGTTCTTACAGCAAGGGGTCTTTTCGCCAGGGTTCTTACAACCAGGGGTTTTTACAAGCAGAAGTCTTACAACAAGGGGGTCTGATAATCAGGGGTTTTTAAAGGATTTCAGGGGGTTACCAGGGATCGGTGGGGGATACAAGGGATTACAGGGGATTGCAGGGGCTTACGGGGGGTTACAGCATCTTACAAGAGGTAACAGGGGGTGACAAGGAGTTTCACGGGCTTACATGGGGTTACAAGTGGTTACAAGGGGTTGCAAGAGGTTACAAGGGATGACAAGGGGTTAGAGTGGGTTACAAGAAGAAATTAGGTAACTATTCTAGCCACACAAAGCAGAAGCTGATTTTTTTAAAAAAAGTAAGCAGGAATTTGTTGTTTACTATCTATCGAAATAAAAAATGTTACAAACTGTTTGTGGGCAAGATATTAACTGGGTAAATATTTACACGATACAGGTATTTATAATTTTATTATATTTGTTGTTTTGAATTTTTGGCAAATAACTAAGTGTACTGTAAGTTTTACACTATTAATTATACATACAAATTTAAAGATTAGAGCGCTCTAGCAAAAGGCAAAGAGCGTGTTTGCTTTGAAATTCAAGAAGGGATAGTGTTGTTTTCGAAAGAAAAATTGTTGTAAGGCATTGCACCACTACACTTAAAACTGTGTTTGAGTAAACTAGTTTTTGGCCTTGGAAGTCCTAGATGAGTTTTAAGATTGCTAAGATGATAGTTGGTTTTACTATCGTTAAGTTTTGTAAAAGAGGCTGTCAGATGGGAGATGGGGGGGGGGGAGGAAGACTGATCTTTGAGGATTGTGTACACAAGGGTAGCCTTAATATGTATGGGCCTGGTATGGAGGTTTTCCATTTTAATTTTGAAAAACATGTATTAATTTAATGTCATTATGACATTGTGTTATGAGGCATCAAATATCAGAGAATTCTCCTTTTACTACACAAAAATCTGCAGGTAATGTACTATCGAATTGAAAAATGTCACAAACTGTTCTGTTTGAGGGTAATATATTAACTGGGTAAATATGAACACAATACAGGTAATTTTACCATGTTTGTTGTGAGTTTTTGGAGAATAATTAAGTGTACTATAAGGTTTATATATACTATTAAGTAGACATACAAATTTAAAGGTCAGAGCATTCTAGCAAAAAGGAAAAAGCACGTTTGCTTTTAAATTCGGGAAGTGATTGTGTTTTTTTCGCATGGTAAGAAAGATTTTTGTAGACCATTGCAACACTACACATAAAACTGCATTTGAGGAAATTAGTTTTTGGCCTTAGAAGTAGTAGGTCAGTTTTAAGATGGCTAAGATTATAGTTGGTGTTACTATCGTGGAATTTTGTAAAGTAGGCACTCAGATTGAGGGGGGGGGAACATTGATCCTATAGGATTGTGTACACAAGGGTAGCTTTATCATGTAGGCGCCTGGTTTCAAGGTTTTCCATTTCAATCTTTCAAGAACACCTACCTATTCAATATCATCATGACTGGGTGTTTATTAGGCATTAACAATCGGATAATTCTCTGTTTAGTACTGAGAAATCTCCAGCTAATGTTCGATAGCCTATGATTATTTTTTCACTGAGACGTACTGGAGCCTTTTTCAAATTATTATCTTTTAATGTTAAACCTGTTACTTAAGAATTCTTAATGAAAACCCTGTATAACGAACTCGTAATGACTTTACCCATGGGGTTTTGAATTTTTTCAATTTATCTTTCAGTTGCTTTGCACTAGTATTACACAAGCAAGATGGAATTAACAGTAATCAAGGTAAGTAACAGACTGTAACATTAACATGAGGTTACAGGGGGTTTTAAAGGATTTCAGGGGGTTACCGGGGATTTCTGGGGGATACATGAGGTTAAAGGGGGTTACAGGGGGTTAAAAGAGGTACCAGAGGGTTACAGGGGGTTACAAGGGGTTACAGAGGCTTACGGGGGGTTACAGGGGGTTACAAGAGGTAACAGGGGGTTGCAATGGGTTACACGGGCTTACAGCAGGTTACAGAGGTTACAAGGGATGACAAGGGGTTAGAGTAGGTTACAAGAAGAAATTAGGTAACTATGCTAGCCACACAGAACAAAAGCTGATTTCTTTTAAAAAAGTAGGGAGGAATTTGTTGTTTACTATCGAAATGAAAAATATTACAAACTGTTTGAGGGTAATGTATTAACTGGGTAAATATTGAGACAATACAGGTCATCTTACTATGTTGTTGTGAGTTTTGGAGAATAATTAAGTGTACTATAAGTTTTAAACTGTTAATAAGCCATTCAAATTTAAAGATCAGGGCATTGTAGCAAAAAGCAAAGACTAATTTGGCTTTTAAATTCAGGGAGTGACTGTGCTTTTTTTTCCTGGTAAGAAAGATTGTTTCAGAGCATTGCAACACTACATTTAAAACTGTGTTTGAGGAAATTAGTTTTTGGCCTTGGAAGTAGTAGATAAGTGTCAAGACTACTAAGATTGTAGTTGGGTTTACTATCGTTGAGTTTTGTAAAGGAGGCTCTATGATGGGGTGCTTATATTTTGTCAATGTAGAGCCCTATTCAGCTCAGTGTTATTTCTCCAGATTATTGTAAACAATGTCTTATATTGCTGTACTGCAAATTTTAGCCGTCACAATTACTCTTTGGCGAATAAAAATCTATTATTTTATCGATGATTTTTTGTCTATATAATAAAAAGAACATTACACGGCAGCTTGAAGATATGAATTTTATTTTCTCGTGGCTGCGCTCGTTCGTAAAATATTGTTTTGCCACTGGAAAATTTATTTCATATCTTCGTGGCACCGTGTAATATCCCCTATTTATTTAGTTAGGCGTCTTGCGTGATGTTGCAGGACGAGCATGCGTGCCTCGTTTTCACGTTAAATTTTGAATTGGGCGCCATTTTGAACTGTTTGTTCTTCCCTGTCGGTTCGCCTTCTATTTTGGTCGTGCAGGGACGTCTTTTTGTGAAGATGAGAAAGGAGAGTGTGATAGATTGCGGAGATAGACTGCAGGGAGGAATAATAGTGCGTAAACCTAGTTAAACGAAACGCCAAATCCCATGGAAGCGGTGACGAAGGAATTCAACATCAGTGTACGTTGGGGACTCGAAATATGCACAACTGACTGTTTCAACAACCATCACCTGCAACCATTGAGAGGAGAGAACGCCTAACTGTGGATCCTTGTTGTTTCGTAAGTACATTTTTAATGTGGATACTGAATGTTGTTTAAATACGTAGAAACATATTAATTATTTAAGTCTATGTAATGGCTTTGGCAGCATTTCATGGATGTCGATCGTAAAAATCGTTTCACACGTGAGCTTTCATAAGCGACCATAAGCTCATATGCTTCATTCGACAGCGAGTTTCTTCCTACAGTTCTGACCCTTGTATGTTACCTGTAGTTTCCGTGATAACATATAGAGCACGTTTTTGTCTGATTTCTTTTGCAATAAAGACATAGTTGCTACTTCACTGAAAAAGAATTTTGCTGTAAATAAATGGCGAACATGATAGCTCTAAAATTTGGAATCTTGAATCAGGAAACGGAGTCACAGAACGGAACACGGAATCAAATATCAGTGATAGAAAAATATTATATAAAAATTCCTTGACGCTTAAATGTACAAAACGAGGATAACAGCTTTATTTAATGGCAAAGCAACCTTCACTGACACAAGTAAGACAAGCATCTTTGGGTGGGAAGTCGCAATTCTATTTATCCATCTTTGAGTGGACAAAGTAGTGCTGGTGTCAATGATGCTACAAATGATGCAACTGTCACCAGGAGATACATGTAAACAAGATTATTCAGAAATTGATTTTCCTTACACTTCAATTTGTCATTAATCTTCGAACACAAGGATAACAGCTTTATTCCATGACAAAGCAACCTTCATTGACACAGCTTTGAGTGGGAAGTCGCAATTCTGTTTATCCATCTTTGAGTAGACAAAGTAGTGCTTGTGTCAGTGTTGTACGAAAATGTTGCAACAGTCACCAGGAGATAAATGTAAACAAGAAGATGATTCAGAAATATAATTTCCTTACACTTTAATTTGTCGTTTAGCTTTGAACACGAGGATAACAGCTTTATTCAATGGCAATTAAGCAACCTTCACTGACACAGCTAAGACGCCCATCTTTGAGTCGGAAGTTCCAATTCTATTTATCCATCTTTGAGTGGAAAAAGTAGTGCTTATGTCAATAATACTTCAAATGTTGCAACAATCACCAGGAGATACATGTAAACAAGAAGATTATTGAAAAATATAATTTCCTTACAGTTTAATTTGTCGTTTAGCTTCGAACACAAGGATAACAGCTTTATTCAATGACAATTAAGCAACCTTCACTGACACAGCTAAGACACCCGTCTTTGAGTGGGAAGTCGCAATTCTATTTATTCATCTTTGAGTGGACAAAGTAGTGCTTGTGTCAATGATACTTCCCATGTGCAACAGTCACCAGGAGATAAACAAGATTATTCAGGGATATAATTTCCTTACACTTTAATTTATGGTATTGCGCCTCAAACACTTGGAAAAGAGCCTTATTCAGTGACAAAAGCAATCTTCCTTAAAATAACATTTATCCTTGTCATGCTATACCAGAAAACTGCCTTATTTTAAGGTATCTAGTTTTTTCAGAACCAGGCTGTTACAATATACATATAATATTATTTGATATAAATATTTAAAAATATTTGATATTTTTGTCGGTCCTTATTGGTTTGAGGTATGATGATGAGGAGAACAAAAACTTTGAGGGTATTTTGGTTAGTGAAGTGAGGGGGAAGTTTGGGAAAAAGAAATGGCCCAAAGCAGAGATAAAAGGTAAGTTGTGCACTTTTCTAAGTTTTTTGAATCTGGTAGTTTGTAGGTGTTTCAGACAGGTGCAATCATCTAACATAATAGAAAACATAGTATAAGTTATCCACTTAGTGACGTATTTAGCCTGTCCTGGAACAGGACTGCGCTTTGGCAGTGCCAGGTGGCCCCTAGCACATTACTGTTGCTCTTGGGTGACAAGGAAGTCTTAGTTTGCTCAAACACATTCATCCAGGGTACCCTGGATTTTTCAGGTTAAAGGGACAGTTTCACGGTTCACCACATGCCCATTAATCAAAATGCTATTTTCTGCCAGGAAATGCTGTATCACGAATGAAAGCAATATGATCATGTGGCAATGTTGTTAAAGAACCAATCTGCACACTCCCCTGGCAGTCACTTGATCAACTTAGGTGCAAATAGCTGTAAATTAATCATCCATGGAATAAAACCCTTGGGTCAACTATAAATTCAACGTTGGTAGTGTTGGCATAATCCACTAATTTTTCTGCGTTTTTAATACTAATTCATCCTACTTCAGGTTACTCTGAAATACACTTCTACTTTGAAATACTCTGAGATCGCTGAGATAGATGTGAGTGGGATTATTAACCTACAGAATTAATAATAAATTGGAAAAACATAATTTAATTAATAAGCACATGCTGAACCGTGAACCTGTCCCTTTTAAGGACACTAGGCTCTTTCATTTTTTAAGAACGCAACACATGGTTTGCATGTGTGTGTTATGCATACATAATTTACGATTATTATAGAATGCATGAGTGCCATACCCTCTACCCCCTGTTACATTGTTAATGTTAACAGTGTCCTTGCCATTTATATGCGAGGTTTGATGGTAGTGTAAATTGCTCAGAGTAGAGAGCAAGAACCAAATCTAAAGATTCAAAATAGTCAGGATGACTGTTTTGCCGGACTAAACTGTTGTTGAAGAAAAAAGTAAATTTTAATGTTTTGCAAAGTAGTCATCCCATTGTGACTAAATAAGTTTTTTGGGTTTTCAGGAATTGACGTATCGCACAGACGTGTTGGACAAGGCACAACTTTCTCCTGAAGACAAAGCCAAAGTAAAGACTTTATGAAACCTACATGCATGTCAAAGAGGCAAAAAAAGATATAACTGCGAAAATAACCAGAGAGTCTGATAAATACTTATAAGACAGACCGGTAGCAAAAAACTGCCCCTCATGGGCAGGACCCGAATAATACCAAAGTAATAAATTCCTACGGTGATTGCCACTATGGCAGCTGGAAGTAAAAAGCCCAAAAATGATGCAGTGCACATGCTTAAAAATGACCTGTAGCCCAGTCACCAAACATGTGATGGCTTAGTGGCTTCTACATGAATAATCTTCTACTTTTTCCCTACATTGTATTTTTCACTGGTTTAAAACCTATCATATTGTTTTTCACTTTATCAAGAAAGTATTTGACTTTGTTCTCCAGTTCAGCCTTCCCTGTGTTTTACTAACAATGAAACCATATGAGCGAGAAACCCTGTAGTCACTTTTTGTGTCACTTGCATAAAGTTGAAATTCGATGGGCCACAGTGACATATTCTCTTCAGGACTCTGCATCCACGACCACCATAGTAGAGGTCACTGTAGCAATTTGCTTAAAGTCCTTACTGTATTAATATGCCTTCTTTAGTCAGGATAACCTTGTGGTGGTCAACTCTAACTAAATTGCATAATCTGATTGGAAAGGTCATAAGAGTTTTATTCTTAAAGACAATCATTACTTGACTGTGTTTATTAAAATTACTGAAACTACAAGACAGTCAATGGATTATCCTAAAACTATAAAACAGGGAGTATAAGTTAAATGCAATGTGATAACAGGGTTTGAGCTAGGATTTGATCACTGGGGGACAATTTGTCCCCTTGGCTAAAATTTTGGGGGACATTTTTATTCTTAGTGGAACAGACAAATTAATTTTTATTCAACATTTTACATTCACACAGGCAAGCCAACAAAAACATTATGTGATCCTTGTAATACAAGAAAAGTTAAGTTATTGGTGTCAAGACTTTTTCTCTTCATATTATTTAAACAGAAGAACCAATGACTGTGCTTTATACTACAAAACACTTCATACCAGAATCTCGTCCCTGCATCCCCTTGTAAACTTCAATACCTTTCTTAATTACTGGTAGACGTACATGTACTAATTCTTCTGTTAGTTCTAGTCCAAACATCAAGGGCTGCCAATGCAAAGGGGTTTGTCTTCTTAGATTTCCGACAAAAATAGCAGAACATCGCCTCCTTTTCATAGTGCAACCGTGTGTGATCCTGCAACCAAGTTTTCTGGAAAGTTTTTGATTTTTTTGGTTTCCTTTGATCCTCATCCGTTTCTTCCTGATTAATACCATGTTCTTCTTCTGTATCATTTTTCTCTGATTCACTCTGGCTTTGATTTGAAGCGAAAAAGCTTGCTCATGTTCGAACGCGGTTTCAATGTGACATGTTAAGGATTGCCAGGTACGTTCACCAGGCTTTGTTGAGCATGAGACGTACGTCTTCAGTAGAGCGTGACTGAAACATGACTTTAGAATGAACTCAAAACGTGTGATAAAATATACTTTCCACGTTCTGTTTTAGCTTGCAATTTCTGTATTGAACCAAACCTCTTTGTGTCTGCTTCCTTTCGAGTTTTTTCCCTAAATCTTGAAGGGGACAAATTGGCCCCTTCGCCGATTTTTTAAGGGACAATTTCAATTGCAGTGCGGGATTGGCCCAATGGCGCGTCCTGGCTTAAACCCTGGTGATAATGAGTCGCTTGTTAAAAGTGCACAGTCTGTCATTATTATTCAAACTCAAATGTAAGCAAATTCTCATAGACTACTTTGTATGTTACGGCCAGGTCTAAGTTGTAGCCATGCAGTTAAGGCACAGTGACTACAAAAAGTGAAATACATGTGTACAGATGACTTGCTGGCTCGTATGTTAAGCCTATATGGTTAGTTTTGTTTTCTTCACTATCATCTTTGTAGCATCAGTCTGATACTCCCTAATGAAGGCTTCTCAGCAGTTTGTATAGGCTTTGACAAAAATTTTTGGGGGATGATCCACCAAGTACTGGTACTTGCTATGAGATGATAGGCTATAAGTATTAAGACAGCAGTTTGATACAAATAACCACTAGCTACATTTCCCAATGAGATTTTATGCAGTCTTAACTAAGTAAGACCTTTATTAGTAATATTGTTCTCATTAAATTACTTAATAATTTTGCAGTGAACTACTTCATAGAGTTATTTTGGAATTGAAATGCACGTTACTAATTTTAAAATATATGCTATAATAATGTTATTTAATTAATAATTATTAGATAATTATGTTGATCATTTGAAGGAAAAAAGGTTAAATTTTGTCATTTCTAAAAGGATCATTTAATTGAAATGGAAAAGTTACAGTTTTAGTTATAGAAAATGGAACACATAACAATTCTCTTTTTTATCGTGAAAATATTTAATATACATATGTACATATTATATGAAAATGGAGAGAGAATTATTTTAATAAAAGCTTACCAAAAAGGCACTTACTGTGAAACTCACAAAACTGTGAACACCAAAAATATTTATGGAATGTTATTATGTTGCAAGAAATAAGCCAATAAGGTGCGAGATAACTAAACTGCAAACAGCAATGGTAATTAGTTTGTGGTTTTGAGCGTTGCTCACATATCCTGAACTTTATTGTGATTGGCCAGTACACAATCAACGTTCCTGAAATTTTTGAGGTGTTCGCGGTTTTCTGAGTTTGACAGTAAATCTGAATCTGCTTGATTTTTTGTGTATCAGCGAAAATGGAATCATGAAATGGTCTAGAGTTGTCTCACAAACGTCCACTTGTTATATACTGGATAGAATGAACAGTATATGATTTAAAACTGGATAGTTACATAAAGTTTCCACAGTTAGGAAATCCAGTGACTAATCCACCAAAAGTGATTGAGTTTCCGCATTCATTGTTCCAGAAACTCAATGGATAATTGAGTATCCTCTGAATTTACGGGCTGCAGAAACATGACATTAGTTAGTGTTTCTGCAAGAGTAGAACTGACGGAAATGTGAGTATAAGGGATGTGTTTCTGCAACTCCGCAGAAGCTGAAACATGACGTATATAGTGTTTCCCACCACAGTTAGTTACATTTCCGTCTGCAGATATTCAGGTTTCCATGAGGTAACTGTTACAGAAACGGAAACACCTTTTTTCAACCTGTGTAGATAGTGGATGTGTATAAGAGCCAGTTAAGAGAACCTCCCTTGTGCCTTGAATACTACTTAGTACTTGGTGGCCACAGAAGACAGCAGATATTTTAAGCTATTGTCAAAGACAAAAGGCCAAAGAAAAAAGGAACAATGCATACCCTTTTAGTGGCTCCTGTAATTGGCCATTAAGCAGCCACTTGGACAATGATAATTTCCTTGATAACCCTTGACACCCAATATACATGTACAAATTCTCCAAACTGATCTCCATATATTTCCTTAAAGAATGAGTCGATAGAATTTGATAAAAGATCAAAGCATTTTCTCTTAGGTGATCATTTTATTAATTCTCATAACCTAATCTCTTGTCATTGTATGGATATTGTTTGGAGAAAATTGATGCTGGTCACTATTGGTACTTAAAGCGATAATGCCTGATAAATGCGTAAGGACAACATTAAGCCATTCAGAACAGTTGTACTGCTCTTGCCACAAAAACAAAATAATGTTCTTCCCTATCAGGGAAACATTATAATAACGGCAGGGAGAACATCATCAGGCTCCAGTCCTAAGACTTGCATTATTCTTATTCACATAAAATGTGTTGGAGTTGACTAATGCATACTTTTGACTGAGTGGCAGTGCAATTTTTTTTATACCACATGCATAGGGTAGCTTAAATAGGAATTTCAATATGCTGCAAGCAACGTGAAGGGGCTGGGCCCAGGTCAGTCAAAACTGTACCAGGGAACCTCTTACTTACTGTGAAAATAATAATTCCTATCCCGCTCTCAGGAAACTATGGAAACAAATCCTAAAGGTTATTTAAGCCACTTTTGGAAAAATGAAAGGAACAACTGACACCTTCAGCTAGCCTAATGGAACAGAGATGAACCACAGGCAGCCACTGAACAGTAAAACACCACATGACCTAGCCCCCAGTAAAAGAAAAGCGGAAGAAAAACATTTGGTTGATCTGCACTATAAATCTGAGAAAAAGACTTAAGGACAAAATTTATAGAAGTAAGCGATGTATTAGCAAGGGGTATGCCCTGTACCCCTGTGGGGGGTGGTACTGCCATATATATGTGCTCTATAGGTATGTGCTGCTGTGAAGGGTATTGTTTTCAGGCAGTTTACTCTAGGGTAGGGTATATAAATCAGAGAGTTTGGGTCTAGAACAGGGTACAATTTTTCAGGAAACTGATCAGGTTGTTGAAGATTTTATCTGTACTAGGGAAACAGCTACTCTAGGATAGGGGGATTTGGGAAGTTTACCTAGTATAGGGGAGCAAGATTCAGCTGAACTAGCTCTGGTATAGGTTAAGGGTTCCAGGGTCCCAGCGACATCCCAACCCCGAAATTCCTAAAGTACCCCCCTGGGCCTTGTAGGCATACCAAATCCCCTTTATACACTTGTAGACACTAAAAGGGCGAAAACACGTTTTGTGATTCAAAATTCCTACACAATAAGTAGAAATTGAAAAATATTTGTAATTCGCTTTCTTTTAAATAAATCTTTGGTCAACAGAAAAGTGGACCTGTGCGGGGTTGTGAGTACACCTGTTGCACCCCCCTCCCTACAGGGCTGCTAGGGGGTTAGAGGGGGACAAGGGGTTACAGTGGGCTAGAACAAGAAATTAGGTAGCTACGCTAGCCACACTGAACAAAAGCTGATCTCTTAAAAAAATAAGAGGGGACTTGTTCTTCACCATCAAAATGCAAAATGTTAATTTGGTAAAAAATTAAACAATATGGGTATTTTTACTACGTTTGTGGCTGTGATTTTTTGGAGGAGAATTAAGTGTACTGTAAGTTTTAAACTATTTTAATAGTTTAAACTATTTTAAACATTTTAAACATTTTAAACATTTTAATAGTTTAAACTATTTTAAACTATTTTAATAGTTTAATTTCTATGTGAAATTAAAATTTCACATAGAAATTAAAAAATCAGAGCATTGTATCAAAAGGCAAAGTGGAAGTTTGCTTTTTAATTCAGGAGGCAATTATGTTGTTTTTGTCAGGTAAAAAAGATTGTTACATATCATTGCACCACTTCACTTAAAACTGCATCTCGGGAAAATATTAGATTTTTGGCTTTGAAAGATCTACTCCAGTTTCAAGATTGCTAAGATTATAGTTGTTGTTACTATCATTGAGTTTTGTAAAGGAGGCTCTCAGTTGAGGGGGCGGGGGGCGGAGATTGATTCTTGAGGATTGTGTACATAAGGGTAGCCTTATCTTGTGAGCGAATAGTTTCGAAGTTTCCATTTCAATTTTTAAGAACATCTAGTTATTTAATGTCTTTATGACAGGCTGTTTATTAGGTATCAAAGATCAGAGAAT